TTAACCCACCGCACAAGGCACTCGTTTGAGGCCGAGTCCACCTAGTGGAGACCTAAGGCCGGTTCTGAAAATCGGCACCCCCCCCCCCGAACCTCCACACTCCCTGCCCTGATCGCAGACACCTAAATCACCAACCAGGTCCTTTTTGCAATGGAAGATTGGGGAACTGTGGTCAAGAAGGGTCAGTGGAGTAACTCGGGATGCCACTTTTTCCACAGACAAATCCCGGACAGTCTTAGTCTGTCAAAAACCACTGTACAGTATCCTGCAACCAAGTTGAGCACAATACCTGTAACAAATCTCAGAACATGTCAATTCCTGCCACCTGCACATGGGTACGAATTTCCAAACTGTCCGGGTCAAACCCAGACAGATGGCAATCCTGGGAGTCCCCATTTGACGAGGTGCCATTTTCACTTGTTCATTTGTGAAGGCCAGTTTTCCCCAGGGGCTCACGGTACAGATTAGATGCGGTTGCCCTGTCTCAGCGAGCAGGTGAGCCAGGAGGACTTCACAGCAGTCTCCGAGCACTCGCCGACCGGAGGAGAAGCCAACACCTCAACACCTCGTGCGACAAAACGTATCACTGCCTCAGTGCTAAAACTCGGAGGCCGTCGGACTGCGAGAAGGGCTGCGTGCAGAACGAGAGAGAGCGAGAGAGTGAGCGAGAGGTGGGGGTTTACATAAAGCAAATTTTAAAAATGTAAAAAAAAAAATACGAAATGATGAACGAAGCAAAGTGGCGGCTACACCGAGCATCTTCTTGTTTCCACTGATCGTAAAAAAAATTAACAAGTGCAGTGCCCCCAGGGGACTAGGTGACCGTGGAATTCAGGACGATCGTGTGGCCTCCGTGGTTGATTACTGCAGGGGAGCGAATCAATATTAACCTTCATAATTTAGAAAAATGGGGTCAATTAGGACTACATACAATGCAAATGAGTTAGTTTGTTACTGTTTAGCTCCCATTAAGCAGGGTTCTCCAGTAACACTGCCGCAGATTTTTTAAATCGTTTTAGATTGTAATAGAACATGCAAATGCTTTTAACATAGATTAATAGATCTGTACAAGTCACCGAGTAAGCGAATGCGATTTTATGCGGCTGAAGGCTTGGCAGTTAAAAACAAATCCAATAGATTTGAATGAATGCGGACTGATTAGTGGCAATGGGCTGGTGGTTTACGCTTACCCGCAATACAAATCAGGTTCTCAAATGTAGTTTTATCTCAACCTCATGAAACAATGGACACAAAAACACCACTACGTACGGACTTGCCAAAGCTACGCATGTGGTAGATTGCTACTTTAGTTTTTTTTAAACCCTCTGAGCGCTTACCCATTTTCGACGCTAAAAACTATCTAAAACTATCCTTTTGCCCGTCTAAGGACGGGTGTATTGCAGTAAATCTGAAACTTGCAAGCGAAAAGCAGACCGCGACGTAATATTCATTGCATCAATGCGTGTGCAATTTGTAAGGGTGCGGTTACACAGCCCTATTTCATTTTAAGTTTATAATCCCTTGTTCATCATGACGTCCTTTTTACTTTGATGTCTCAACAGCGTTACAGAGATCGCGTGACGTGAGGGTTGTAAGTTGACGCCGAGAAGGGGGGAGGAGGCGCCTCGGCCCCCACGTGGAGTGACGTCAGCCGCTACTTATGAATGGGGGGGGGGGGTGCCCATTTGGAGAATGTCACATTATTGAGGTAGGCTGTTTGATGTGGAGTGACGTCACCTGCTCATGATTATTAACGAGGGGGGGGGGGTGTCCATGTGGAGGACGTAACCTTGACTTAAAGCTTTCGTGACTGCAGGAATTCATATTCCTTGGGTCTTTCGGTAAAGTCACGTAGATAGGTTTAAAGCAAATAACAAAAAAACACGTTTCGATCGCAACACAAGCGGTCGTCATCAGGACGACCGCTTGTGTTGCGATCGGGGGGCTGCTCGATGTGGAGTGACGTCACGAGCATTAAGGACAGACATTCCAGCAGCCTATTGTTAAAACTGTAGGATTGTCAAGTTTACTTACACAATGTTATTCATCCCAAAATTAGTTTCACAATTTAAGATGGCTTGGTCAACAAAACTTTCGAGCACAGCTGTAACTTGTACATCCGATGCACAATTGCACCTTTGTGGTGGTGTCGGATAAGCTCTTTATTGAAGGCCTAAAACATGACTTGGGTTGTTCTACGATTGCGCTAGTTGCTTTCAAGTTCCCACAGTAGTCGGAGGGCTCGAATGTAATGCAGCCCTTAATTATCAACATCACCCACCAGTGTTGCTATCAAGTTGGCGGGGGGGGGCTATTCTGGTACAAACAGGTCTATTTAAGGCTTTGTAACATTTGACGCCATCAGCTCGTGTTAAGTAGAAGTACGCTTTCTCTCCACGTCAATCATTAATTGGACACTTCGGGCATCTAAAAAAGGTAATTAGTGGAAGAACGGCGCATGTCTCTGGCTTACTTCAGTAAAACTGTGACCATCCCACCAAATACAGATCTCATCGACTTTGCTTCTCCGGGGTGTGCCGAGTCGTTGCTGTCGAGATTTCCGAATTTGAATCCAGGCAGCCAGCCGTCCGTGATTAAACCGGGTTCTCAAGAGTCGCGAGTGATGCTCAGCATGGTCACCAATTAGCACTTGAAAGCCCAATCATATCCGATTTGCTTTTGTACTTAAAAGAGATTTTTGTTTAGGATTTTGGCTTCAAATACATAATACACACACGCTGTGATTTTTCTTTGGGTTTAACACGTAGACTTTCACAACCAATATCATCCATGAGGTTTTTTACGTGATCTAACCCAAAAAACATTATGGGTGATTTTTCTTTTATGTAGATTACTATTGAAGCAACCTCAACGTTCTGCGCTATCATCTCCTGGAGATGCTCTACAACACAAGGTAGTGCACATTACTTCCTGCAAGTTCTGGGCCGAGCCATCAAAAGCACAATTGGACTTGGAAAAGATAAACCATCGAGTCTATTGATATGCATCTCACAATTAAATTTTATTGGCCTGACAGAAAAATCGGCAACAAATGCCATCACGTGCTACCAGGGGCGGTTTCTTCATTAGGGCGATTGGGCGACGCACCACCAATGTCATTCAACCACAGTCACGCTAGCCGTCACTGTCAGCCTCTGGATATAGTCCAATCAGCGTCATGTCACGTTCTGTGGAGTACCGCCTCTTTTGGGGCGATTTCACTCCGGCTGAGAATCGCCCCGAGTGGCCCCATAGACTTACATTCAAAGATGTTTTTTTTCGAACGGGGGCGCTCCAATGCATTCTCTATGGCTTCTGGGAGGGCAAGCCCTAACGTGCTTACGTCATCATACATGCTAACGTCATCATACGTAAGCACGTTTCATCCAACAATATAATTTATCGCTACCTAGTGGAATCTTTAATAAAATAAACTTGAGTGGTTTGTTTTAATAGTGAGTATATAAACAAACAAGATGTATTGTAAGAGTCACTTTATTTTTCATTAATATTAAAGAAGTGAAGTTGCCTTTACATGCTTAAGCTGTTAATGTATCCATTACATGGGTGGACCTTATCCTTATCAATCATCCAGACATTTGCCCCCCGAGAGATTTTGCAGGAGCCGCCACTGTGTGCTACCAATATTAACTCCGGCCAAATGAAATTAAGTGCAACTAAAATATTGTTTAAAATCAAAACATACGATACTCTATGGTGTTGGGCATGCATACTACCTACTGCTACAATCATGCCTGACATGGGAAAACACAATGGCCATGCCTCTCAACGACTACAAGATTAAGGTTTCCACTCCATATCTTTTTAAACCAACACGTTGGTCACAGATTAAGTTGTGGCAGAAAGCTTGCAGTCCTGGTGGAAAAATCGCTCAAAACAAATTCTCCACACTGGATAAAGTCGCATGTCAATGTTCCTCTTGTTCTTCATTTTGCTGGGTACAACCCATCACGACTTGCATCCAAGTCACATAGCTCAACCCCATCATGCAATGAGAATACAAAGCTGGGATAAAAAAACCCCAACGGCTGAACATTCAGTAAAAAAAACCCACGGCACCTTTTATTCCATCTCGCTGTCCGTATCGGCAATTGTCGTTCATTCGTTGAGATGCACGATGTACAATTACTACGCTCTTCGACCTTGCGCACTGTTGCCCTCTGGTCTTGTCAAATACCTTTTCCTTTCCGACTTGCAGGTAGTAGCAAGGTGTTCGCTGAGATTTTTGCCCACTCGCATGCCCTCTCAAAAACCACAAGCTTCATTTAATAATTTTTGGTACCTTGCTCACCCTTGTAATAAGTCTGATTAAGTTATAAGCAGAACATTGAAAAAATGGTAGGACAGTATTCCCTCGTTATTTATTAATTTGCTAACCGCGTTTATGGCTATCCGCGAATCGCATCTGTAACATACATTTTCATGTATTCAATAGCTTATTTATGCATTTATGGTAATTGCTTAAAAAAGGTTTTCATAGGCCAATATCTTTGTCCGCTAAATTTGCCCTTCACGAGAATGTCCGAAACGTAACGAATCCTTCGCAAATAAACGAGGGAATACTGTAGATTGATAAATCTGTCCATTTCACAAACCATCACCTATCACTGTACTCTCTATGGTGGTTGCTGTTCTACTATAAAAGTGAAACAGAATTTGCAAATTGAAACAAATCCTAGGCTGTTCTGCTGGCGAGAAATACGAGACGAGATGCCGGGTTTCAACAAGTTATGAATGCCGAATAAGCGCTGGCGATAAGATGGGCCTGTGCCTGGCTCGGGCATTAACACCGCCTGCTGGCAAGGCATCAGCAATGTCTGTGATTTTGTTCCGCCTAAATTTCTCTAAGCCATCCAACAGCTGGGAACAGCAACTGATTCAGGAAAGCAATTGAAAACACATTTCCCTTTGAGTGAGATATTTTAAAGTAAGCTATTTAATTTTGTTTGAATAAACAGACACAATGTAGTACAACAACGTAAACAAAAGTCTCAATGTTTATTTGAATGATTGTACAACTAGCAACGTTACATGTGTATGCTAGAATGAAGAAAAAAGCTTGGTTTAATTGTGGTTAATGAGTTGTGTATGGCTGTACAATTTATGTGTAATGATCAAGCCAATGCAATTACAGAAAGTTAATTTAAGGAACACCTGAATTACATTGCACTCAAACTGAATTACAAAGTCTTGACTTAAAGCTTGTGTGACTGCAGGAATTAATATTCTTTGGGTCTTTCGGTAAAGCCACGTAGATAAAAAAAATAACTAAGCGACACGTCTCGGACCGTGTTCGTGAACATAAGGCAAATCTCAAACACGGTAGGACCAATACCTCGGCAGTGGCTGATCATTGTTTTAACGCTGTGGCACACGAAATATATTTTGCCAAGACGAAGGTGCTCTGCCAAACCACTGGCAATTGACAAAAGATTCGTTCATGAAGCCATTCAGATATATAAACAGACAATTTAAACCGAGAAGATGGGTACAAACTGAGCAATCATTGGAAGGACGTTAGTCACCAGTTTAAGTCATAACTGGATGTGATGTTTCCATCCTACCTGCCGATGTTAGCAGTTATTTCGACTCACTAGTTACATTACCAGGTTAAATGTCTTTACATTAACAGGCTAAATGTCTAACACAGCCACCGTTGCGGTGGTTCTCTTACATTGACATGCTAATCTCTCAATACAATGGCCACCTCCACAGCTTAGTCGTCGTGGAGGTATATCAGCTCTCCGATCTTACATTTACACGCAAATTTAATCTCTAGCCCCACCCACTTACCCTGGGCTACACCCATCTCAAACCTATATAACATCCTGCCTCAGCAGATATCCCGCTATATGTTTTCACTTGATGACGATTGCTTGTGTTGCGATCGAAACGTCGTGATATTTATATATTTTTCTATCTACGTGACTTCACCGAAAGACCAAAAGAATATGAATTACAAAGCTTTGTACCAAAACTTAAAATGCATAAGCAGCGAATATTAAAAGCACTATCTCTAGGGAAAGGAATCCAACGCACAATTGGCATGTCCACACTGCAAATAACAAATGAAAAATGTCCAAATTCTCATCAATGAATGTACAAATTAGTAGGATCTAGAAATACAGTACAACGTTGGCTGGTCTGTCAGTAGCGCCTGACAGTCCCGCTCTTGTACGGATCAAAGCGCAAGTCCCCACTGGGCCGGTGCAACCTGTCGGTGCTACTGAAGCCACCCCCTGCCGCTGCCAGGCTGGTGGCCAACTGCACCGTCCGGCCAAGGAGGTTGGCCGAGCCCTGCTGGCCGCTGCTCGTCAAGTAGCTCCTGCTGACACAAAGACACGGCGAGATGTGCGTGCAGGTTAACATTGAAAACAATCAACAACGCCGTGTAACGCTCACCGATATCACATTGCCTAGGGCTTTAAATTACTTCGCCTCGTTACATTAAAATTCCACGTAGAATAGTGGCCACTGGCTTGACATGAACATGTACTGGATAGCGGGCACCCATCGTAGTCAAGTATGGTCAAAGAACACTCATGCCCGACACCCCTCAGCCATGGCCCCAAGGCACCAGCATCTCTAAATCCCCTATCCACGACACCAGCTGAGATGATGCGTATCGTTTGATAGTGCTGCCCCTCCACGTTGCAGGCCTCGTTGCTTGCACTTATGCTTAATGTGTGCATTATGGTGAACTCTCATTCACTAAATCCGTTGTCCACCATTGAACGCAGAATTTGTACCTACGCGTTTAAATGGAGATACACAACAAAAATTTTAAACACGTATTTTTTATTCTCTAATTGAATGGGCAAACCCATGTTTTGCAGTGCATGCATCAAATAGTCAATTATAAATCAATCTATGAATGCATTCATGTATCTATTCAAGTACTCAGCCAATGCAACATTTTGCTCAAAAACAATATCCGTCCTGATATTCGTAACAGACCATTGGGGCAAGTGCTGTTAGCGACCACCTATGAAGGCCAACATGGCACCCGAGGGGATGGGTGCTCAGCACCACAACCACTTTGATCCGCACAGTGCTGATGTTTACACACCATGCTGGGTACTAAATTATGGCCGGGTTGCCTTTGGCAAGGCCCGGGACCGGTTAAGATATTCGTCACCGATGTTGGCCATTAGTGGGAATCGAACGCAGGTCACCAGGGTTCGAAGCGCAGCAAAGCACAAACAGTGCCTCTGCCCCAATGTGTTGTCTAAAGAAAAGCTGTGCATGCATGCACGCACAGCTCATGCATCCAGGATGCTGGGAGATTCGCTGTTTGCATTATGAGAGGGATTCTTACCCGCTCGAAGGTCCTCGGGGCATGACGTGCTGTTTGAATCGACTGTCCAAGGGTCCTGCCATCTCCTGGATAGCACAACGCAGACACAACATTTTTCAATTCGTGGTCCCGAGTGTACAACGGATGCACCGATTCAAAACTAATTTAGATGAAAAAACGTTAAGAAATCTGTTTAGAAGCTTCATGAATAAAACATTTAAAGATATAATTAGAGTTGTACGTTAATTCAATTTGTTAAACTTGTGGTACATGCATCTATAAAGTGCAATACAGCATGAATAAAAAAAATCTGCGATACAAAATCAGTTGGCTTCTGAAATCCGCGGTCGACTGAGAATGCTTAGCAGAGTTGCAAACCGCATAAATGGAGAGCTGTAGAGAGTGGTGGTAGGATTTTTATTGTGCCAATTTTTGGGCTTCATGTCAACACAGGTGAGTGGATTTGTTTAGTAAAAATTGATATTTTCATGTTATAGACTTGGATGTCAAGTAAAAAATGCAAAGAAAAACCTTAACATAACCCATACAGGCAGATTTGCACCATTTGGGTCTTGAACCAAATTTATCCTCAATCTGAGAATTTACCGCAGATTAATGGAGCGCTAATCACGTGCCGCATTTTTCTTGCACGGGAAATTGCATCTCTGATTAGCACAGCTGGCTACACAGTATGAAAGAAGTTCAACATAAATACATCATGTAATTCATGGCACACTGCGTTGGCATATTTTATTGAGAATTAGTATAACCTCTGCAGTGCGCCATGGATTATAGGAACCCTATATCAACGTGGATGATGGAATTTCTGCTGCACTTGGATAATAAACACCATAGACTACTTTATTTAAACAACTATACACTTTAACATGAAGCTACTGCCTCTCTAATTAAACATGTTAATTGAAGAAATCAATTTGTAGTGCTGTACAATGCAATAAATGTGTGCAAAAAAAAGTTATTTACCTTTAACTTGCCATGTCCTGTCCGAGTGGCTGTCCATCTTACGGCCGTGGTCCCCCACGCCCCAGTCTCGACTGTCCCTGCAGCAAAGACAGTGGGTGCATCAGTCTTGCCGAGTGCCCCGTGAGCCACAGCCCAGTGCTTCAAAGCACCTCTTAGGGTTTTTCAGCAGCAACAATGATAAAAGAGAATGTTGGCGATGAGGAAACACTGGACATGGTACGGTTAAACAAACCAGAAGGATTAAAAAAAACCATAACAAATGAGGCTTCACACATTGCACAAGCCTTATTCTTTTGTCTCAAGTCTTTTCATATTAGCAAGAATTATCAGTCTGGAGAGATAACAATATATAGAGCACGAATTATTATACAAGTCTGAAATCTATTACTTGAAATAACTCCAAACAATTAAGATAAGTTGCCGCAGAAAACCACTGCTATGTGGCAAGCCACATACTTTTTTTCTACTTCTACAAAACTGTAGTCGTTCATAAGTTGGGTGTGGCCCTCTCGTGTTTTGTATGTTTTAACCCAACAGCTGTGAGCACCAAGACAACCACTGACAAACCTCTATTCAAGAACACTGCCGAGTGACACTGCTCTCTTTGTGAGCAAGTCACAAGGATGCATGCACCACGAGACCATTAGGGGATTATTATGTATCAGAGTTAAGCCCCGTGCATTAGTGCTAATGGGAGAAACCTCTCCATGAGAAAACAGATGTTATATCAAGCATTTTGAACACAAGTGGTCTTTGGTAGGTACCAATATTGGTAATACAAGTCAAGACCTTCCTGTTCTCTCAATTAGAGAACAGGAAGGTCATAACACATTTATATTTATAATTAACCAATTAATTAAATTTCACTGGAGTAGAATCTTCAAACTTGATAATCATCCCCTTGCTTGGTTCGACAGATTCGTGACATTTAGCCAACGTAGAAAAAAATCTGTCAATGCACGCTAGATCCGTTTTACGCCCTAAAGACATTGTAAAAACGCACAGCCCCTTGTCAGTGTCTCGTCCGTCATGAGAATTGTTTGATCGTATATCACCATGCTGTTTAACGCGGGCTGACGATGCACCCAGCTATCAGAGTTCGATTCAGAAATTTTACTGTACCAACAACATATCGACGGCAGTCGCGCAGATTCAGGCTCTCGTATTCCTATTTTGCGTCGAATACCTGGTCTGCTGCGACAGGAATCCTGTGGAACGCGAGTCACTTCCCCAGGCGCTGGATATCCTGCCCGTAGCCGCTGGGCTGGGAGAGGCTGGAGGTCCAAGTGTCGCGGCTCGTGCGCTCCAACACGTTGCGCCGGTCCTCTCCAAAGTGCTGCACGGCAGAAACACCACAGCTCACTCTCGGCCAAAAATACTATATAGGGCTTTTAAAATATATATATAAAAATCATCCTAATACTTTTACCCATTGTGCTACCAGTGTCATGTAATGAGATGACGTATCCATTCGGATCTCTCCCAGAAACAGATATCAGAGTTACCTCCGAGATCCCTTCACGTCACCTGTTCACACAGTAGATGACAGCACTTTCCCACCTGCTCTGCCACTGACAGGCATATTTGTCACAAGGTATAATTTACCCAAATGAGTTGAAGAACTACATTAGATGTAATGTTTCTCTTGTCATTTGACCGAGACCACCAATTGATTACAATACAGTAAACATCCATGATTTGATCCCACCTGTGAAGGATGTCATTCCTGACATGCAATACCCTGGTGTCTACAAACCAAGTTGTGTCCTGCGGTAGCAGTTACATTATTAGGGAAACGAAACGACATGTCTCGGACCGTGTTCGCGAACACAAGGCAGATTTGAAACACGGCAGAACCAATATCTCTGCCGTGGCTGATCATTGTCATAACAGTGGGCTCGCACGATATTGTTTTTTTCCGAGACCAAGATATTCTGCAAACCTTCGGGCTACCATCAAAGATTGGTCCATGAACCCCATCCAGATATATAAACAGAGACAATTTCAACCGAGAAGATGGGTATAAGCAGGAGCAATCATTGGAAGGACGTTATTAACCAAGCAAAGTCGTATTCTTTATTTTTCTACCTACGTGACTTTACCGAAAGAACCAAAGAGTATGGATTCCTGCAGTCACGGAAGCTTCAAATCTAGATTGATTACAATGGTTTCATCACAGGCGGGTTTGCCTGGTTTTCGAATCAAGGACCTGAGCAGTGTCAGCTCAGCGCTGACCTCGGAGTCACTAGAAGGTTCAAATCTTGATTTGAAGCTTTCGTGACTGCAGTAATCCATACTCTTTGGTTCTTTCGGTAAAGTCTCGTAGATAGAAAAAAAACTAGAAGGTTATAGTGTGTATTAGGGGTGGCAGCTGTGAATGTATGCAGCACATTTCTTGAGTGCTCATTGTTCACTTCTGCATTACTCTTTTTGGACAAAAGCTCATTATACTATTCCAGTGGAATTCATGATTTTAAGCGGTAATCTTAAGAGGCAACATTAACGAGTACAATAAAATAATGAACTAATTTTAGTTAAAACACACTTGGTAAAGCAGTGCAACTGCAGCTCACCATACAATCTTATGTTCACTAAATATTCCTGGGCAAGACCATCAGTCAGCCCATCAATAAAAATACAAACAAACTGTTTAGTTCTGCAAGTGTCCCACCTACATCAATAGCCCTCTGTTGTGAATAACATTAGCAAATGGCTTGCTTAACTAGCATCAGTCTATTTTGTTAAAGGTTCAAAGTTTCACTGACACTTTGCCTAGGTACTTCACTACAACGATTTATTTCATGTGTTGCACATCCACAATGCCCATTATAAAATGACCAATTTCACCATCAACAGTGCCATATAACATTGTCCCACCTACTTCAGTGAACAAGCCTATGGTTAGGAGGCCCGACAATGGTTCGAGGTGGTTAATTGCTCTTGCATGGAGTACACTATGGAAAGACCACAGTAGATCCCCCGTAAATCTGACCATGCTTTAAACCGACACCGAAACACTTGAGTTGCACAGCACCAAGCAAGGATGACACAGCAGGCTCCTCGTGAAATTGCACCGCTACGCGCACGTGCCAGACTGACGCACCGGCAGGTTCCCTCGTTCGCCGATGACGCCGCCACCGCTGCGCATGGGCTCGCGGCCCCCGTAGGAAGAGCTGCCGGCTCCACTGGGGAGAAGGCTGCGCACGTGTCCATCCGGCTCGCGACCGCGATCCAGCCGTACCCGGTCGGCGTCGCGCGTGTCACGCATGACGTCCCTGCCGTACGCACAACGACGAGAGAAACACTGAGCGAGCATGCCCACCTGCGGAGGTTGCACAGGATTTACAACAGGTATGTGTAGCTGCCCTCTTCACTGAGCACAGCATATCATGTGAAATATATAAGTGTACAACTTTACATGCATCCCTGCTTAATCTTAGTGGTGATATTTTATGGTATTTATATTTTAAATTAGATTACATTTTCCTTGCCTTCGATTTTTGAATCAAGGCCTCAAGTTGACTAATTTTAATCTTCATTTTGGAGCTTTCGTGAATGCAGGAATTACTCTTTGGTTTTTTCAGTAAAGTCACGTATAAAGATAAAATAATAAATAAATTTTGTCCCACCTACATCAGTGAACCAAGCCTATGGTTGAGAAGGCTTGTCAATGGTTCGAGGTGGTTGGCTGATCTGGCATGGAGTACACTATGAAAGGACCATAGAGGGTGCCCCCATAAATCTGGCCATGCCAAAGATACAGAAATAACTTAGGCTTCTGTGTCGAACTTTTCTTCTCCATACACCTGACATGAAGAAACCACAGCTAAGCCAAATGTAAAAATGTCATCGAATTATGATCTTTTAATCACACTCCATTCTACACTTGCATCAAAACATCCAAAATAGTGAGCTTCAACTCCACAACTTCTCAACATCTCAGTGGCAAGCATAACGAGCCTCGTAAAATTATAGAACATTTCCTGGTTAATGACCCCACCACCTGTCAACCAGGTTTCGAATTGCAGCCTCACCGTTCATGGGCTCCATTGATCCCTTTCCCACAAGGTCATGGCGTGGCCAACGAGGCTATATGGAGCATCCCGGGTTCACTAAATCTGTGCATGCAGGACAGGTGTAGACCGATGCATATTGCGAAGGAGGAATTCCCTCAGGAAAGTGGATGGAGAACTGAGCCCACCTGAACACTGCACACTCCAACGCTGCGGTCTGGCTCGGCCAAGTACATGCAAGCTGAATGAACACGGACCTGCGGTCAGCTATGACCGTGCGCTCGGACTTCCAGTCAGTCGCGGGTGGTCCCACGGCGGGGGGAGTCGCGCCGAGGGCTGTGGCCGCGTGCCGCAACGTCACGGGGTTTTCCCAGCGCCGGCCGGTCCCGTGGTATGTCCATACGGCGATCGTCGCGGTCGCGCGTCTCCCGAACGTCATCACGCCGCCCCGCCTGGGGCCCGTTCAGACGGCTCGGCGTGAATATGGCACCATCGTCGCGGCTGCGGCCAGACTGATAGTCGGGCCGGCGGTCGTACGGCTCCAGGCGCCTGAATTCAAAAAGAGTGCATCAAAACGTCATTGTTTGCTTTAATCAGTTTTACATAAAAATATAATTCATTACTTGGAATTGCACATCACACAAACTTAAAACAAGTGACATTGTTAATGAGCACAATTGAACAGCACTGAATGTAAGTAGTACACATGAACTTAAGATACTGTTTCTATGGTGGAATGTACAGCTAAACAAAAGATAATGATCAGGGGCCTGGGTATCGAACGGCTTAAGCAATTCTATAAATTGCGTGCGCCAAGATATTTACCATTTCCAATTCCCTATGGGATGTATGCAAGGAGAATGCGTAAATTTACATCATATCGTAGGGGCAGTAAAGAGCAGCCTTGAGTCCATCATGCCTCATGTCTACACACCCATGGAGAAAGTGCTGTTCGCGAGCACTTATGGAGGCCGACACGGCAGACAAGTGCACACAAGACATACACTATCACACACAATACAGACACATCATCACAAATACACATTGAGAGACACATGCACCGCAGACATCTCTCATATAGCCTTTCAATAACGTAAGGCCAATACCGCACATGATACACACACAAAAAACGCTCTTTCACTCGAAAAATGACACACATGCTCTCACATTTGCATAAATACACACAAAATCACACTAAAATAAAACAAATTACATAAATATACTTCAGTCCGGCTGAAGTGCACGGAGTGATGACATCACGGCAGCCAAGTTGCAGGGGCTTAATGCAACGAAGACAGCCGCGTTGCATCGACATTGTTTTCCTGGCAGCTTACTGGCTGGGGTAGTGATTAGGTAATCCATAGCAACCACCGATGCGTGTAAATGTTTGCGAAGCGGTACTTTCAGTGCCACGCAAATCGTACTCGGGCAGACTTAAAAGTTAGGCTTGCAATGTGCACAACCATCAAATCACTCCGAAGACCATTCAAATATTATCAAGTGAGATTGTGCAATTTACTTTAAAAAAGGATGATCACACCTCTCAAGTTATTTTGCTCAACACATGACCAACAAAATCCTCACATAAGATTTTAACATAAAATTCCAACCAAAACAATGTTGGTTTCCAGCCTTAAGGCCCACCATTACTTTGAAAATTACCTTAAATATTATATATAGCGCATGAGCAGAAGCAACCCTCACCTTTCTATCCCGATGGCAGGCAAGAGCCGCTGGTCGGGGAACTTTCCGCGCTCGCGGTGGTCGTAGTCGTTGAAGCGGTTGGCCGTCGTGTCCCCGCGTTGCAAGAGGCTCTGCCCGTAGCGCGCGTCGCTGTCCAAAGCCAGGCGCTTGGGTTCACCCCAGTAAGAATCGTCACGCCTGCATCCACCCCACAGCGGCGACAACATGCACCCGCGTTACGCCGGTTGGAAGGATATGGCAAAAGGCCAAGGGCAGAGCAAATATAAATTACGTAAAAAAATATACCATTGGCACACAGATGACTTCGGCAATGATGCCTGACCGAGGTATATAACAAGTTAAGCAGGATTTGTTTATTGTGTTGTTTTTCCTGAAGGTCACAATGCCTATTGCATTTCCCCCCCAATTTGATCAGTCTATTATAACATTGTCTCACCTACTTCAGTGAACAAGCCTACGGTTAAGAGGCATGACAATGGTTCGAGGTGATTGGTTTCTCTAGCATGGAGTACACTACAGAAGGACCACACAGGAGATCCATCTATAAATCTGACCATGCTCTAGCCCAGGGGTCGGGAACCTTTTTGACTGGGAGAGTCATAAAAGCCAAATATTTCTAAATATATTTCATTGACAGCCATATAGTATTTTTAACGTATGATAAATTAAATGTCTTACTTTTAATGCGACTTCTGGTCACGGGACCCGTGACCCGAGAAATTTTAACTTCAAAACTAATTTCTGTTTACTTTAAAATGACACAGTATTATTAAGCAATATCACAAGTATTTTAAAACCAGTTCCAAACTGATTTTATTTTAATTTTTTTATTATTATTTTTTTCAACTCAAAATTGTCTGGGAGCCATATGCCGTCACTGGAAGAGCCATATATGGCTCGCGAGCCATAGGTTCCCGACCGCTGCTTTAGCCCCACGCTAATGCATCGAGCGGCAGCACACACCAAGGGAGGCAGACTGGTCCAGCTCCTGAGTCAAATAACAAACCCAAGCGTGCACTGGACATCCACCACCATAATTATTCGGTCTTATTTTGTGCACGAGTACAACCCACCTACCCACACATCTGTAAAGTAGTTTGGGGTACCAAGCTTTAAATTATAAGACAATGCCCATAACTGTGGCTAGGTATTTACGGTCTGCAATTGTAAACACACCACTGCCAACAGTCAAATGAGTTTTACTTGAAATTGAATGCAATACACATGGGTAACATTCATCCAGGAGCTTAATGTGGGTAAATAGAATCAGACATTTGATTGCATGTATTGAACAGCGCTGTGTAGTTTAAGTAAGATGTGACAGTAATGTCACCACAGCGCTTGGGCCAGGCTGGGTACACTTTTGAGGCGACGTGAAACATCAGAGGACCCACCGCCCTGGCAGATCGTCATAAAACAGATCCATGTGTTATGGGCAGGAATACACATGCACACACACGCACCTGTTATCGACGTCGTACGTGCGCTTGAGCGATGCGCGCCGCTCCTGCTCCAAGCGCAATTTCTCTTGCTGGCGCCGGAGCTCCTCACGCATTCGAGCAATGCGCTCCTGCTCCTTGCAGCGCTCCTGTCAATGACAGCAGGAAGCACACACATCATCGGTCGCTCCCCAATAAAGCTGGGGTGATTTGTCAATCAAGTCATATTTTTGACTGAAAGTTGTAATCAACCAAGTAATTCAGGTTTCTACATACTGCCTCCTGAAGGCAGCAAACCATAAACTACGCCTATCACCTGTTCCCACATGTCCAGCAACAAATGAGTAGAGGTGAGACTTTTCATCCTGCAATTCTTTCATGTTATTCAATTATCTGAGTAATCAAACTGATCGTTGGGCCGTAATCGATTACTTAGTCGGATAGCCCAGATGCACCGCCCAACGCTGCCTCCATCCAATCCAGTCATCAGTTTTAACATTAACAACTCTTCTTTAACCCAGCAAAGCCTCAGCCAGTCTCAAGGTTCAGTTTGTACTATGGTTTTTAAATCAGTGTTTTGCACATGGCAAAAAATTGCAGTGCCTGGGGAAAACCTACACAAGAGGTGAGAATACTCAAACATTGCTGCACAAATATACATGCATGCAGCCTTGGGAAAACCCACTTCCGGTGAAATAACACATCTTGGAGAATGATCGGAGACAGAGTGCGCAGTGGGAGTAAATAGAACAGAGTATTGTCTTGAGCTTGGACTTAAAGAGGTAGTGAGTGAACAGTGCAGACTATCAGGAGGTAGTTCCAGACACGGACAAGTAACAATAATCCACCGAAATGAAGTGGTGGTTTTGTCAGGTTTGGGAAATTGATACACAAGTAGGAGAGTAGGGGGGATGAGAGTGGGCACCTGCTTGAAACGCGCGTGTGTGCGTGCATGTAGGGGGATGGCTATACGGGGGATCTGTCTTTGTAGAAGGGATGAGAGCGGAGCGGTCACCTGCTCGATGCGCACGCGCTGTCGCTCGAGGCGCTCGCGTTCCTGGCGCTCCTTCTCCAACCGGAGGCGCTCCATCTGTAGGCGCTCACGCTCGCGCTGCAGCTGCTCCCGTTCCTCGCGCTCCCGCAGCACGCGAATGCGTTTCATCTCCTGACGTTCCTTCAGCTCTTTGAGCTCCTTCAGTTCCTTCTGTCGCTCCCTGAATGCAGTGGTGACAACAGTAGGCTATGGTTTTACAGGTAGGAACAATGTTCCACACTGCCCACCAGGGATTTATTGTCTGTCTGTGTCTGACCATCTGTCTGTTTGTTTGTCGTGCATAAATATATAACATAAACAGCTCTTTGATTGGTGGAAACCTACTTCCGGGTACGGAGAGGGGAGGTGCCTAAGGGAGGAGGTTCAGGGGAGGGGCCCAAGGGAGGGGGGGGGCGATAGTTAAGGGGGCTGTCTGCCTGGCTACCTAAAGTCAAGTTATTTTTTCTACATACAGGTAGGAACAACAGGTTCCACACTGCCCACCAGGGATTATTTGTCTGTCTGTCGTGCATCTTATTCGCTGCGTTAACTCTCCCATGCCACTCGACGCCATCTTGGTGCCAGTCCTTTCCCACCCCACCACCTCTGTGCTCTCTCCCTCCCCCACCGATGGTGCTTCAAACAATGGCGAATAGGCTTCAACGTAAATATTAAGTCTTCTATTAAGAGTCTTCAAGGCGGTACGTGACTCCACAGATATTTGCTTTATCACTAAAAACACCATGAGTATATTGATAAGCTTTTTTCTCGTATCTCTTGACGCAGAATAAGCTGCCTATGCACATATAATATCGTATTGTAAGTTAGAGTACAGGCGAAGCGTACTCAGTGTTTTGTATCTCCTGCACTTTTATTATCGATTTGTACCGTTTGCTTATGGAATATTGTATTGATTCCTAAGTCATGGAATCTATTATCTTCTACTTTTTGAGTACTTGATCAAACTGCTTGGCGCATGGCACGCATTTTTACAGACGCATCTTGCAATGTCATTGTTCTGATCATTATAGATACAATATAAACAATATAATAAACGTACACCACTTGGTCAAGCCACTGCTAGATGAAGGCCTAACCACGCCATGTCAGTCATTGAGCTTGTTTTGACCATATTTCACTCCGGTCATTGTGGGTGTGCTGAAGATTGATAATGGTTTTTTTAATAAGCTTTTGTGCATGCAATTATCGCAACACCCTTAAAAATTCAATGAACATCCCTAACTGGACATGTGTGCATGGTGGCAATGGCTGCCTGTGGCCATGTTTACGATTCAACTGGAGTCCCCCCCCACTCCCAGCACACTTTCCAGTTTTTCAATTAATTGTGATAGATTTACAGTCATTATTTCATTATTATTTTTTTTCATTTTGACCATCTCTATTTTAATTCATACAGTTATTTTTTGGTTACTTTACTTTCTCCTCAATGCAACATTGCAAAAATGCAAGTAGAGTTTTAATTAGGCTTGGCCAAGACACATCGTGACTTAAAGGGATAATAGCAAGTGGACAGAACTTGGGATGGAATGTCAACCGATGGAGAAAACACGTGTGAGAAAATAACCACCACAGAGATGAAGCAATGAGATCATCTCATGCGCATGAGCTGGGTGGATCACAAGATCATGAGGGATGGTGACAATATCGGGGAAAATATTGGGGAACCTTTTCTCCCAGCAGTAGATTGAGCATGGCTGATGATGATGATGAACATTGGCATGTAATGTACATGCATTGTAAATAATCTAATCTCACGCGACTTGTTTATTTGTCAGGAGCATAATCAATTTCAGTTGATGAATTTATTTTACGTGCCTACTCAACGTTTTGGGTAGTTGCTACATTTGTGGGTAAGACACGAGGTTGCCATTTCTTAATTTGAAAAAAATAGATTTGGCATTTCTTATTTATAAATTATTCTGACATGAGACATACATCGTGAGTGTGAAAATGGATAATTGACAGTATTTTATTATAATACAGCTATTATTGACAGTATTTGAATCTTATACAGGGAGCGATTTTACCCGCCCGAGCCTTCAATATTGACATCTTGATAAGGGCCAGCCACTCAATGGGGAACGCCATTTGTTTCATGCAAGACGGTCCTGTCGAGGTGGCCAACGTGCTGCCCCGGGTTTGCCCGGTGCAACGCCCGCAGGTGACCTTTCTCGACTGCGGCGTCTATGCCCTGCTCAACATCATGCACCTAGTGCGCCATTACGACAACATCGTGGCCGTTCAAAGACCAGGTCAGGTGGATTGGCGCGCGTGGTACACGCAGGAGGTGGCGTCACAGCACAGGCGCAACCTGCTGCAGCAGCAGCATGAACTTAAAGACCTACAGCAATAAATCAACAATCATCATCAGATGCAATAGTAACAGCTACAACCTCCAACATGACTACGGTATCCAACACGGATCGCACGAATGCGCTGTCCAACCAAGTTCCTACCTGCCCACTCCGAAGGAACGTGTTATTTCTCACCTCCCTCGGACGAAATTAAAGGCCGCATGAACTTGCTTCCATGAAGTAAAATACTGCAGAAGTGTAGGAGTTAAATCTCAAAGTTGAACATAACCAAAAAAAATCTGAAATACAAGCCCATTTCCTACAACCAGCCACATAATCCTGACAGTCGTCTGAGACCCCTTGCCAACGAGCTCACATGCACTGCCATAAGGACACATGCACTGCTTAACGCTACATACAGCGGTGCGTTCATTGACAGTGCGCTGCGCTGACCTGATTTTCTCCCGGGCATCCCTCTCGTTCTGTCGTTTCCGTTCACGCTCCCTCTCCTCGCGGATTTTCTCGAAGGACAGCACGTCCGACTTGGTGGAGCTCTTGGGGTCGGCCTTTACATTGCTGCTGCTCTTCTTGTCATCAGACTTGGTTGTGGACTTCTGGGCACAAGCGTTTTTAACACCCTGTTTAAACCAACTTCCACCAAACTTGGTATATTACTGTTAAACAGCAAGTTGACAGTGCTCCGAAAGGCATGTACATAATTACAGGTGACTTCGTCGGATTTACGACAATCCACATTCACCACGTTGCTGATAAAAGGGAAAAAATCATTGGCAAGTGATGTTTCTACTGTTTCTGTCTACGGGAAAAGAGGGTCCCATTTGCAACAATCCGATTTCTGACGGGGTTTCCAGGAATGCACCGTGTTGTACAAGCGGGGGACGACACTGGTATTTTTGGAGATTTTACTGAAACATTTTCGAACACAAATTTCAAGTGGCTCGACAGATCAGTGATCAGAGCGGTGGGTTTCCATCCATGCAGCTGCCCATGATTAAACTGAAATCTTAAGTGGAGTGATTATGACTGCACAAGAAACATTAATATTTGGTTTTACACTTGATTTGGCGAATGATAATAAAAAATATTGGTTTGCCTGTAGTACAACAGTCTCTTGGCAGCGTATATGAGAAAGAATAAAATGGCCACGGGGATGATTTTTTGGAGAAATGTTGTGAAAAATATCTACATCAATCAGGCCAACGTCTGACAATCGATTGCTTTGAGATTTCCAAATGTATTCTTTATCTAATGACATGTCAAAAGCACAATTGGAATTTGTCAGTAAGAGCAAACAACCCAATTAATGTATTAATCGGTGACTATTTCGTACATTCTGTAATTAAACTAAATGTTTTATTTTTATTTTACCAGGTAAGGCCCACGAAGCTACATAGCTCTTTTTCAGAAGCAACTTGGTCACAAATGATAGTTCAACGAAGTGGCTTATCACGTGGAAATTTATCGCAGCCAAATACTCTAAAACATGTGTCTAAATGTGGAGGGAAAATGCGGGGGACCTGGAAAAAAAATCCAAACGACCATGGGGAGAAGACGCAAACTACAAATATACAGGCGTCAGGGTTGGGTTTGAACCCATGACCTCCTGTATACCAGGCGCGGTCGTTAACATCTCGTCACCATGGTGGCGAGTGCTACACTGCGTTTCAGGCGACAATAAACATTCGCTTTCAAATGTCAGTCTTTACTACAAGTGCCATACATGTCTATTTTTATCCCTTTTATTTGAAGTGTTTATTGCTTTGTGAAATGATACGGAACCAATTTGAGTTACTTTACCTTGTCCTTTTCCTTGTCCTTGCTTGTGGTCTTCACGCACACCACAGGCTCGCCTTTTGATTTATCCATCACCACAGTTCGGTCGGCGATCTTTCCACCTGTAAAAACAAAAATTAGAAAACACCCATTAAAAACCTTGACTCGGACAGCAACGTGAACCTGAAGATTAATTCAATTACTTTCTCTTATGATTAGTGTCAGCACAACCACACACTGAAATACGTTTAATATATTTCAAAAGTTTTCAATTTGAACGAGTGTCCGTTCGTGACTAGCACACAACGCAATATGGATGCTCGTCTAGCTGGCCAGTCTAATAAAAGAACATCCCACTCACCTTTTTTGTCGTCTGGCTTTTTGGTGCTGCTGCTGGATTTTTGATCTTCCTTTTCCTCCTTTCCATCCTTGTCATCTTTCTTCTCCTCTGGTTTCTTGGCCGAAGAGCTCGAGCTGCTCTCCTTGGTGTCTTTCTTCTCAACAACTTTCTTGTCATCCTTCTTTTCCTCCTTCTTGCCCGTGCTGGAAGACCTAGTCAAGAGGGGTCTCTGGATTATGAACCGCATTTATATTGTTACAAATAATGCCTACCCAATTAATGTCAACAGCTGTTCAGTCTACTTTTACAACAAAAGCTGTGCGCATTATTCAAGTCAATTGACATGGAAAAAAGCGCACCTGGCAATTAACAATATCTCTGACTTAGAATAGCACACATACAAGTCGAAGGGACAAGTATTCATTTAAAAAACTGCCCTAGGCGTATCAATATTATGTACGTGGCTATGCCTACTCTAGAATCAATGAAAAAAAACCCTTGAAAATGAAGGGTCCATTTTAAGGATTGGATAAGAGTTGCTAGCTGCACGGATGTGTGCCGACTTCATGCTTACTGGTGGGGTTTGGTCTCAGTGGATTTTCGATCGCCAGAAGAACTTGCTTTTCCAGCCTTCTTTATCTCAACCTCTTTCTTGTCACTCGCTTTCTTGCTGGCCGGATCATTCTTTGCCTTTTATAAAGAAAACAATTACTGCAGTTTACAGCTGAAATGTTGTAATATTAGTATTACTGCAAGTCATATTACTTGTCGCGGACTACAGAACTTAACAGAATGTGGGGAAAAATTATTACGTTTTTCTAGATCGCTATTCAATTGCACAAAGCCTCCTTCAAGTGTAAAATGTCTACCACATTTATGAGATCTAATCTGACATCAATTATGGTCAAAGTTATGGTTTAAAATCTTAAGGTCACCCAAAACATATTGTGATTTACATGGCATGTGGCCAGTCAGGTGCACTCCTCTCACTTGACCTGGTATTATGGGTGCCTTGGTATTTATTCAGCGTAGAGTACAATGTGTGCAACTAAAGTATTATTTAAAGGCTACAGTTAATAAGCGCCAAAAGCAGAGGTGGGAGAACATATTGACAGTAGGTTGGACAGGGCACTAGACTTAATTACTGTATGGCCCATGGTGATATGACTACCACTTATAAAAAGGTCTGAATTACACTTTTCTTTTTTTTGCACATTGCTCAAATCTTCCTGTTGTCTTTCAAGCAGTTCTGCGCAACGTACAGTCCTCCCATGAGCAAAGTTTCACGTGAACTAATTTGCATCCCTATTTCGTGACTGCAGGAATTCATATTCTCGGGTCTTTCGGTAAGTCACAGAGATAGGTAAAAAAAACTACGACATTTTGATCGCAACACAAGGTCATTCTTCAGGACAAAAAATAAAAAAACACCATTTGTGTTGCGATCGAAACGTCGTAGTTTGTTATTTTCTTTGAACCTATCTACGCGACTTTACCGAAAGATCCAAGAATATGAATCCTATTTGGCCCTGCGTAAGAACAAGGTTCACCAACACTGCCATAAATGTGATAGTTGGACAAGAACCCATGCACACACCCGCTCCACAGAAATCATGCGCCCGTGCAGCTCTGTGCGATGGAGGTGGCTGATGCACTTGGTGGCTTCCTCCACGGTGGCCATCGTGACAAACCCGTAGCAACGGGCCCCCGGACTGCGTGCATTCGTCACAATCTTGGCGCCAATAACCTGTGCGAGTGCGACAAGTATAACTCGTTAGTACACTCACAGAGCCCAAATCAGATGACCAAGGACTTTTCTGTACTGAAACTAAAACTTGGACATGAGCAAGTAATTTCTGGGTTAACACCAATACACAGGAAAGATTGACGTAGTTTATTGCTCGTGCTAAAAACCATACCAGAAGGGCTAAAGCAGCGGTGCACCGGTTAGCACACCTCACAATATACTACCATGGCTAACATCAGTGGCAAGCGATATCTGGACCAGCCCCCGTGCTCTCTTCACGAAATCGCAATGACCGGCATGGCAATATATGATCAAAGAACCCCCACGACTGGACACATGGGGAGGCCTTTACCCAGCAGTGGAGTTACAAAGTGTTGTGAAACAAACCAGGAAGCAGTTAACCAAGCCGCATCAGGTGGGCTCACCTTGCCATACTTGCTGAAGGCATTCTTGAGATCCGTGGCCTTGGTCGATGAAGACAGGCTGCTCACCCACAGGTTCTTGCCGGAGACACTACCACTGTTGCCACCACCACTGCCTCCTGACGCACCGCTTCGGCCTAAGTACACGAAGACCACCGCCAATTCCCGTGAGACGTCGAAACAGCTGCAGCAATGTCGTTTGTTTTTACTCCCAGAGGTTAGACGCGATGGAACAAGGAGTTGCCGACATGCCCTTGAAAACCCCGATGATTAGTTTGGAAAGCACATCACACAATTTGGTTATCTCATGTGTGCCACATTTTTTGTGAGGTGTGCATTTTACTAAATACCATGTTGACATTTTCTTGGTGCCAGGGGGTAGAAAATTACATTTTCAAATGTGAACAATTGCCCAAAACTTGCCCACACAACCCACCTTTGTCCTCTTTGCTTGCTCCCTTGCCATCCTTGGAAGAGCTGATGCAAACAGATAAGGTAATAAATCATGGATTGCAAAAGCAGCAACACCTTCACAGCACTTAACACCAAAAGGACAAAATACAAGACAGAGGTGATGAGAGACGCTTTGACTTTTCACTCAAACTGCTAGAGGCTAGTGATCTTCAGGTGACGATCACACCAGCCACGTGCCACCATCCCGTACTCTCGTGACGGCCATCTTCCCAGCGCACCCGGACTCCCGACTGCCGTTTCTTTACCGCTACTCCCTTGACGAACATCTTCCCACAGGCACCCGGATTCCTGACTGCTGTTTCTGTACTGCGTGGTCCGCCCCCGCAGCCTCCACTTAGGGACAGATGAAGCAGCAGCAGCACCAGCACTGCAGCTCACCAGCTTCAATCGGCCGATTCCCAACGCGTAACGCATCCGATGATAATCAACGACGGGGGAGCCGATTGTTACCAGATGAAAAAAAATTTAAAGAGGGGAAAAAATAAGAGGTTCAAACGAAAGTGACGGACGTTTTACCGTGGCCCACACGTACTTGGGATTTACATAAATTAAAGACATAAGACAAGAGCAAGGCATGTGTAGGAAACAAACCTCTTGGCTTGATCACTAGTGCCTGATGAGGAAGCACCCTTCTTTGCTGCCTCCTTTGATTTGTCAGGAGTGCTGCCAGGCTTCTTGCCGTCCTCCTTGCCGTCCGACTTGCTGGCGTCGGAGGACGCTCCCTCCTCCTTCTTCCCGTTAGCGGCAGCTCCCTCCTTGGCCGCCTTCTCCGCCGACTCGTGCCCCTCCTGCTTTGAGGTCGCACCGTCGGTAGCTTTGGTGGAGCCACTGGAACTTCCGCTGTTGGTGCTTTTTGTAGAGGCTGCCCCTTTCCCTGATGAGCCGTGGGCACCCACAGAATCCTTTTTCGGTGCTTCGAGCAGCAGGTCCCCGTCCACGTCAAGTGTGAGGGCGTCTTCGGCCTGCACCGTGACCGAGATGTTGTCCTCTTCCGCTTCGGGGCGAGGGGCGTTCATATCCAGGACGTCTTGCGCAGAGACCTCACCTTCCCCAGCCGGAAGGGAGCTTAACCCTCCCTCACACAACCCCTCTACATTCTCCTTGTCTGAGAGATTAAATACAACAAAGTTTAATTCATACAAAACACAAGGTCTGGCATCAAGTCTACAGTAACAACAGTGCATGAGAACACCTTTTAACAGTGACTAGTCTGCAAATGAAGATTGGAGAAAGCTTCTGATCTTTCATTAAAAGGACAGTTACCCAGTGTAACACAACAAAACTGGAGTAAATGTGCTGGAAGAAATTCTATACTTGGGAATTCAAGAGTGAAGTCCCATTTCTTTTTTTAAAACAAGAACAGAGGTGGGGGAAAATGCAGTTAAAAATGCGGTTAGAAACACAATCGATCATAATATCTTAGACTCGATGGAAGTTTTCATTTTATCTGGATGGACTTCACCCACAGCCAAGTCTCAAAGTCGGTCGATGGGATGGTCCAAAGTGTCCACTCCGCATCAGTCCCTCGACAATGTTCTCAGTTGCTTGCCACTCTCCACGCCTCGCACAGCAGGGCAATCTTCTTGTAAAACTCTGGCTTGGTCCGTTACAATCTTGTGTGGAGTCGTTTCCCTCCGTTTCAGGTGGGATTTTCTGTAACGAAGCGCCGCCCCGTCTCGTCCAACATCGCCCCCATTTTGTTGCCGTGGCAGAGGAGACGATGGTGGCGAGAGATAGTTGCTCCGTGGTTCTTGCTCGAGGTTCTTGGCGTTTTCTCCAATGGCCGGCAGACGAGGTCACGTATGCTTGGGCTCCTCCATTTCATAACGGTGGTGGTGACGATGCCATTAAACCATTTAACCATAATCAGCCTTAAATACCCTATTATCAGGTTACCAAAGCATGTCGTAGTGATAAATTACTGCTTTATCGGGCCAAATGTTTAAAAGGGCATATACCGGGCCATCGGCTTAAAAAGGGGCATATACCGGGCCATAGGCTTAAAAGAGCATATCTTTTTAATATATATAAATCTGCTTTGGTAACCTCAGGAAGCTTTCCAATCTTCATTTTCAATAACCACTTTACAGTTATTTGGGCCAGACACTACATTTAGAAAGGAACCGGAAATTACTTTACCTGATGTAGCATCAGTCAGCGTCATCTGTGTGATAGAGAATTCATAATTTAAAATCAAACTATTCACTTTTCCATAAAATGTAAACTGAAGGGCTTACAAATTTCTCTCCAAAATGTTGATATAGCATAACATCTGACAGCCTTGAACATAAAATTGAGAAGATGTTTCTCCACACTGCACAAGGAATGTCAAACAGCAGTTTATGCAAATCCGATTAACTAAATTCAACAGCAGTGAAATATTAACACTTACATCTCCATCAGTGACTTCATCTTTATCTTCTTCAAGGGCCGAATTTTCAGCTGACACCTCCACATCTAAGGAGTCCTGCAGAAGAGAAACAAAGCACACAAAAAATATAGAGCCGGTTCTAATACACTTGAAACCACTCCCAAAATATTATAATGTACTGCATCTGCCCCAACAACTGACACAGAAAATAATTATTGAATAGGCAGTGATTAATCTTCCCCATACCTTCGTGATTAAAAGCATTTCCACAATTTGGGCTCACAATTCCATTCAAGAATCTGTTGTGTCCCTCTTACTGTCTCATTCATATTGTTTATCATTGAAATCTCACATATGCTGTCTCATCCATTCAATTGGTCTAAAGATGCATGACATAAAAGGTCTATAAATCGTAAGATATGTAAGCTACAATCAGTCTCATCATTATATACGGTCTCACACTCAAGTGCAAAAGAGTAATTAATCCATTAAAAATCTACATGGACTAATATTGCCCTTTTGTCAACCCTTTTCTGGATGTAGGTCTCCCCACACCATACTTATTAGGATGCTGGTCAGTGCGAATAGGAGTGTACATATGGAACTGCTTTTTGTGTTTAGTTCGTTGTCCTTCACCTGCACCTCCGATTAGCACGGTTGGTTACGTATGGTGGGAAAAAAGTTCAAAATACATATAGCAGTATATTACATGTCTTTTATGCACTGCCCACCACATGATCCTGCAGTCCTATGGAAACTTGATTATGTACAGTGGTTACCCATCAGAGCACCTTGTAGGCTCAACCCTCCTCAGCCTAAATTTCGATTTAAAGCTTTCGTGACTGCAGGGATTCATCTTCTTGGTTCTTTCGGTAAAGTCACGTAGAATGCCATTCAGACTGTCTTCTCGACAGACCTGTTCTCCACCTGAGGACGGCTGCTTGCGTTGTGGCCGAAACGTCGTGAGAATAATTTTATTAAGTTTTTATTTTATTATTATATTATTTCCTCAGCCTCTTGAAATTTGATGTACAGTATTTTCCCGCATATAACCCGCGGGGTAAACCACTTTTTACAAACAAAACAAGACCCTGCGGGGTATATGGAGGTGCGGGCTATCCCAAAAATATTTTACACGTGTGACATGTCATAACTCGTTTCATTTTTTCATGATAGGACTATCCACTATGCAACACTTACCTTAGACTAAAGCACTGCTGAATAAACCACTCGCACTAAAATAGCACATGTTATCACGTTTTAAATGAATTGTTTGTACAATTAAACGACAATGTTTGAGGTGCGCGCACTGTTTACCGACGACGGAAGAGCTGGGGGAGAGAGAGGTGGGGGGATGGGGGGTGGGGCAGCTGGGGGAGAGGGAGGTGGGGGGGTGAGGGCGAGGCAACGGAGTTACCTTAATTCTGCTATTGACTGCGCAGCGCGCAATCTACCAGTGCTAAAACTGTACTTGTCTACCAGTTGTTACTTATTTATTGGATATTTACTTTTGTTACTTATTTACTGTTTTAAGTTCACTCGTTTCTGGTTAGTTTGTTGTCTTTGTGCACGTTATGATTTTAATGTTAACAATTGTTAGTGGAATGTATTACAAATGTAAACTTCGTATTAATGATGGAATTAAGCTGCGGTAACGACGTTAAAGATATTAATGCATCCGGGGTATATGGAGGTGCGGGCTATCTGAATTTTTTTTTACACAAAGCGCTATTTTTGCGGGGTATATGCGTCTGCGGGTTATATGCATATGCGGGCTATATGCGAGAAAATACGGTAATCGGGCACATTCCAGGTGACTTGATTGGAGGAATAACCTATAGAGGCACGTTCAAACCAAAGATGGGGCAAGGGAAGGGTAAATGGTTCAACATCTTACCTCCACCATCGCCTCTGCCCTCTCACTATTAGCTGCTTGCTCTGCAGCATTCTCCATTTCCATCATTTCTACTTCGTCAGCGCTAATGACCTTGTCCTCGCTGTCAGTCATGTTGGTTTCAACTTTGCCAGCCTCCTCGTCGCCTTCCTCCTGTGCATCCCAGTCGGTGCTGTTGTCGGCCGCCATCTCTGTATCCTCCTGGGACAGAGCACAGAATAAAATAATTATCATCGAATACCAAAATCAATTGTAATAATTTTATCGCCCACAAAGTGTGACAAAGTACCACACAGGTTATTTTAAAAGGGGACAATGTGGCATTGACATACAAAGTGCACACTCTGTCTTGTTCATTATGCATTAAGACCACCACACTGGAAGCCAACATACTACATGAAAGTTCCACTAGTGTTCAAATTGTATGCCAAAGCATGCCTGTGCAGTAGAGTAGCCTTCAGCATTAATACCAAGGTCAACTCTTAAAAGTTCCAGTGAACAACTAATACAACTCGAACAGAACTGCAGATCTGAATCAATTAAGGCTCTCATTAATTCAGCTCGTGTAATAATAGATTTTTATCATAGGATCGTAATACAATGAACAGAAAGACTTTGTTAAAAATAAGTATGGACTAGAGTTTAGACTTGATGGTTAAATCATATACACTTACATTTGTGTCATTGGCATCTTCGACAGACCCTTCTTCGTCAGACTTTTTGTCTGTGAATATTAAAAACATGTTATTTTAAAAACACTAGACCAATTATTATCAAATTATCTGCCAAGGGCTGTCCACAACAAAACAGAATGTTGCACTGGAGGTGTTATTGAAAGCCCTCACTTTTAGGAGTCCTCTTATGTGGCTTTTTCAGCGACACCTCCACAGGGATTTGCAGCGCCTCAGGGTTTCCACCCTCCTCCTCCACCGCCTAGAAAACAAAGCCATCAGATGATAGCATAGTCACTGTCAGAAATAACTTTATATTCCACACCTCTGATTATCACGGTTGCAAAATAAGTTCCACATAAATATCCATGCTCATATTCATACACAATGAAGCTCACATCCCTGGACACTGGTGTTGGTTGATAAAGGTATATGTAATATGTACGCACAGTAACGTACAATGTATTTTAATGCACTGCACTATGATGCCCACAACGTAACCCCACATAACACCTGTTTCATGCATGGTGGCTGACGATCCAACCACTATCCAGACTTAACCCAAAGCCTCCTAGATCTGACCAGATCGAATGTATTTTGGGTAGGTTGGCAATCGGCAACCATTATCCAACTAGTTTTTATTTCACTTCCTATACAGCAGCGTAGTATCAGTTGATGGTGCTAATTTCACCAACCCGCGGAAGGTAACGATGAGGTTATCTTGTTGGGCGACTGCGACAATGCTTGTGATTTAAATGAACACATTTTGAAAAAAGATTGTCTATATTCCAGTTGGTGACTGTAAATAAGTTGTACCATGTTGCTTTATTACACTCAATTACGCCACTGCGTTTGTGCAATGCTCCTGCTTGAAATACAATCCAGGTGAATTCATTTAACAGGCCACTATCTGCTGAGACTCAGCTGGGCTGTTAAATGCAGATAGATGGAAAACATGAGCTCAGAAGGGCCATATGTCAATGGCCTAAACTATTAAATGTTTTTACGCGGTGAAACGGACCATATCGGCAGCTAAGCTGGTCTGTACGAACCAAGTTGTGAAATACGGGACATCTGTGGAAGAGTTGTATGGTTCATGAGATCCCTCCAGTCTAAAATAAGATCGTGATTCTGAAGTTCCACATAGCAGAGGTAGTGCTGATTTTTACCGTAAATCGTAAGTACATATACAATTTACAACCGTGTGAATCCACTGTTGGATTAAGACATCCCAGCGCCACGTCAATTTCTCCAGGCCGATATAAAAAAAAACTCATTCGTCAATTAAACTGCATTAAAAATATACTAGGTGACGTTTCAGGCAACTAACCTTTTTCACAGCAACATGTGCTTTGGGCAATGGCCCTTCAGAGTGCGTGCTTTCGGGCAGCACACGTGCTGTGACGAAAGGTCATATAGCCCGCAACATCCCCTTTTCAAGGCCAGTGTTCTTGACAAATCTGTTTAGTTTTTGTTGTTTGTGCTCGCGCTCCAATGCCAACGCAGTAGCGCCACCAAATAATATTTAACCTTGCCGATCAGTGCGGGTTGGTAAAAAGGGGTTAAGAGGGTAGAGACCGGTTCTGACCCACACTCGCTACTGATGTTAACTGTGGCCAGAAATCGAACCAATGTAGCTTGGTTTAGTAACTCGGTGCGCTCAACACCGCGTCCCCATATTATTTGGGTCTTTCGGTAAAGTCACGGTATTTTTTATTATTTGTTTTATCTACGTGACTTTACCGAAAACCCCAAATATTAATTCCTGCAGTCACGAAAGCTGCAAGATACTGCGTCCCCATTATAAATGAGCATTTTTGTACTTGAGTAAATTTTCCATAAACTCGGCATGATCAATAGATATTTAGCACTCGTGTATGACTGGCGTTTGGTTTTAGTTGAAGTTTGCATAGTCCGGGCCTTTCCCGCCAACACGTGCAGAATTGCGACCGCCTCAATGCAAATCGACCGCTCATCGGCGTAATAATGCAGTCCAACACACACGTCAACAATTCGAGTTAAATAGTAAAATAATATAAACCGTTTATTGAAAACAAGTCTACTTCCTCAACGTGAACCCATTCACTCAACAGCGTGGACTCCACCTCAAAGCTATAATCCAGGACAAAGGCATCAAAAATACCACAGCCACGCAGACAAATGAAGCAACATTTATATTTGTAATAAGTGTAATCACAATTGTACAAGTTAGTGGTCACACACGACACGCGCGTTAATTGGGCCTTCGGTTGAAGCCCGTTCGTCTAGGCCTCAACATCCCTCCCGCGTCCGCCATCATCGCCAAAACCGGGACTGCGCACCTTCCTGAGCCGGTCCACCAGCACGCTCTTCACGCCGCTTACGTCCAAGTTCCTCTTCTTTAACTCGGACTTGAGGTCCACGACGCGAAGGTCGCCGATTCGCTTCGTCTCACTCACCGCCACCGCGACCTCCTCGCTCGCCATTACCGCCGTCTCGCGAAATGGCGGGTGCACGATGGAATCGATTCGGGTTTGACACTTAACGATTCTTTGCTTCGTCGATTCGCGTGGCCGAATCGAAGCCCCCCCCCCTTGTGGGTGGTGTCGATCTCCATCTATTAGAATAACGTGGGCGTTGTCGACTCTGAATCGTCGAACAAAATCGCCGCTATCGATTTCCCACGTGGGGATTTCTGTTCGTGCCACATTGCATCGTGGGCCCTGTTGTTACAATGAAACCCACCCCACTCTCAAGTACAATGCAATTGATTGGTCAAAGCATTGAACAGCTTCGTCAATAACAAAGTTTACAATCAATGTATATTATTTGCGAGCCTGTGGCTCTTTCAGGACTGCCTCGTGACATGAAGGATTCACGTGCCAATATTGCGGCTCTTGAAATGTTGAGTTTGTTTTAAGGATTTCGAAAACAACGGATCTTCGTTTTATTTTGGTTGTGCTAGGACCAAGGCCGTAATTATAATATGTATTGGGGTGGGAACATCCCCCCCCCAATATTCAAATATTCTCAAAATGACCCCAATATATTGCTATAAAAATATTTTTAAAAATAATAATTGCGATGCTATGTAAATAACAATTTGCTAAACCTTTGGTTTTTTCGGTCAAGTCAGGAAGAAGGACGTTTGTATTGCGGCCGAAACGTGATTTAATGTATTTTATTTTTTTACCTACGTGACTTTACCGAAAAAACCAAAGAGTATGGCTCCTTGCAGTCACGAAAACTTAAAATCTAGAATTTGCTAAACCTTGGCCACAATATCTGGACTTGTCTTCATATAACAATGCATATATTTCTGTTCATATGATTGTGATTATGGTTGTACTTTATGAATCCCTAATCTCTGCCATTACATACAATGAAACAAGAAAATGTAAAAAAGTAAAAACAGCAATGTAATAAAATACACTCTTAGACATTGTAGAAAATTCAAAAAAAGTCCATCCCATGTGTTAGTGACTTTTTTTTTAGGCAGGAAATGAGTTTTCAAATTGAGATTTATTTTTTTCTGGGGGGGGACCCCTAGACACCCTGGAAGATTTGCCCCCCCCCAATGTTGACTCCATGGCTACGGCCTTGGCTAGGACGTATGGCTCAAAAAACCTGAACGCTGAAAAAATAAAATAGAACCAAAGATGGAAAGCGCTTAAACAAGCCCACTGAGATTAATTTAAGAGCGATGTTTCCTGATATTGTGAGAGTTATCTCCAGGCACTCAGGTTTCCTTCAAGTTGCAGAAATACACGAAAGGGGGATTGCCCAAATATCCTTGGGCATGTTATAAAGTATCCTTGAGACTCTGAAGCTGTTAGGAAATAGAGAACACTTTATTGATACAACATGAATAGTGGAACGTTGTGATAAATGTATCGATATTCTGGACACCATATAAAATGTAAAACCCATGTCTGGACAGAGTAGGGGTCGGCAACCTTTCAAAGAAGAAGGTCCATGTGTTTTTTTACACGCTTTCTATTAACTCACTTGTCGTAGTATCCTCAAATCTTGTAACTCAATTTTAATCCACTTACCAATGTGGTATCGACTGCAAACTTGGTATACTTATGTCATACTGATGACAATACTATATTCTATCATAAAAATATATATTTTTTGAAACAATCCTTTTTATATGTTATGTTTCGGCTTGGGTCTAATTGTCCACGGTAAACTGACGTTGGCTGTAATTGGCCACGGTCCCGTACGTTATGGCAAGCTTCGGGGACACTTCCTGGAGTCGTAGAGTTCTTCCATTACTAGTAGGGTACATTTCATTAAAGCGTGTTTAAAAAAAAGTATTTTAAAATATTACTTACAACGAAAATAGTTCTATAGCCCTGTCACACGCAGAGCTGCTTGTACACAAACACAACAGCTGGTATAAAGCAGATCACTAACAAATTCTGAATGAAACATCGGTGATGGAATAAACTGCGTCTATTTAGTTCCCCCCCCCCCACCTCTCTAGTTATTCTTTAACAATACATTTTGTCGCCAAGACATTCCATAGTGACCCATTCCCCGCCATATTGAACACATTTTTACGTTCAATTATGCAGTCGAAACGTCGTGAGAATTTTTATTGTTTTATATTTATATTATTGTATTATTTCCCTTTTACGTGACTTTACCGAAAGAACCCAGAATATGAATCCCTGCAGTCACGAAAGCTTTAAATCAAAATTTATGCTTTGATATTTAAGGTTTTTATTTTCAACGGCTGCCCGCGAAGGGACAGCCAAAGAGCCGCATGCGGCTCAGGAGCTACAGGTTGCCTACCCCTGTTCTGGAAGGGACCCTCCAGATCTCCTTTCAGTGGAGGCCCCTTCTGCCAGCCGTGGCGTGTGCGAGCAATTGCAGGACTACGCCTTTACCTTCGACATGCAATTTTAACAAATTGCTCTGGTTGACCTAACAATAGTAATACTTACTCAAAATGAACAAGCGACAAATCAAACTTTAATTATTGACTTCCAATGCATTTAGAAATAGGCACAAAATTAATTTGAATAAAACAGTTTATGCATTTACATGAGCTAATTCAGGTCACGTACATTCCAGAGACAAAATACATTCTTCCCTCTATTGAGCCACATGATAGGGAGTTTTCAAGGGGTTTCTTGTGGCTTTTGGACCACAGCGAATTTAATGTAAGTAATCGGATAATGCAGCTTTTTACATAATACAAACGTATGCTAATGTATTGCCAAGAAACATAAAAGGCCTATCTGTTTTAAGTTCTCCAATTGGAATTGTTTTAAATGGAACTTAACACCTCAGCACAGAGCCTCAACTAACCTGACTGCAGTATAAACTATACACATTGCATGCCTTTCTGATTTAATCATAATCTGTAATCTTGTGCACTGCACATCACAGTAGTTTCTTAGAAATATTACACTTTACAGATTAAATTCTAAAAAAATTGTAACATTATTTGAACCTAGATTTGAAGTTGTCGTGACTGCATGGACCCATACTCTTTGGTTGTTTTGGCAAGTCACGTAGGCATAAAATAAAATAAATTAAATCACGTTTCAGGCGCAACACGAGCGTCCGTCATCAGGTGACTTCAGCAATTGTGTTACGCCCGAAACGTCGTGATTTTATTTATTTTATTTTATACCTACGTGACTTTACCAAAAGAACCAAAGAGTATTATTTGAACCTTATAGTGATGGTCTGCTGGTCGGCGATGCGACAATCGACTCATCTCGACGAGCTATACACGATGCACCACTACGGCGCAATCGTCCTCGCTGCGTTTCGACATCGCGGAGTGGCACTGATTTCGGATTGATTGGTACCCCAGTCGCGGAGTGAAGTACACCCCTGGAAAACAATAGATGGGAAGTTCGAATAAATGCTTTAAAGTGACTCCACAACGGCGTCCCTGAAGTGGAGAATCAACACAAGCCGGCGTGAGTAGGTTAAACGTTGAGTTTTATAAGGGCACCACGGGGTGACCAGCCCCTCCCCACCCAGCCCCACCCCTCCCACCCCCCACCCAGCCCCTCCCCACCCAGCCCCTCCCTCCCCACCCAGCCCCTCCCTGCACGACGGACACAATCCCCTGTGGGCTGGTGTAACCAGGAGGTTCCTACCAGTAAAAAGTGTGAAGCCATACCTCTGGGAATTCACTCGAATGACCCCAAAATGTTACTCTAAATAGTTGCTTTTTTTTCTCTCTAATTATCAGCTGTATAGCTGTTGGAATAGAGCGGTCTGTATTCTGTGTTGTATCTTTCAAGACACACAAAGATGAACATAAAATAATGATGTCCTTAATGATTTCCATCTCTGGATGATACCATTCCCATCTGCACAGTGACACTGGGGTAGATTGATTTGTGAAATAATTATCAGCATTAATTGCGACTGGATTTATTTCCCCACAAATGTAAACGTAAAAAACATTCGTTTTTTTTTTACGAAAGCATTGTTCAAGATAGCAGTCATTTTTAGTCTGCTGATGGTTGGCGATGCGTCAATCGACTCATCTCTACGAGCTGTACACGATGCACTATTCAAAGTTGAATTTTTCGATAGCTAATGTTTGGCGTTTCGACATCGCGGAGTAGCACTGATTTCGGGTTGATTGACACCACAGTCGCGGCGTTAAATACACCTCTGGAAAACAATAGTGTCCCTGAAATAAAATATTTAATTGCCTCGGCCATTTTGTATTATTTGGGACCCCGGGGTACCGCCATAAGGATCACTTATACACACCACTTGAATAAAGTAATTGATGTCTATAGGTACATGTTTAAAATGGATTTTGAAATTTTTTGTGCGGTTTAACTTAGTCATTCTCCTTTTAAGCCCCCATTGTTGGAAACTCCTTTCCTCCAGTCACCTGTGCTGTCGAACCCCTGCCCCTTTTCAAGTCCAGGCTCCAGACCTTCCGTTTTTCCTCTACGACGACTGACTGCCCCTCTATATAAAATAAATGTCCAGTTTCTGTACATCGTCCAAAGATGCAGTCGCATTTAGATTCTGTACAACTCCGAATGGAAGTGTATTGTATTGGTGAACACTCCACGCATCCAAGCTCAATGGAAGACATTTGACACACATTGGTGTAAATATTTACAATTGCAGCTGTTGACTATGTTTGATATTTAGGTGCCGGGGTCAGCACCATCACTGTGTAATCGCTGGCAAAGAGCGGCAAATTTCCAGCTCAGTTCAAACTGAGATACCAGCTCTGTGCTTGCAAGCCAAAATCAGACCACGACGTGAAATTCATTGCATCAATTCGAGTGCAATTTTAAAGATTATAATCCCTTGTTAATCATGACCTCCTTTTTACTTCTATGTCTCAATAGCGTTACGGAGATCGCGTGATGTGAGGGTTCTGCCTTTGTAGTGAGGATTGTAAGTTGACGCTGAGGAGGGGGGAGGAGACGCCTCGCCCCATGGAGTGATGTCACCCGCTCATGATTATTAATGAGGGGGTGGGGGTCCATGTGGAGGACGTCACCTGTTCATGAGTATTAATGAGGGGGGCTGGCCGACGTGGAGTGACGTCACGCGCGGGACACACAGACATTCTTGGCTCATTACAGTAGTACATTTCGGAAACAAGGACTGACTTAGATTCGCTTTGAGGCAAAATTAAGTGGGCTGCAGTCAACTCCCTTCGCTCATAAGTGGCCTCCAAGTTGAATGACTCCCATTACCAGATCACCCGCTGCGATCTGGTTCCAGTGAAAATACATTGGCTCAGGGCAGCACGATGTGTTTATGATGAGTCGAACCATCCTTGGCCACGTGCCCTCTTGTCATCGGCACATCAGGCTGCTGCATCACTGTCCTCGTGAGCTTCCTGCAACCAGGGGAGCCAGCGCTGCTGCAGGGCTTCACATGAGGAGGCACATGCGGGAGCGGCGTCGGCGGCCGGTGTGGAGTTCTCCGCCCGACATCCGGCCCGAGCTGCCAGAATGTCCGCTACTCCCGGACGGCCTTCTGTCGCTATGCACAGACGTGACGGCAGCGGTGATCAATTCAGTGAACCTTTATTTTTGAAATCGCACTTCACGTGAAAGAAGCGATTCAGAACGCCTCATATACAATTACATTTAAATGAATGCCCAACACTAAGAAATATAAAATACAAAAACAAAATAATTTCCCCAAGGCAAAATAATTGAAATACAAGAATTTTTTAAATAATAACAGTTATGTTCATAATAGAGATATTTTGGGTTAGATGACGTAAATATATAAAAGTGTCGTTGAAACCCACCACCACCCAACACAGCAAACTAGTAAGGATTGTCACGTAAACAGAACATGCCAATTAGTCACTAATACAACACACCGGTGTGTTGGAGAGCCAAGTCACAACATTTACAATCTGAGGATGACATTTCACCAGTAATTACAACTAGCTCCATCAGGCGACAGCCAGATTTGTGGAGAAGTCTAACTGTTTTGTTCCTTATATAGAGGTGTAGATGTGGTGACCACGCTTCTGCGCTCTTGTGCCAAGTGGGGGGGGGGGGAGGAGGATTACTGAGTCAACGTACATTATGAATGTGCATTATGCGAGTCCTTTGATCTTGTCCTTCCTGTCTATTGTGTGTATTAAAATAGCCGTACCAACGGTAATCCCTATTGAAGTATGCTGCTCTTTATAGGCATGCATTTAAACAATGTGTAGTGACATAAATGGAGTCACTATGGTGTTTAGCGCCAGCTACTGTCACAAGAGTGGAACTGTACGTCTGAGCCTCTCTCTGGCACCAGAGTGGGTATGGCATGCAAGCGCGCCCTCGGGGGCATAGTTCTGGTGACAGTCTGAGAGAGGGCAAGTAAGGACGTGACAGTTTAACACGTAGGCTTTCGCGACCAATATTATTCATAATCAACGTTTTTGAGTTAATGAGTTAATGATGACGTCACCCTGCTGCTGCTCTATATAAGAACGGGAGACAGAGCAGAGCCTCACCATTCTGGCGAATTGCCCGATGATGCTGGATGCAATTACCAGCGAAACGTCATACTCAAATTGTAAATGTTGTGGTTTCACGCTTCAACACACCGGTGGGCTAAAGCAGTGAACTATTTGTCTTTTGTCAACGTGACACTTTTTTACTGATTGGCCGTGTCGGGTGGTGGAGGGTTACGACACATTTATAAATAACGCGATCTAAACCCAAAAACGTTGATTGTGAAGGACGTGACAGTCTGGGTGAACTCGAGAGGGCACGTGACCGGGACAGGGTAGCAAGAGGACCCAAAAGGGGGCTCGAGGGACACGTGATGCTTGGTCGAGAACCTTCTGGCAAGAGCCAAAAGGGGGCGTGGCCAAAGGCGGAGCAAGGCCACGCTCGGCAGCATAAAAGGGAAGTCCCGAGAGCGATCGCGGCTGTCTTCTGGAATCAACCCGCCGTGCTACGTCTCCACGATCTTCGGTCGTCACGTACGGCATCTGGCTAGTTTATCAGTTACTCCCGCAATGTACGGTATTTTGATCATTATCAAATTCACTCAATTTATTTTGATAATATGGAAGTTCTGTGCAAAACTAGCTACTACTGGCCAAGACTAATTCGAGAATCTATCGAAATTGAAAGACGTAAAAATAATTTTAACCTTTCAGACAGCGACCGCCTTAGTGCTGCGTAGAAGCGAATCATCAAATAATACATTGTTTAAATGCATGCCTATAAAGGGCAGCATATTTCAATAGGGATTACCGTTGGTACGGCTATTATAATATACACAATGGACAGGAAGGACAAGATCAAAGGGCTCGCACATTGCTCATGCATAATGTACGTTAACTCAGTAATCCCCCCCCCCCCAACTTGGCACAAGAGCGCAGAAGCGTGGTCACCACATCTACACCTCTATATAAGGAACAAAACAGTTAGACTTCTCCACAAATCTGGCTGTCGCCTGATGAAGCTAGTTGTAATTACTGGCGAAACGTCGTACTCAGATTGTAAATGTTGTGGCTTGGCTCTCCAACACACCGGTGTGGTGTACTAGTGACGAATTGGCATGTTCTGTTTAAGTAACAATCCTTACTAGTTGGCTGTGTCGGGTGGTGGCGGGTTTTAACGACACTTTCTAAATTTACGCAATCTAACTCAAAAAACCTCTATTATGAATGATATTGGTCGCAAAAGCCTACGTGTTAAACAGTTATGTTATATGTGGAGCAGTAAAGTGCAATGGTTGGCACTGGAGCAATGTAAAGCATGGGTTTTTAAGACACCAGGTAGCATGATTTTGTAATAATTTTTTAACATTTCCAGGCAGCTGATTGGGAATCGACCCAATCGTGAATTTGTGTTAACTTTGGCTTGGTAGGCGAGCGTGCCACCCAGTCCAGTCAGCCACCACAGTGAACACTATCCCACTCACCGATCCTCACGGTTGATGGGGTCCTCGGTCAAGCCTCTCTCTGGCCCCGGTGGCCTCTCTGTTGGCCCTGCCATCTGCTGGGACCGGATGGTGGAGTAGGGGTGCTGTTCCGTACCCCATGACGAGCCTGTTGCTGGGCCCAACCATCACACACACGGCAGGACACGTAGCATTGCTGCTCATCACCCAAGAAAGATGTCTGCTTGTGCATTTTGTGGTGAAGAATTGGGTTGCCTTATTTTACTCTGCCGATCGTCTTTTTTGTACGATCAGTCTCAACAATAGACAAGAAGCTTCCAATCCATCTGTAGTGGAAATTGTGTTACAGTCCCATGATTTGCAATAACAATGCAATGTGATGGGCATATGAACCTTATGGCGGTACCACGGAGTACCATAGTACCCCGGCTCTCGCATAATGTCCGTGATGCAGTCATTTTTAGTCAGTTGATGGTTGGGGATGCGGCAATCGATTCATCTCGATAAGCTGTACACGTGCACTATGGTGCATACGAGCGTTCAGGGTTTCAGTGCAATCGTCCTCGCTGCGTTTCGACATCACGGAGTAGCACTGATTTCGGATTGATTGGTACCCCAGTGTCAGAGTTAAGTACACCCCTGGAAAAAATATCGTCCCTGACATAAAATATTTAATTGCCTCGGCAATTTTGTATTATTTGGTACAACGAGGTACCGTCATAAGGATCATATTGTGTACCAGGGACGTGCGGTCAGGGGAGGCAGGGGAGGCAGAACCTCACCTGTCATACTCAAATGAAAATAGCTGTTACTAAAAGTAAAAAAATATATAAAATAAAATAAAATTTGGATTTTTTTTTTTCCCACTGATCTGTGTTTTTAATGTAATTTCTGTATGATTTCAATCATTACAGATAGACTGTAACAGGCACGTGCTTATTGTCTGTGCTCCATCCAGTTTCTGAGGGGTTGTGCAATCAGAGGGGAGGCTGATTTCGTCACTGCCTCACCTCTTGTTTCCCTGTATTTGCAGCGGAGCTCCGCAAATTTGGCAATTTTGACTTAAAAAATGTTTGGAATCATACAGAAATGACATAACACAGATCAGTGGGGAAAAAAAAAAAAAAATCGAAATTTTTATTTTATTATTTTTTGCTTTTCGTTACAGCTATTGTCATTGGAGTAAAACAGGTGAGGCTCTGCCTCCTCTGCCTCCCCTGACCGCACGTCCCTGTGGTGTACATAGAGACAGTTAGTATTAAGCAGAGGAAAAAAGTAAGGTCTTGAGCATCGACTTTAACAGGGGTAGGGAGTCGATAATTTAGGCAGCTGGAGGGAGGGAGTTCCAGACTGTGGGGGCAGGAGAGGAGAATGAGCTATTCCATTTTAAAACGTGTAAGGGCTTGCACAGGGGCATCACTGGAGGGTTTAAGAGAACAGCTGAAACTGATCGAATTAACCAATGATTCTTTTACTTGAGTTCACCATGTCAAGAATAACCAAATTCTAGTTGCAGAAAACAGAGGGAGCTAAGGATGTCCCAGCCATTCAACTGATGACACCGCTAATGAAACAAAAATCAACCTCTTCGAGTCAATACTGGCCATTATGGTCGATTGGTGAAGGTGGCATGAAACGTACTGCTGGTGGAGACATAGACTGACCTGCCTGCGGCCTGGATGCCTGATGAAACAGTGTGGCAGGGTCAGGGACCAGGTAGGTGTCATTTAAGCTGTGGAGACAAGATTAAAATAAAATGGATGAACGATGTATAGTATTTGTCATTTAAATTGAGAATACTGCCCAGCCATGGGGCATCGTGTTTTAAATTATACTATTTTCCATTTTACAAAATCCCGATAAGATAAACAAGCAATGGTACTCAGGCTCAGTTTCACAATGCAGGCCTCAGGGAAACATCGTGGCCAGGGATTAACTTCATCTGGGTGTGTGTCCTTGTCGGCCAGCACATCACATCCATTATATCTATTGCCATGGCTGTAGCTAATAGTCACATGCCACCTCCAGGTCTACCAGCAACTCGGAAAATATTCAGTGAGAAATTAAGCCCTGCTGGTGGCAGGAGCAGGAGACATGGGGCATGCGGAGACAGTGACCTGGAAGGTAGGTGGGAGGTGGTGGCTGGGCGGGCGTGATGTCCATTCTCAGGAGCAGCCCTTGGGAGCTGCCTCTGCAGGCCGCTGTGGGGTGGCTGATGCATGAGGGGCCTCTGGACTGGCCCTGCTGGGCCGTACCGTGGGCCCTGATGGAGTTCACCCCCCACACCAACAGCGCCTCTGCTGTAAGCAGTCGGTCATATGACAAGTACATTCATATTTGTTTGAATTGCAAATGAAAACGTCCGTGTGCAATAATATCAATTTGTAATGCGTCAATCCATTGTTGGATGAAGGCCTCTCCATGCTGCGTCGATCATGGGAGCTGTTTGACTATACTTCTCCGCTTTGATCAGTGCCAGTTGGCAGAGGTGTGGACTCGAGTCATGTGACTTGGACTCGAGTCAGACTCGAGTCATGAATTTGATGACTTCAGACTCGACTTGGACTTGCATAACAATGACTTTGTCCCACCTCTGCCGGTTGGTGAAGGGGCCACCAAAAACTCGTTCAGATATCACTCGCCACAGGTGTTAGCCGTGGCTGAGGATCAAATACAGATTGCCGAGTTTATAGTGCAGTGTGCTGCACTGTGCCACCAATCCACCCCAATAATACTATGCTTTAGCACATAGTGGATAGTTGCAGTATCATAATTTGTTCATGAGTAACTTAGAAATATTAGACTTGATGACTGGGCATTGCTCACTGTGTGCCAGGGAAGACTCGGGTAGGAGCCGTCCTGTTTGTGGGATCATCCTCAGGACCCTGAGGGTGTCTGCCTGCCGACCCCACGGCTCGCAGCTGATCCACACGCACCACACCATGCCCGCCTCCTTCATTGCTGGCGAGGGAGAAGTTGAGGCACAATGGGAATTAATCTAACAAGTTCAGAAAAATCATGCATATGCATGAAATTTGTAACGTGTTCCAATATGCATTTGTCCTAGGGGATATATAAATGTGTAGAGGAGCACAATGGCGGAGCCAGGATTTTCAGGTTGGGGGGGCAACCCCTCTAGCAATGAAAAATGATAGGAGTTGCTAGTAAGCAAGGATTTGTCCCTTGCTTTTTATTCGAGGGTCGAATTTGAACCGTGTGTGATTGGCATCGCGCTCGCTGAAGGTATGCCTTCAGGGAAGTCGTGTACTGTATACGCAACTGCGTACAATTCTGAGTCACTTATAACTGCTTTGCCGTTACTTATTGCCAATTATGGACTCAGACTATTGTCCTATCATCTCATAGAGTCCCTGGCACATAATGATATACTACACAGTGGCAGTGGGGGTCGCAAAATGCCGATTTATTACTAATAAACCCCAATTAGGGGGGCACATGCCTCACCACCCCACCCCTGGCTCCGCCAGTGGAGGAGCACTACGAGAGACAAGCTCGAGAAAGTGTGAGTTTGTGGAAAAGTCGTGCAAGGGAATGCATGATGCAACCTTACGAAAGTCTCTCTGTGAGTGGGGGCAATTGGGGGCGAACAGGTGTGCGCGTGGGAACACGGGGTTGGCGCCGTGGAGATGGGGGTGATGATAAGGATTAGTTAGTGCGAGGGGCGTCTTGGAGACGGCAGCTTAAGTGGGGGCACGTGATGCGAGGGGCGCCATGCAGACGGAGGCTTAAGCGGGAGCACGTGCGGACTCAGAATGACGAGGGATATATAAGCAGGAGTGTGCGTGAGCTCTGGGTCGCCGTTGGGAGAGTGAGGTCGCCGTCGTTGGAAGAGAGAGAGGAACGAGCGCCTGTATGGACCACATCCCAGCCGCCACCGAAGAGGGCTCGAGATGTAAAGGTCTCACCTCGTCGCCGGGCAGTGTTGGGTGATCCCCCGCCCGGGGCAGATGAGGAGGGAGACAAAGGGGAGCCGTACCGGGCGTAGATAATGAAGGGATGTCCACGTAAAGGACAGAGTTCTGACGTGCGCCATAACGGGTGTAAGCGTCGAGTGCAGAGAGTGTAAACAAGCAGTGAGAGCACAGTGGACAGATTGTGTATGAGTGAATAAACGGCAAGCAGCCTTAAGTAAGAATCCTCCTCTCCGTCTGGTTCTACAATCTTCCTTGGTGTCAAGAAGTACTATTCTACATATGTACAGCTTAAGGACATATTTTGCTGCTCTGTCCTCTATTACCCCACACACAGCACGCAACCTCTATGACAACCTGTTTGCACGTGGTCACCCGAACCAAACAGGCTCAAATCTGCTTAGCTTCCGACATATAACGAGATTGGGTACATTCCGGGTCATACCATACTTAACATACATTTTACCAGTGGGCTTATTCTATGCCAAATATGCATGTAACGTGGAAGTAGGTGGCGGCTGTTGGTGAAGCACAGATTGACCACAGCACAAGATGGGCATCGCAAAGGGGGCTCTGCGCATTGACATTTGAACCCTTATGTAACCTCTCAACGGACGAAACATGAGCGATGCCGCCAAGAAGTTTTATCATAACCGTCAACGCGGTGTCCGTACCTTATTGGCAGCGCCCGTTGGAGGTGGTACCCGTAAGGCATGAGGTAAGTGTGCGACTGGGTCATCTCCTGTCTTACCTGCAAGACCCAAAATACAAGCAGCATTTTGATATCCGCAAGCATTAGCGTTAGAATAACAACATCTATCACCCCTGCTTGCTTATCGTTATATCTCTCTGCCCCTGGTATGGCTATAATCCGACCAAACTTGTAAGGATTTTTATTTTGGAAGGCGACCGAACAGCAGAAGCAGGGAACCAATCTTGATTTGAAGCTTTCGTGACTGCAGGAATCCATACTCTTTAGTGCTTTCGGCAAAGTCACATAGGTAGAAATAAAATCAAACAAATCACGACATTTCGATCGCAACACAAGCGATCCTCATCAGGTGGAACACCCACAGCAAGAAAATGATGAGGTAGGCGAGAGAGCTGCCGTGGCAAGAGGTTATATAGCTAAGAAAAGGGGGAGGAGCAAGGGGAGAGAGAGAGAGAGGGGGGGTGTGGGGTAGGGGGGGGTGAGCGCAAGGGGAAGAAGACGTGAGGCTGGGGCGGAAGTGGGCGGGGCTAGAAGTGGAAAGCTGAGTGTGGACACGGGGGGGGGGGGGGGGAACAGAAAAAAAGGTGCTAGTAGACCAGCAGGCACGATGGAAACAACCACACCAGTTAAGGCATTACCTGGTTAATAACATCCTTCCAATGATTGTTCAATTTGTATCCATCTTCTCGGTTGAAGTTATGTCTGTTTATATATCTGGATGGCTTCATGAACAAACCTTTGATAGTAGCCCGAAGGTTTGCAGAGTACCTTGGTCTCGGAAAAAACAATATCATGCGAGCCCAGAGGTATTGGTTCTGCTGTGTTTCAGATATGCCTTGTGTTCGCGGACACGGTCCGAGACATGTCGTTTTGTTTCCCCAATGTAACTGCTACCGCAGGTACAACTCAGTTTGTAGACTCCAAGGTATTGCATGTCAGGAATGACCTCCTTCACAGATGCAAGGTTAACCTGATTGCTAAATTCAACAACTTCTGCTGTTCAGTCACCTTCCAAAAAAAAATCCTTACAAGTTTGATCGGATTATAGCCAATGTTTATTAACTTTCTTAATACAGTTCATGGTCACGTGAGACCTACATCTTCGAAATGGCCCATAAAGTGTAGATATTCATAACTGCAAATGCGATAGCCGCACTAATCAGGTACTAGAAGGGGAACATTTTTGACCTGGAATTACTGTCTATAATTTTAGTGCGCTCCTGTCACTGTCAGGGCTTCTTGCAGTGACAGAAGGGAATTGGGTTTGTGTTAATGTATGACCCTCCAAAGGCACAGCATTTGAGAAATAAAACATATATTTGTGTTGGGTGTGATGCATAAGTAGGGAAAATAAAGACTCAACAAATGCAGCATTAACATTGCCCTAAAATTTAAAATACATGTACAGTTTATACAACAGGCAACATTTTGGAAATTGTACCTTCTTAATATGAAGAAGGGTAATGTTATTGACGAAAGTATCGAGTATTTGAGAGTCCTATTTGACCATCAATAACGTAATGTGTCCCACCTCTGATGTACAACCACGCTATTGCATGGAACTAATGGTGAGCTCCATGGTACAACTCTCTCAGTTTTTACAATCCAACACTCTTTATCAACGATGAAAACACCCATCACAACAGGGAACTGCGTGATGGCAGGAAACAAATATATTTAACAGCACGCAAAGGTGTGCTGCTCACAAAGAGCAGAGAGGTACCACATTGCGTGTATATATGTGGCAGTAAACTTTACGTGGCATCAAAGTTCACCGAGCATGGCACGAGCGCCGTCGTGATGTCACCACCATTTAGCGGCAAACGGCGGTTGTTGTCGTAAACGGTATTTTTGGTCACATGTTTGGCTTTTCCGAGCTGATGGATCAGGCCAGGTTGACAGCATTGTTAAAACTAGATTCCAGTTCATAAAACATTCCGGAGGCTTCTGCGGCGTGAGCGAGGGTGCATTTGGTGTACGCACCGCGGAGGGGGATAGCACGTATCCCATCTGCTGTCCCATGGCTTTCGAGATGCTCACTCTGTACTGAATGGCATCCGTAAGTTTACCCACAATCCTCTCCTGGGCATCCCCAGCCGCTACCTGGAGAGGCAAGGAGGCATTTGTAAGGTTCCATCAAGAACTGTTCAGAAAACAAGCAGAGCTGGAGTTGTTTTGTATAAGATATGTGCAGTGTGTTCAAAGATTACTCACATCAACACGTTGTAACAAGTCACCTACTTACACTTTATTCACCTATTCTTGCACCAGATGTAGGCACTCCTATAACTATCTGTATGGTCACTTAGGTTTAACTTCACCCCCTCACTTATCCTGCACTCGGCAGCTCTGCTCTCAGCGGCTCCGCACCCAGCGTCGTCGCACACAGCATATCCGCACACAGCGTCTCCGCACACAGCAGCTTCGCACACAGCAACTCTACATCTCCACCGCTGTCCCTGGAGCGGCAGCGGCGAGATGTCTTCACTCTTGGTTCCCGGCAACAACCCCCTCTCCGCTCACGCACACAACTTTATATCACTCTGCTAATTATCCGAGACCTCCCGTGCGTCTCTTTAGCTCTCACCAGGCTGATGCATGTTGGCCCATCAATCAACCTCTTTGACAGCAACCTCCGGTCGCAGCACGTGCACTTGCTCGACCTCGGTTGCTCCCCTTAATTACGGGCAGTTTGTCGGTGCAAACCTAACGTTGCACACGCACACCTGTTGCCCTCAGTTGCCCTCGGTTAACTGTGCGCACCGCATATTTCACTCCTCTACACATGGATCGTTCAATCAAGACAATGACTGTTTATCTACTTTTTTCCTCCTAAAATAATTAGTACTCTGTCTAATAATCTTTCTCCCCCACAGATTTTCTCCAGACCCCCTTTATAACCACTCGTTTAGTGGCTTGTCATGTAAATCTTAAGCCATTTGTCAATCCACTGAGGGGCTGTGAGTTAATATTCTGGCTTACAGTTACAATACTACCTCCTGCACGACACCTTTACAATAGTTTAATAACGGGACACTTTCGTAACGTGTACAATTTGAAATCGTATATTTTTTTACTCCCCATTTATAACAGAAGAAGATGTCCCCAAGGAGCTGTGCTCTTGTGCTCACAGCTCGACAAAGTGGCCTGGCTGCCTGGACGCACCTTGTCCTGGCTGAGCAGCGCCAGTGCTTGCTTGTAGCAGGAGACGGCCTTCTCCGGGTCCCCCAGCCGGAACTTGGCCGCCCCGAGGCCCTCGTTGGCCTGCCACTGGCCGTGCACGTCTCCTGCGAAGGGCAGCAGTGTCATTATCGTCAGAAGCCAGCACATTACGTTTATTGATTAAACTTTGTGATGAAAATCAGGCTAGACCACTTGAATGTGAAATAGTAGTTGCGTCTCTGCATCTACATCGGCCATACGAAAGAAGAAGAAGTGATGAAAATATAATTTGTTCGTTCGTCTCTCAATCCGCTTGTGCTGGTGAGGGTCGTGGCTGTAGCATGTTGAGCAGGGCGGCCCAGACCTCCCTTTCCCTGGCGACAGACTCTAGCTCTATTCCTGGGGAATATAATCGTTTACAATATTTGACCTTGAGTGGACGAAAATTGCCAAGCGCGATGGTGGCTACAACTACTACTCCACCAAAAGCCTAGGCGCGACTGGCTATGATGGAACGGAACGAGCGAGTGAATAAATACGAGGATTAAGATAATTTAGTGACATTAATATAGACAGCCGTGCACTGAGCGAGCGAGACCAGACATGGTAATTTGTACTAAAAATTTCTACAAAAAATATTTACTGAGTGGACGAAACGAGCAGAATAACTCCATGAAATCCACAGACTGAGACTCGACTAATATTTCACAGGTTGTCGTCGATGAGACTAAGACTAAAATAAATTATTCGCACTCAATTGACACTGGTTGATGGTGGAGGTGATGTCACGGCGCTGTGTGGGGGGGATGACACAGATATGCTGTGTGTGATAGCACGGGCTTCCTATGTGAGATGACACGGAGATGCTGTGTGAGATGACCCATGGATGCTGTGTGGGATGTCATGGACATTCTATGCGGAATGACGCAGCACTGTGTAGAATGGCACGAGGATGCAGTGTGGGATGGCGCAGCTTCACGTGGGCTGGCACAAGGCAGCTGTGTGGGATGACAAGGGGGGTGCAGAGTGGCGGTGGCGCGGTGGTCACTGCGGGCTGGGTTTACCTGTGTCGCGGAACGCCTGCAGAGCGTGGAGGTAGTTCTCCGCCGCGGCCTCGTGGTCCCCGAGTTGGCTGCACGCGAACGCCAGGTTACAGAAGCACTGGCCCTGAGCGTTGCGGTTCTGGAGCTCACCTGCATCGTCCAATATACACAAGGCAAAGAACCCCCCCCCTCCCATATAGCATCAACAGACTTTTGGGGACAAGTGCACGCACTCGCATACAAAGGCTTAGCCCCCCATACTGACTGACAATGCAGACTGTTGCACAAGTGCTGTAATCGAGTAGTGATGATTAAGTGTGGCTGGAGGAGGTGAAGTATGAACAAATAACCCCCATGACACGCACGTCGTGGGGAGATCCTCATCCAGCAGTGGAATGACAAGAGGGCTGTATGTGTACATTACGTTTGGCAGGGTGCACAACAGGTGTGGAGAGTGGGGTGTGTGCCAAGAAGCATTAAGTTTGTTGATTAAACTTTGTCTTCCCAGTGCTGATGTTTACAAAGTGCACAAGGCACTCATTTAAAGCTGCGTCCATATAGGGGAGACCCATGACAAGTTCCGTTTTCAACTTGCCACTCTTGTTAAATTGTGGACATGACATGTTACACCGCTAGTGGGCAGAATTTCCTATGGACGAGGTGACTTGACACTCACTTGACCTTCAACAGCACTGCCCACCCACACACCTACCCAATGCCTAATGCCTATCCATTATATGATTTTGAATTGGGGTACTGGTCTCACGTTATGTACCAGGCTAATGTAATAATAATGGATAAGCAGGGCAAGTGCCCAATATGCCAAGGAATTTGGATAAACTTACATTTGTTTGTAATGTCGAATCCGTTTGCATAAACTATGAAACAAAAGCTTTCAAATTACTACAATTCATTTAATTTAGTAGAGTGGTAAAAAATTGGTTTATCTGGATATTCATACATACATAGAAACATATATTAGCAAATGATTTATATCAATACTTAAAAAAAACATTTTGTGCTGCAGCAATTTATGAACTACAATGCATGTATCATAAGCTTATGAATCAAAATAAAAACGTCTTATATTTAAGAATTACGATTTGCCAATTTTTTTCATTAGGCTTACAGTTTAATGTTACTTTAACCATGTGACTGCTCCCTCATCGCGAGTGCGAATCCAAACCGTTCAGCGAAATCGCAGGGCACATTACTGTTATTGCACGTTCATTTTACATAGTGTTAAACGCCCATGTATGCAGCTTATTTTATGGGGGCGGTGATGTGGCCCAGCAGTATCGCGTTTGCCGCTAGTTGCAGCAGTTCGCTGTTTAAATAAAAAAAAGCTGCCCTGGTTAATATTGCACGAGCATTCGCTGTAAGATACACGCCGTGTGCTTCAAAGTGGCCGTTAAAGATCCTGCGATGTCATTCTATATGAATAAGCCATTCTGCGCGGGCATCATGTTCCAAATTTGCCAATTAAAAAAAGTAACTGCCAATTACTCAATGGGATGGCGCATTACATCGCCCTTGACTGTGACACTACTGCAATATTACATCTACGATACAGCACCTTCGTGATAGCGTTACACTATCTTATATATTTATATAGTGCTTTTATCCAATGCGCTTTACAAGGGTTATAATTGGTACAATGAGGATAGCTAAAGGTGATACGGTGAATAGGGATGGGATATGGGGAGGGAGGTAAGTGGGAATGGGAATTACGGGGTACCTGGGGATGGAGGGAAGGATGGGCCAGGGAGAAGAGGTGGGTCTTGAGGGAGGAGCGGAAACTGGACAGGGAGGGCTGCTTGCTTAATGTGGAGGGGAAGTTTGTTCCAGTAGGGAAAAGGAGCCGAAACGGGATTGTTCACAAGGAGAGAAGGGAATGGTTAGGAGTCGGAGAGATTGAGAGCGGAGTGGGCAGGAGGGGACATAAAACGAGACAAGTAAAGTGAGGTACGGTGGGGCTAGGCCAGGGGTCCTCAAACTACGGCCCGCGGGCCACATGCGGCCCGCTGAGGACATTTATCCGGCCCATGGTCACTAATTGGGCTGCGCTTGTGAGCACTAATTGGGCTGCGGTGGTGAGCACTGATTGAGCTGCGCTGGTGAGCACTCATTGGGCTGCGCTGGTGAGCACTCATTGGGCTGCGCTGGTGAGCACTCATTGAGCTGCTGCGGTGGGCACTCATTGTGCCCACCGCACTGCGATCTGTGAACAAAACTGCAGGTGAAATTAACTTTTTAATGGCACCCGCACCAGTGTGAGCCTGGGGTAAAAGCGGAGTTCCCCCAATCAGACTGCATTGATGGGCAGTGCAGTCTGTACGTCTCTGTGTGGGCAAAGTTATTGCTGGTATATTGTTTTTGTAGCGCTGTATATATTGGTGTTTTACTAATAGCAATTTTGACTCCCTAGGAAACAATGATGTGAAGAAAGAGAAAAAATTACTCGGAGTGTAGGATATTCAAATAACAGTGGACTTATGATTACTTTTTCATGCAGTACAAGGAAAGAGCTGTATGTCTGATATGCCAGAATATAGTCTGTGTTCAAAGAATACAATTTACGTCGACACTATGAAACTCAACATAAAGATGAATATGATTGTTTAGTCGGAGAAGTGAGAAAAGATAAAATATTAAAACTGAAAAATACATTAACAACTCAGCAAAATACTTTTGTGAAGCAGAAGCAGCTAAATATTTCATCACTGCGAGCAAGTTTTCAAGTTGCCAAGCTAATAGCGTGCACTGGCAGACAATTCGTGGAGGGAGAATTTGTTAAAGAATGCCTTCTTTCTGTTGCCAAAGAGATGTGTCCAGAGAAGGCCGATTTATTTAGTACAGTGAGTCTTTCAGGACCTACAATTACACGGAGGATTGAAGAAATGGGAGACAATTTGCATCAGCATTTGCAAAACTCCACAAAAAAACTTTTCTATTTTTCCTTGGCACTCGACGAAAGCAATGATGTTCGTGATTCTGCACAACTTCTAATTTTTATTCGTGGGACGAATGACTATTTCAAAGTCGCAGAAGAGCTTGCTGCACTGAAAAGCATCAAAGGAACAACTACAGGAGAGGATATCTATGAAAAGTTTTGCCAAACTGTGAATGGTTTGGAGCTGAACTGGGCTAAACTAGCCAGCGTGACAACTGATGGTGCTCCTAGCATGGTGGGGTCTAAGAAAGGAGTAATTGCTCGCATTAACCAAGAGATGGACAAACATAACCATTCTCATCCAATAGCCATACACTGCCTCATCCACCAACAAGCGCTGTGTAGTAAATCACTGAAGTGGGACTCTGTTATGAAAATTGTGGTATCTTGTGTTAACTTCATTAGAGCTCATGCACTAAACCACAGACAATTTCAGGAATTTCTGTCTGAGCTAAATGTTGACTATGAAGATGTTCTGTACCACACAGAAGTCCGTTGGCTGAGTCGAGGGAGAGTTTTGAAACGTTTCTATGACTTACTTCCACAGATTACAGCTTTTCTGTTTTCAAAAAACAAAGAAGTACCAGAGCTCAATGATGCAGAATGGAAATGGCACCTTGCCTTTCTGACAGATGTAACAGAGCTACTCAACAGTTTCAATGTGCAACTTCAAGGAAAGGGGAAGCTCATCTGTGATATGCAATCACATGTCAAAGCATTTGAAGTAAAATTAGGCCTCCTCATCAAACAAGTGAAGGAGGAAAACTTCTGCCATCTCCCCACAACTCAAAATCTGTTAGCGGAAAAACCATTGGTTGCATTCCCAAACAAAACATGTGTGGATTCACTGGAAAAATTGCAAAAGGAGTTCCAATTTAGATTTAAAGAGCGTCATCTCCATGAACAGGACATACAGCTTTTCCGTAACCCATTTTCTATTGACATTGAAAATGTGGATACAATTTACCAAATGGAACTGGCTGAACTGCAGAATTGTGACTCTCTGAAAGACGCATTCAAGTCAAGCAGCCTTCATAATTTCTATGCATCTCTCCCCTCTGAGACATATCCTCATCTCAGGAACCATGCACTCAAAATGGCAACCATCTTTGGCAGCACTTATGTCTGTGAACAGACTTTTTCCAGAATGATACATTTGAAATCTCCAACCAGATCTAGACTAACGGATGCACACTTGCATCACTTGTTACGACTAGCAGTGACAAATATGGAACCGGACATTGACCATCTCATTAGCCAAAAGCAGGCCCATAGTTCCCATTGAAATACTGGCAAGTTTGTTGATTTAACTTTACTTGTTCTTCATTTTAAATATTGTATTTTTCCCGTTTTGTTTCTTCACTTCAAAATAAGATATATGCAGTGTGCATAGGAATTTGTTCATAGTTTTTTTTAACTATAGTCCGGCCCTCCAACGGTCTGAGGGACAGTGAACTGGCCCCCTGTTTAAAAAGTTTGAGGACCCCTGGGCTAGGCCATGAAGAGATGTATATGCTAGCTTAAGGAGCTTTAACAGACAGCGGTAGCAGATGGGGAGCCAGTGCATTTCTATAAGAAGGGCGGAGGTGCAGGAGCAGTGTGGTAGGTTGTAAATGAAACGTGCTGACGCATTTGGATCTTTTGTAGTGGAATGAACGCATAGGCTGGGATACCAAGCAGGAGAGAGTTACAGTAGTCTAATCGAGAGAAGATGAGTGAGTGTATTAGTAGTTTGGCGTTGGACTGAGTGATGAAAGGACGTATTTTGCGAATGCTTACAAGGTGGAAACGACAGGTGCGGGTGATGGCGGAGATGTGAGAGGTGAGGGAAAGGGAAGAGTCGAAGAGGTCACCAAGGTTGCGGGAAGAGGACAGGGGTGAGTGAGAAGGGTGGGAAGGTGATGGTGCGGGTGGGTGGAGGGGAAAGAGCAGCGAGGAAAAGGAGAACCTGGGTTTTAGAGGGTTTTGATGGCAAGCAAGTGAAACGACATCCAAGACTGAGGGGCGGTTAGGCAGGCTGAAATGCGAGAAGAGAGGTCCGGAGTGGAGAAATATAAGAATATTTGGATGTCGTCAGCGAAGAAAGTGCGGGAGAAGTTAAAGGAGGAGACAAGTGTTTCGAGAGGGGAGCTGTAGAGAGAGAAGAGAAGGGGTCTCAAGACAGGGCCTTGGGGAACACCTGCTGTGACGGGTGAAGGAGGGGTGCAGGAGTGATTGAAGGCGACCGAGGATGAGCATGAAGAGAGACATAATTGGAGCCAGGATAAAGCAGTGCCGGAAATGCCCAGATTAGAGAGAATGAGAACGGTGAAAAAATACGAGGACGCGTAAAATCAAACGTCATCTGGATCCGCGGTGCCACCGCAGCGTGTACCGTGCAGCGAAGCGGCGTGCCGGTGGAAGGCGAGCGCCAGCTGGAACTGCCCCTGGGAGTTGCGTACGGCCCCCATGTTCTGCAGCACGGCCGCCCGGCGGGCCGCGTCCGCGACGCCCTCGCTCAGTGGCAGCGCCCGCTCAAAGCAGTCGACGGCCGCCGGGAAGAGCTGCAGCTGCGAGAAGCTGAGACCCAGCTCGTTGTAGAGACGCGCTGGCGGAGAGAATTGAGATACCCGGAGGGTTGGTGGGGGTGAGGGGGGGGGCAGGCTAGAGATGTGTTAATTTAGTCAGAATATTTTGTTTTAGTCACAGTCTTGGTCTAGTTGGTGACAACCTATGGAATATTAGTGGAGTAATTCTCTAAGTTTATATTCTTAGGTTTTTTCGGTAAAGTCACGTAGGTAAAACATCAAAATTAATAAAAATAAAATAAAATAATTTTTATTTATTAATTTTGATGTTTTACCTACGTGACTTTACCGAAAAAAACCTAAGAATATGAATCATTGCAGTCACGAAAGCTTCAAATCTAGAATCTCTAAGTTTAATTGACCAAAGTAATCAAACGTTTAGTCAAATGTTCTTATTTATTACATTTTGCTGTGGGGTGGGGAATTCCCCCAATATTATCAGGGCAGCCAATCAGTAAACTGAGTAAATATGTATATAATTGTAGCCAATAATTACTGTAGTCTTCTAAAGCGCACTGCAGTCCTAAATGATTTCAGTCTGCATCTTCATTTAGGCTCATTAATTTAACCTCATAATAGCAGCGCCTCGGTCTCTGGAGGGTATTAATCGTAGCTATCATCAGGTTTGGTGATTTCCATCCACTTATCGTCATGTTTGACTGAAATTTAAAAATACATAAATTGTGGACAGCAATATTTTTCGGTAAGCAGCCGATATATTTTTTTCTCGACACCACCAAGGAGGCGCCAATCGCAGCCGTTACGGCATCGTGGCCAGAGGTCGCAATCGGGTACCTGATACCCGTACCCTACCCGATACCCGTACCCTACCCGATACCCGTACCCTACCCGATACCCGGCTTCCCGTACCCGGCCGGGTACGGGTACCCATTTGCGACCCTGGTGCGGCCGGGTACGGGTACGGGTAAGGAATCAAAACCCGTTTGCGACCTCTGATCGTGGCTCACCCAACAGCGCGTCATTGTCACGGACGTGAGTACAGGCGGAGCGGCACTCCTCCAGCACGGACACCACGGCGGTGCCAGCGGTGGCGGGCGAGCGCAGTAGGGCCGCGCCGGCCTCGCACAGCGCCTCGGCCGCCTGGTCGGCCCGGCCCGCGCAGCGGTAACTCCGTCCCGCCGCCAGGAACCAGTCAGCCGCCCGTGCCTCCTCGCCCTGCTGCATGCAGCACTGGCCCAGCTTCACCTGCAGCAGACAACGGTGCCCGAGTGCCTGAGTACCAGAGATGAATCTGAGAACTTCCCAAGGAGGGAGGAGGGGAGGTTGTGAGGGTGGGGGGCTCCACAAAATGTAAATATTTTAAACCGGGTTCCAGCCTAAAAATATACTTTATTAATCCAACTTAAATTTCGATTTAAAGCTTTCGTGACTGCAGGGATTCATCTTCTTGGTTCTTTCGGTAAAGTCACGTATAATGGAAATAATAAAATAATAAAAATTAATAAAACATAATAAAATAATATTATAGAATAAAATAATATAATAATACAATATGATAACAAATATACCAATATTATTAAATAATATAATATGATACAAAAATATTATATAATATTATATTTAATTTTTATTATTTTATTATTTCCATTCTACGTGACTTTACCGAAAGAACCAAGAAGATAATCCAACTTATTTTCTGTGGTTAATATCAATAAAATACCAATGTTTTGGGTCTTAAGGGGGCAGGGGTGAATCCCCCTCATTGGATCCACCACTGCCGTGTATAGAGATCTCAACGGTGGCACTTCTAGCCGATTCTCACTCGTGTATGTTTACTTGTCTTGTCACTTTGTGACCGACTCGCACTGGTGAAGTATGGTCAAATAACCCACCCAGAATCTGCACGGCATGGGGAGGACCAAATCCATTGGTGGATTGACAAAAGAACTGTACATATGGTGTTGCTATACTAAACAATTGTTTTATTTTACCAGATGTTGCTCACTTACCTATGTATCTCTTTTTCAGAAGAGATCTGACCACCAATGATAGCTCAATGAAGTGGTTTATCATGTGGAAATGTATAGCAGCCAAATAATCTCGACTTTGCCTGGGTCTTCGTATGGAGATGACTGAGGGTTTGATAGTCCCCGCGAGCAAGAGGGTTGCCATCTCTGCACTACAAAAACCTGGGACGTATCATGCAGGGCAGAATATCTTGCAATTCCGGCAGAGCAAAGAACAACACGTCAATGCATCGTCTTGAGTGGTGTGTTATCACCATTGGAACCTCATTTGTCAGTAGCAAAATATGATAATTGTTTTTAACCCTTTTATCTGGCAACAAAACTGACTCTTTTTTTTTCTTAATGACCCTGAGAAGACAGATCTCAGAAGAGGACGACCCTGGAACTAGGACAGATGGCAAACCCTCGCGAGCGGGCACGTACCTGAGCGTCGGCCTGGCCTCCCATTTGGTCGGCTCGGTACTGGGCCAGCGCGTCCTCGTAGCAGCGCGCAGGCGCTGGCGGGGTCGTGCAGCGCCTCGTACGCGACGCCCAGGTTGAAGAGTAGGTCCCCGCGCTGGTCTTGGTCCTGGGACCCTTCCGCAGGACACGAGGGGCGCATGCACAGGGAGGAACGCGGCAACCATCGACTGAGATCCACGAGGGGTGGTGCACACCCATGATCCGGTGCTTTTGGAGGCGAGGGTTTTGGAGGATCACAAAGGTTTGTGAAACTCCCCAGCGCATTAAACTAAATCTAAACTATGTTTTATTTTACCCGGTAAAGCGCACTGAGCTATATAGCTCTTTTTCAGAAGCAACATGGCCACAAATGATAGCTTATCATGTGGAAATTTACAGCAGCCAAATAGTCTAAAGGCACGTTTCTCAATGTGGAGGGAAAAAACCAGAGGAACCCGGAAAAAAATCCACGGGACCACAGGGAGAACATGTAAATACGAAATATACAGGCGTCAGGGTTGGGATCGCACCCACGACCTCCTGGATACGAGGTGAGGTAGTTAACATCTCACCACAGTGGCACCGCAAATTAAGCTGAGGTGCCAAGATGTTATTGTATTGTAGATGGCAGTACAGCAAGTGGGTATTTGAGCCCGTCTTCGTAAACTTTTTAGTGTTATTGTCTTGTATGTGTGGGTTTTGTCTGGTTGCTCTGATTTCCTCCCACACACAAGCCACTTCGTAAAAGAATTGGCAGAATATCTCAAAGCCAGGCCTTTCTGAAAAAGATTCTTATAACACAATGTGGTTTCTGGGAAAAAATACCATTCAGATTTGGTCACTGACTTGTCAGAGTGAGTTCTTCATAATAAAGGTTTTTGGGTTAGACCGCGTCAATATAAATGTGTTGCTAACCCACCTCCATCTGACACAGCGAATTAGTAAGGTTTGTCACGTGAACAAAACATGCCAATTAGTTACTACTGCAGCACGCCAGTGTTTTGGAGATTCAACCCACAACATTTACAATTTGAGTACGAGGTTTTGATGGTGATTACAACCAGCTTCATCACGCAAATTGCCAGAATTGTGAACACATTTATAATTACGCGATCTAACCCAAAAACCTTTCTGAACAATATTGCTTGCAAAAGCCTACGTGTGAGAGTGAATTTTGCCATGAAGTGTTGGGAAGGCCCAACACTTTACATTTGTTTCTGGTCTTCATTTCAGAAATTGACAAATCATTCTCTCAATAATGTTCCAATTATGCCATCGGTGTATCATGTCAAAAAACAAATACAGAATTGTCACAGTAAGCAGTGAACCTAACTTGTTCAACTCAAAGTGAATATTAGGCCTTTTTGTGCTGTCTACAAATGTTTTAATTGGTTAAGACCTTCAGCTCATTATACTTGAGGTGGCTCCAACCCAAATTCGATCAAAGTATCTCTGCAGTGTCAGCCAAGTGCTCCGAATGTGGTATCAGCCCCTGAGACACCTGGCCACCTAAATCAATAAATGATGAATATACAGCCAGATGAACTTCAGCTCAAGTACTAAACTTTATGGGCATGATTCCCGCATACTGGTGAAAACAGCCTTTATACCCACACGTAAATCAGCCACTAACTCTTTTACTAGACCATTCAGTCGATGGCTGCCTTCTCAACGGTGGAGACATTGCCCATTACGGATTGAAAGGATAGACATAACAAACACATAAAACCACTCTCAAACTTGGTTGGAAAGCGTAAAAGCGAATACACCGAAGCGGTCACAGAGGGGAGTGAATTCCATCAGCGGTCCCCGACGTTGCGAGCCTCACCTGCTGCCTGCGCCTCCAGCAGGTACTGCAGGCCCTTGTCAGCCTGGTCTGCGGCCACGTGCGCCGCGCCCAGGTTGAAGGCGCACGCAGCCCTCGCCGCCGGTTCGGCGAGCTGCCCTGAGCGCTCGTACGCCTTGCGGAAGGAGGCCAGGGCGCGCTCGGGTTTGCCGTCTGCCATCTCTGAGCTGGCCCGCTGCGTGAGCCGGTTGACCGCTCTTTGCGCCTCGCCGTCCGCTCCTCCGCCCGTGCCGTTGCCGTGGTGCGGAGGGGCCGGAGGTTTGGGAGTGTCATCGCCACCGGCGTTCTTCTTGCGTCGCACGCGGCCGTTCTGTACGGACTCGGCGTCGAACTTGACGTGCTTCTTGCTACTGGTGCTCTGAGCCGGATTTAAAGCACCGTTGAGCTGTGTCTCTCTGCTGTGTATAGATGTGCCCTCTGTGCTCTCCTCTCCGTATAAAGAGGTTTCACGTTGGTCTGGAGAGGGGCTATGGTGTGGCCGCTTTGGAGAGGAGGTGTTGGCAGTTTGCGGTGTCGTGTCTGAGTGCGAGGTCCGATCCGTCGGCTCCACCGAGTCCCTGACTTCGTGGGAGTCTGTTTGGGACATGTCAACAGATGACCATTACCGTATGAATAGCCCACAGTGCGACCGCAGTCACCAATTTCAAATCATGGACTACATAGTACACTAATGCCCACTTCGAACATTCGCCAGCAACATTTAAAATACTAGCTAAGCTACTCTTGAAGCCATCCACGGGATCACCAACCTCGACATGAACACACGATAATAAACGTTACTGATAAACTCTCCGTCATATAAAAGAAGCAGACCAAAGTCATCTTGAGTATTGCCATCAACAGCACTAATATTACTACTGTTGAAATTCACTTTAATATGATTGCCATCAACACCATCATCATGAGCAAGCAGCAGCAGTCACAGCGTCGTCATTTCATCAATAATATCACAAATGCCACCATCGCCAGTCTAAGAATGTTTTCCAATGTTGACAGCTGTGCTAAATTAAGAGCTTTTAGCTATGTAATTTGCTTTCAATAAAGGTAATTTTTATTCAGTGTTGTGTAAAAACAAAGTGTGCATGATTTACAATTGCCCACGCAGTGCATGGAATTGTTTTTCATTTAGTTTTAACTTATCCGCCTACCACTCGTGCTCACAACCTGCAATCATGAGTTAGGATCACACCCACACACTCGCAGACAAATAAACGCAAATCACATTTACACTGTGAAAATTAAATAAAAAATAATTGCCGAGTGCCTGACTGACATGGGTGCCCCTATCCAGTACCACTGATCAAGCCTACAAGGCAATCAAGGCATCTTTGCCCTGAAAAAACATTGCCCCATAAAAGAGGAAACACAAATATATAACACGAAAAACTCAAGTAGGGGAACCTGAGAAGACAATGACACTGACTTCAACTTAGCGACACATGGCGCGCATCTAAGATTACGTGCCTGAGTGAGCCGGTTGCATTATTATCAGGTAACGGGAGTGAAGTTTTTCTTTCTAATGATTACCTGGTTCAGGAAACAAACACAAATCGGAGGCATTATACGAACAACCGAGAAGAGTAAATAGGCTTGGGCAGGTAGCATCGCTAGGCAGAATGATGGTCGATTGACGAGGCAGGTGACGAAATGGCAGCCAAAGAAGAGAATGCGACCACAGTGGAGAGTGAGTAATGAGATCAGTTAATTTGCGGGAGTGATATGGAGGGTAGCAGCACTGGACCGTGAGAGATGGAAGACATTTATCTAACAGTGGATAGAAAATGGCTGATAATTATTACGAGAGTTTGGTGAGGCTACATATAGAGCAACAAAAGTGACATTTTACCCGTGAGTGGCAGGATTTAGCAAGGCCACGCAAAATACTCTACAGAAAATAACACGGATGAAGTATTCATCTCACGAACGGTGGAATTGAGCAAAACCCACGCATAACGCGACACTGAACATCAACTACGAACTCACCCATGGTGTGGCTGGGCGGGCAGGCGGGCGAGCAGACGTCTCGGGGGCTATGGATGGAGCGCACACGCACGCACCTGCCCTCTCAATGCCATTGTCCACTCTGCAGATGGTGCTCCCACGAGCGCGCCTTCCAGAGTAATGTTTTGTCTCCAAGCGTCCCCGTGGTTAGGGGACCATGGGGGGCCGTCATTGCTAGGGAATATCGAAACACAACACTCTGTGGGGCCGGGCGTGTCAGCGTAACGGGAGACATCAACAGGCACACGCAGGGACCAGGCAGCTTAGAACATTCGTGTCACCTGCGATGAGGCACAAAGTGGGTGCCAGTGTCACGCTCTGGCACGCGCCCGACCAGACGCTGGGTTGTTGTTTTTTGGGTTTAGTAAAAGTACCGGAGGAATTGCACGAAGTAAGATGGTGTGTGTTATGTTCTTTCTTCCTTTCTTTATTTCCACTACCCCGTGAATTATTTACGCAAGCTTTGGTTTTCAGAGAGGAATGCCCTGGCGGGTTAGACGGCGTACATTATTGATAACGTGGCAACAGGGCGCGGGGAGCGTGCGTGCTTTGTGAAGTGGCATTTTGAGCGACCACCAGTGAACAAGCCACCCAAGCCTTGCCACAAGGACGTGCGATATTGGGCACTTCACCCGAAGAAAGGACCTGTACACATTCAGGCCTCTTGAGGCTAATGTACAAGACCTTGCTAGCTGTATGACACACCTTGAGTAGATGTACTTACTTCACATTGACTTGAAGGGATATTCAAACTTTAGTTGTATTGTATAAGTGACCAGTGATGGTTACAGGCACTCACTCACACAATTACTCTTCATCACTTACTTAAATTGTGGCAGGAGGGGATACAAAAAAAACCTCAGGGCGAGGGGGGCATGACCCAGCCAATGGTAAACCTGAAGCAAGTACAAACGCGAGACAGAACGAGTAACAATATGAGCTGTATAGCACAGTATGCGCTAATTCTCACCCTCGATGCAGATGAGGTTTGGCTCATATATACAAAATAGTGCAGTACTACCATTTTTTTCACTTGACTTTAAAGATTGGATGGCAGTCTGAACCTTAAGCAACGGGGGGGGGGGGGGGCGCTCATCCCCCTCCTGTCCCCCCCAATGTTAGAGCTTTAATCACCTTTCATTAATCATAATCATCAAGAAACACTGCCTCTTCGGTTATAACTGAACAAGAATAAGCTATCATTCCTGACCATTACCCTTTTTACAGTAGAAGAGCCATTGCTAAAACGTGGTTGTTCATACAGTAATTACAGCAACGTTTCTACAGCACTACCAAAACGGTAGTTGGAATGTATTGGTGAGGAGTCATGTTCGCCCCACTGCTGGATGAGTAGTGAGTCTCTGCGCCGTTGCCACAGACTCCTTGTGAACGCACGATGCCTCACTCCTTCCCTCCATCGTTCCTTGGGCAGTTCCACTTTTCCGCTGCAACCTCATCGCTGATGTCACCCATCTCCTCCTCCTCATCCCGCAACTTTCCAAAATTATAAATGAGGTACGGTCATTGCATATAAACAAGTGAATAGAGCAGTGCTGATATTTTCGATTATTTATTCAAATGACCTCGTTCTATGCTGTGAAGGGCCATTGCCTGAACCCTCGTCTATCATATCACGTTTCTTTTGAAGGCAACCACAGTGTTATTGTCGAACTTGTTGAGTTTGAGTTGTTGTCAATCATGTACGCCACTGCCAACGCAGCAGCGTCACCAAATTGCTCAGTTCAACTGAAAGCAATACGCTGAGGTTAACTTATTGCTTAGGCTAAAGGTAACACGTTACAACACATGAGGTAGGAAAAAGTATAACACGGTTAGGTCAAAAATGTACAGAGGATGTCATATTTACATCGATTCATCATCGCCAGTTTCAATGACTAGTAGTATACGTTCAACATTCCTATGACAGGAGTAAGCATATCTATATGAAAAAACATTACAATTAATTAGATTTTCCAATTACACTGAGGTAAAGTGTTGCATGCAAATGAAGCGGCCAGTGCCCATGGGTTTTATGAATCTGCCTGTAGTGCACTTGATCAAATCAGCCTCTGAATTTAACATAACTTAATGATTCTCTTAAAATATATATATAATTGAACATATGATCCTCATGGCGATACCCCTGGGGTACCAATCAATACTAAATGGCCGAGGCAATTAAATATTTGATTTCTGGGACACTATTGTTTTCCAGGGGTGTATTTAACTCCGCGACTGTGGTGTCAATCAACCCGAAATCAGTGCTACTCCGCGATGTCGAAACGCCAAACATTAGCTATCGAAAAATTCAACTTTGAATAGTGCATCGTGTACAGCTCGTCGAGATGAGTCGATTGGCGCATCGCCGACCATCATCAGACTAAAAATGACTGCTATCTTGAACAATGCTTTCGTAAAAAAAAAACTAATGTTTTTTACGTTTACATTTGTGGGGAAATAAATCCAGTCGCAATTAATGCTGATAATTATTTCACAAATCAATCTACCCCAGTGTCACTGTGCAGATGGGAATGGTATCATCCAGAGATGAAAATCATCAAGGACATCATTATTTTATGTTCATCTTTGTGTGTCTTGAAAGATACAACACAGAATACAGACCGCTCTATTCCAACAGCTATACAGCTGATAATTAGAGAGAAAAAAACAACTAGAGTAACATTTTGGGGTCATTCGGGTGAATTCCCAGAGGTATGGCTTCACACTTTTTACTGGTAGGAACCTCCTGGTTCCACCAGCCCACAGGGGATTATTGTGTCCGTCGTGCAGGGAGGGGCTGGGTGGGGAGGGAGGGGCTGGGTTGGGAGGGGCTGGGTGGGGTGGGGCTGGGTGGGGGTGGGAGGGGTGGGGCTGGGTGGGGAGGGGCTGGTCACCCCGTGGTGCCCTTATAAAACTCAACGTTTAACCTACTCACGCCGGCTTGTGTTAATTCTCCATTTCAGGGACGCCGTTGTGGAGTCACTTTAAAGCATTTATTCGAAATTCCCATCGACAAAGATCCCCCGTGTAGCCTGAACAGACTGTTGGGGCAAGTGCTGTTAGCGAGCACCTGTGAAGGTCGGCACGGCAGCACCACGCCCGGCCGCCTTTGTCTTTCCCAGTGGCGATGTTTACACACCGCACCAGGTCCTCATTTGAGGCTGAGTCGACCTAGGGGAGGCACAGCACCGGCTTCGGTTATCGTCACCGGTGTTGGCCGTGAACGGGATCCCCGTGAGCGCAGCTCCGCTAAACTCTTAAATGTTGTACTGTACTCCTTTGATTTTACATCCCACTGGGATTTTTGCACACAGCGTTGGTGTATGGTGTTTTTTCTGCAATATTTTGCTGTCTTTTCTTGGATTTTCTGTTTGCACATAGTCACATATTCACTTTAAGATGTGTTCTTGTTCATGTTTTTGTTTTTTGTTTGTTGCGGTGGCACCCGATTCAAGAGCCAAATGGCTCACAGGGCTACACATAATAAATGAACTTGAACTTGAGGTGTTAATACGAATTGGATTTAAAGGACTCTATTATGATCTTTGTGCACCACCAGTCAACACGGAAGGCCGTGTGGCTGATGGATGTGTAAACAAAAATATACGTGGAGGCACGAGTTGTGAAGGGGACGAATTGTCTGCCTGTGTAATGTGTTACACGATATTCTCCACGACACTTAATTCACATATACAACTAGTCCCCGACTTACGGTGTTCCGACTTACGATATTTCGATCTTACGATGGCGATATCGATATGACAAAATTGTTAAATATTTTACATTTCGCGCGGCAGGCAAACGCAGCAGCGCACGAGGTACGATACTGTAGGTTGGGGCGCTGCCGGGATGTTACTGAACGCATCTCACGCCTTGCGTGGTGATGCCTCTTTTTAAATCCTTTATATTAAGTTCGCTTGCTTGCTTAGGACCGTGCAAATCTTTCGGTCGTTTTTTAACCCACTTCCCGTGATCCAATCGAGCTGACATTTTCCACACAGACTCGTTGTACGTGACAATTAATGTTCGTGAAAAATTATTTCCAAAATTTTACACTTTTTAGGACAAAAATATTATATTTAATTACCAATTGCTTAATGCTGCCATGCAATCATCTGACCCATAGGTGGCAGCCATCTCAAGCCAGAGGACGATAGGACTCTAGCCGCCACGCAAATAAAGGATTTATAGTGAAAAACTTTGTTTTTACGGGTTATACTTATATTGTTTGCCTCTCACTCTCACCAGCGGTCGGCGGAGTTATGGGGGTTCGGTGTTCAATGCATGTTAAAAGTTTTTATAGCAGATAGCATTGTTTCCTGAAAAAAACGTTCTATGAAATTGCACTTCATATAGGTAGGCTAAGAATGCACCTTGTATTTTACTTTAAATTTTACTGTGCAATACAGTATTGTAATTAATAAATACATACGGTATATAGTTTATACATTACGGCACTGTAAATTGCTCTGTTTTGCTAAATTATCACCATTCTTTAAGACTCCTGGGTAGGCGAGGCCATTTTCGACTTACGATGGGGTCGTCGTAACGCATCTCCGTCGTAAGTCGGGGACTGCCTGTATTTAAAACCCATTTAAAATACATGACGTCATGCCGACGCGTGACGTCATTCATCCAGTCTAGCCGATGACGTCACGCCCCGCGCGGCCCCTCTTCCTCCCTGGTTGCCACTTCCCGTTCACAGCGAGGCGACGGCTGCTCAACAACGTGAGTTCGTCTCCGCCGCCAAGCAGATCACAAATAAACATTCCACCATTCAGCTGCTCAAAGCCAATTACACCACGTTTGACTTTCACACAAACAATGCGTACTGGTAATAGGCGGCCCGCGTCTTCAGGAAAGTTCATTTCCCCATTGTCCGCCTATGAGGGCCTGACTAGTCGAGAGTTTGAATGGAGAATGTTTGGTGCATCGACTGCCGTACTAATCGAGTTGAATGTTAATTGATTCGTTGTTGAAACTCGTTTGTGCTTCACGAATTCGTTCACGCTGCGACGCCGCGAGTTGGAGATTGACATCTGTGCAAGTGACCTCCATAAGAGTCGATTGTACTGTGGTGTGATCGTATCCTGAGTCGGGTCACGGTATGAATTGATGAATAATGCTGAGTTCTGTATTAAATAGGTGGCATTTCTGGCAATGACCCCCATAGTAGAGCTGTCATGGGGTCCCTGGATATAAGTAGCAGACGGGTGTCCAATGGAGTCTCGACAATAGAAGTATATTGGTTTCTGATGAGGTGTCTGGGCGGTAATAGAATGGCATAACAGCAGCTGATGGGGTCTTTACACAACCAACACTGGTCTCCACGGATGTCAAGACCAGTGGTTCCAAACGTTTCTGGATCCGCGGAAAACTACCAACAATAAAACATTTTTCGCGGACCACCATGCATCAGTTATTTAGAAAATGTACCTATCTAAATTGTAACATCTGCAGTTCCACGATCTTCCAGACCACCAGTGGTCCTCAGACCTCAGGTAGGAACCGTTGCTGTATATTCGAATTACATCCTGGTGTCTGATGGTCTTTGCATGAACGAACAGATCAGTTTAATTTACGTGTTTATACAATTTTAGAATAGCCTGTGGACTCGGAAGGACTTTCACCGGTTCATAAATGAACCGATTTCATTGTAACCAAACAGTCCAATCTCACCTTAGAAATATTGCTTTTTAAAATCCTTTCAGTCGCTTTCAGCAATGATGTGCATGTGCCCGCAGATGGTGCGATTAGCTCTGCTGCTGCTGGTGGCCCTGGCGGTGTGTGGTACGGTGCGCACTGACGAGGGGGCGAGGCTACTCGCCTCCAAGAGCCTCCTCAACAAGTACGCGGTGGAGGGGCAGGATCTTACGGTGCAATACAACATCTACAATGTGGGCTCCAGGTGAGGTCTTGGACCACCCTTGTGGGAACCCACAGAGCCCATTTGCAGCCCTCGCCTGCCCGCTCCGTCAAACGAGCAACTCAATTGCCCTTGTTGCGTTGGAGTATTGGCATGCACATGCGAAACTATTTTAAAAGGATGCAACCCCAAAAATCGTAGATATAGGTTACGTTCTGGGCTGTCCACCACAAACTCAAATATTTTAATCAACATGAAAAAGTATCGTAAAATCAAACAAGTGCTCCATTATAGCGTTCGTTTTGTGGATACATTGATTTATTAGGGGATAATAAAACTAGAATACTCCATTGTCACTCTTGACCATAACTTTCAAGCAGTTTTTCATTAATGAAGCTTCAAATTCAAATTCCCATTGGATAGCCTGAGACACTTCCTAAATAGGTTGCCACAACAGCTGTTTTAAGTTGTCTTCTGTTTAACCATAAGTGGGGAATCTGAGAGAATCTATCACTCAGAAATGGCCCACAATGATAGTTATCCAGCAATGCAAGCATCTTCGCCACTAATCGGATACTCGAGGAATATTTTTGGCCTAATAAAAATGTATAATTTTAGTGCACTGTAAAAAGGTATTTGCAAGTGCTATTCAGCCCTCGTGAATGTTTTCCCTCCCCTGCTTTATACGGTTCGCTGTTGTCAATGTCACCATTCTAGTGCCGCCCTGGATGTGGAGCTGAATGACGACGCCTTCCACCCCGAGCAGTTCGGTATCGTCTCAGGGATGCTCAACGTCAAGTGGGAGAGGATCGCCCCGTATCCTCCGCTCACGCACACTGCAGTCAGTGTTTAAAAAAAAAAACTTGCCCATGCAATGTGTTCAGTCATGGGAGTTATTTGAACATATTTTAGCATGCTAGACAGTGCAGGTTGGTGAATTTAATTGGGCCCAGGAACAGTTTCAAATATCTCACTCACCACTGATGTTAGCCGTGGCTGGGAATCAAACTGATCACTGGGCATGGAGTGTCTTGCATGAACCGCTGCCTAAAATTATTCCCTAAATTAACTTGGACTCAGCACAAAATAGCTTATCGTGCATATATAAAGACATAGGCTGCATGTCAAAGCTGCCCATAGAGAGTCTAAGGCTTTGTTAAGCAGTGAAGAGATTTATAACTTCCTGGCATGCCACTATCACATTCTTGTAGCATCCACATCATAAACGCTATAATTAGCACCGATTATAATCGTCGTTTTCTGAAACTGGTCTGACAGCCTAGGACATGCAGCCTGCGTGCTTATCTGCAAAAATAAATGTCATTTGTGACATGAATTGTCCTTTAAATGCAGCAATGTGAGTGAGCAGCATGCCTTGTTTCCATAACACGATTAGACTTGAGTTTGCCTAAGTTGGCTTCATAAACCCAAAATTTACTAAAAGTTGAATTTCCATTAAGTTACTGCAGTTGGCCAGATTTTACCGAAAAATACTTTAGAACACCTTCCCAAAAATTCAATGAAAGGTCAAGATAGGGTTGCTGACAATTGTTGCATGCAAAATTAAATGATGCTGCCACCCACATCAGTAATTGAGATTGTTTTGCAAAATACACAAGTCAGGCCAGACAGTGATGCAAGATTGGCTTGTAAAAAAATCAGACTACAGCCCGAATATGCAGGCAACTTAAAAAAAATATACCACGGAAACGTGCTGCTTTGATTGCAACTTGAGTTGAAACTGGTTATGTCCCATAAAAACATGGTATAAGTTGATAATGGATTCAACGTGCACTGTGGTCACCAACGTTAAGCAAAGGGAGCTTCTTTAACAGCTGCCTGCAGGGGGAGTAACGTGTCGCACTCCGTCGTGCTGCGGCCGCTTGTGCCGGGCCTCTTCAACTTCTCATCCGCCACGCTTTCTTACCTGCCACAGGAGGGCGCTGAGGTGGTGGTGAGTGGCTCAATAGTTTACTCTCTTGAAGCCGTGGGCATATCCGGATTGCATGCTTGCAAAAAAGCAAAACATGTTCATGGGCTTGCTAGTTTATTGTGCTCTTCACTTGGTGCCGACACGAGTACAAACGTCCACAAGGAAACCGATTTCTTGAAACAGACGAGATCCTACCTTAAATTTATATTCAATAGGTAAGCAATATTTTTAGCCTAAATTACAGATCGTTTGCGTTTTCCGTTTGTTTGATCAGCCCCCCCCCCCCACCATTACCACGGATAATCGAGTTGGTTGCAGTAGAATTACAATTTACAAAGCATTTAAGTGCATCAAGATGTATTACATGACAGCGTAAAATTGGAAGTGGGTGAGGGGAGAGCAACACTTCCCTCCCAGCGCAGGGCCAACAAGGCTAAGTACAATGGGATGATGCAATGAAGGACCAACACAAGTCTCGGGTCAGTTAGTGCAGCACCACACGTTAAATGTTTTAATGTAATTCAATGCATGGATGTATTGTACACCACTTGCGAACGCTTGTTATAAATTGCAACTGGGCTTTCATGATTAAGGTGTCATTGATATGCCTAAAGTATTGTGTTGCTCAGCGATGGCTGTTGGTCGTGCTATGAAAATACAAACCATGTATGTCTGTGTTGCAGATCGGCCATACAAGTGCGCCTGGCGAGGGAGGAATTTTGGCTCAGAAGGAATACGATCGCAAGTTCTCTCCTCACTATGTACGTTTGCACTGCAACAGATCCCCTCCACCTCATTTTGTAAAATGGGAATCTCGTTACTTAACAATCATTTTGGAAATACCGACAGCTCTTTTGTCAGTCTACTGGATCAGCAACACCCGATGCGGTGTGGTGGTTGTTGGACCTTACTTCATCCTATTGGTCAATGTTGGTTGCAGGCAGGGAACAGACAAGAAAAACGCAAAAATTAATTGCACTGCCCTCTTTCCCCACCACCTATAAGACCTGTAACGCATAATGGTTGCACATCCAAGGACTTGTGATTGACAAATTCACCAGGAATGTGCCCAGGAGGGATGAACATGTGCAGTTAAATATTTAAACATGCTTTAGTAAGACTTGGTGTCAATTGGGGCGTACTTTCGTTTGACACATTTTAGGCTACGCCACTTGGTCATGATTACCTGGTTCTACAGAGTTGGTGGTGACTTTAAATCTCTCCCCCAGCTGGACTGGGCAGCATTTGGAGTGATGACGCTGCCCTCCATCGGCATTCCACTGCTGCTGTGGTACTCCAGCAAGAGGAAATATGATGCCCTCAAGTCGAAGAAAAACTAGTACCGCCTTACTCAAACTTTGGTCAGACATCAAACTATGGAAGGGTGTTGGGATTTTCTAACTATGCAGTAATTTTTTTTAATGTAAGTGATGTTCCAGGCAGTAAACACTAGATTGTTTATTTCCAACGATTAATTTTTATGAGAACCAATTGAGAAGTCAAAATATTCCTTGTGATAGTTACCCAAAAATAAAAGTTTGCAATGACTTGTGTTTTCAAGAATTCAGTTATTTAACATAGCACATTTGTATCATTTAGCATACAGTTTACATGCTGAGATACATTACCCTTTATATTTTTACTGGGCTTACAAGCTCAAGGTGAAATCCACATGAGGGCACAACTTTCTGAAATAGTCGAAATGCCACCATAATTGTGATTTGCACCTGTATCATGTTGTAAATTTGTTTGATGTAACGCAAGTCACTGAAAAGCAGTACTGTCATTGCATTTGATTCAAATAAAAAAACTTCCTCATTGAATACAACCTGTGTGCTTTTTGCTTTAAATGTACAAATTATAAAAAACAATGCTTGCTAGAAACAAATAGATTTACTAAGTCTACACGATATTTATACACTTGTGGGTTTAACAAATATATTCTAAGGGCCGACTTAACATGCCATAAAGTCAGTTATTGAATGCTTATGCGATGTGACAGCATTTGGAAGGAGCCACCACTCAAAGTTAGTTCATAAGTTTATTTTCAAAAAAATATTAAACATTGAAAGTGTGAATTGTATTTAACATTCTAAAAATTTCGGACAATTGCAAAAAAAATATTACATAAAACCACACACACTAAGTACAGCTAACAATAAGTACTATGTTAGCTTTGTTCTAACACGGTCAACATGTAAATATGCACGTTGTACTCACACAGTGAGCAATACAATTATGTACGGTGTTGGCTACCCATTAGTTGCTTGGTACAAAGTTGAATGTTTCACTTCCCAGAAAGGCTTGATTGCTTAATCACCCTCTGAAAAGACAAAAGAACGAAGCAGTCTATAAAAAAGGTAAAATAATGGTAATGTCCAAACACATAAAATTAAATTATTAATGGTCACACATTTGTCTAAAATAGGATTATGTAAATGCACTGCACTATATTTTACTGTTAGTGTGGGACAGTGCTGGTCCTTCAACAAAGCAACTAGAAAAGCTTTCTGGACCTATAAACGGTCGAGAGGATGATCGGTATTTCATGGAAGTATCAGCAAACTCGTGAAAGTGTGGAAGAGAATAAAGAGTTTTTTTTATGCGATGAGATAAACGCTGATGGGTGGGGCACGTGCAGGATGGAGGGCAAGTTATCAAGACATTGTAGTTGCACCCAAAAGTTAATTAATGGGATAACCTAACACAGGAGACCGAGGACATGTCAAGTGTAAAAAATGTTGGGCATAAACATTGTAACAAGGAAACCTAGCGCAAGGAAGTAAATTAAATGTGGCAGGCAGAATTACTGTTAAAAGTTGTTAAATCTTCATGTTAAATGTGCTACACACAGCCGCATGTCTTTAGAGGCTCAAAGAGATGCAATATCCCAAAAGTATGGAAGGAAGCCAAAGTCATCGCCATCCTGAAAACCTGGAAATCCACAGCTACAGGAGCGAATTATCCCTCGTCCTCCACTTCCAAGCTGATGGAATGGGCCATGCTTGTCAGACTTTACGACATTATCGATGTCCAACTGCCTCCCCAACAAGCCAGATTTCCAACTGGCCATTCCTGGTGCGAACAGATCGTTGCCTTCCCCACCTTCATTAGAAGCTGGTTTCCAGCATCAACAGAAAATTGTCACAGCAACGATTGAACTCTGCTGCCTATGACTCCGTTTAGCGTCATGGGACTGCTATTGAAGTTGGCAAAATCAGATGGCGTTCTACTGTGCACCTAAAGCGACACGATGCTCAAAACCATATGTTCAGGCTACGGCAAGTCCTCGCGTGTTCAAACAATGCGTTTATGCTATAACACGGTTCTTCCATTGGGGAACATTTTCCACAACGTGGAACACACGCTCGTGCGCAGAACACACCCATTAACAGTTTGAGCAGTCGACAACGAACTACTTTTCAGAGCTGTGCAGCTGAACGGTATGTTATGTGGAATGATACAGTAACGCAGCGGTACACAATTATTTATACCGTCATCTGTGTGTATACATCGTATCTCGCCAAACTTTATCGTAACATTATTTATGGGGAAATTTTTTCACTAGAATGTATTTTTGCTTAACATGGCACTACTGCGTTAAGAGGATAAACTCTATATCGCTGGTAAACAGCTGCAATTGAATTATGAACAATGGTCTCCCTCAAAGCTCGGTACTGGCACGTGATTATTTAACATACATAAGGTGACCTGCCATGTACACCTCACAAATTCATATATGCCGATGACAGCCCTTGCTGCAGAGCCAACACCCTCGATAACATTTTCATCTCCCATGCAAACTGCATGGGAGATTACAAGTTCTTGCCAACGACATTGAGCAAGACATCAAAAATGTACCTTAACATCGACTCAAGTGCCCATCTCCCCATTCTGGGATTCACTGTCAAAATCCTAGAATCTCATCCAGATCCAGAATAACGCTGGCGACTAGTGGATCAATGACGGCCATAATAAACACCTAATTCGAGACCCAAACATCGCACCTTCTGGCTTTGACATTCTTTTAAAACACCGGTGTACTATCAACCACATTAAAACATCAACAGGCTGCTGCACACATCCTTCAATGGAAAATTAAATAAAAGCCACAGTGCAACTTTGGACCACATAGTATGTTGTCAGTGCTCCTTCAAATGGAGGAAGAGCAAAATTATAGTCCCCTGAAGCCCACTTGTGGCTAGCAGACCATGGAATTGGCAATTAGTTGAACAGTCATATGCAAGAAAAGAATAGGGAGCGGCTCTTGACAGATGTGTTCTAGTCACAACCATTCAAGTTGGGATTATGGGCAGAGCTTACCGGGCGCGACTTTTCTCCCTGCAAAGCGGTCCAAGTAAATTTGTGGGAGTGGGAAGTCCAGGTCCAGCTGGTCTAAAAGGTTGGGTGTTATTGCCAGCTCCACGGACAGCCGATCTCCGTGCACCATCTCTTGGTTATCCAGTGCAAAAGAATTGAGGAAGTCGTCGTCCAGACAAAAGGCCTTCTTACTTGATTTTTCGTCAAGCTCAGACTCTCTCGGCTCCTCATTTACGGCCTCCATTTCATCAGCGATTGCCTTTTTACCACCGATTGCTGGCACCTGTTTGGAAGTGAAATCTTTCAAGAGCCATCGCGTGTCATCTTGCCACCTATCATGACCACCATTGTCTGGACACCGCGGATGCTCTGCCGCTGCCACCATTGCACTGTTGTCCTCCATGCTGTCCTCGGCACACAGCGAACCTGGGGAGCTGTGGCTGTCTCCCAGCTCAGGCATCGTCTCGTTGAGGATTCCAAACTGGGCAGCATCATCAATTTCGTACTTCTCTTTCCTCAGATGCAACCATCGATTTGGCCAATTATTGGATGACTTAAACGAGGCCGTGGAGGCTTTAGTACAGCCATCAGCCTCTGGCTGGTTTGAAACTTTGGGTAAAACTTGCCTGTCTATCTCTGGCTTCATCAAGTCTAAGCTTAAGTCCAGTAAGTTGTTTTTCAGAGTTGATTCTTGCCTTTCAAGAGGCAATTTGGCCAGTGTAATTGTATCACTAAACTTCATTAAATGTGGAGAAAAACTGGCGTTGTTGCCAGCAGACTCTGAAAACAAATCTAGGAATGGGGTTTGGGACATTAACAGCGGTGACCGAATTGGTGAATAGTCCACACTCTTATCAGCTGGCTTCTGAAACAATCTCTTTAAACGATCTGTCGTAGTGGTAAATGGGCTCATAAAATACATTTCATTTGAATCATTGCAATCCTTTTTCTCCGAGGGGCAAGATTTGATCATCAGGTCCTCCTCTGCTGCATGCTCGCCGAAATATTCTGCATTTTTTGTTGAAGCCTGGTTTCCCACAGAATTTAGTGGCAGGTTGCGTTCCCAGTCTAAACTTGACTCTTCCTGCAAAGAATGTACGCATTCCAACACGCTCCGGTAATCTCTTAACGAGCCAATGCCATCATCCATCTTATGCAAGGGAATATTAAGAGGGTGCTCCTTCTTAGGCTGCATTGATAAATCTCCTCTTGGTAAGAAGCTGCCATTCCCATTTACTTCAGCGTCCCTATCCGAGGCACCGATCCTTTTTGATTCCGTTGTATTTGCCCTGTAGGCGTTCAGAGGTTGGGGACTCCAAACACCAGACACAGGAGAATCTGTGTGTTGGTCGCCTTCTTGTCCTAACTCAAATAAGGTATTGTCGGATTTCTCGTCAGAGATTTGTGCCAGTTTGTTTTCATCAGCATCCGTAAAACTATCTGGTGTCTTATCCAAGAGCTGTCCATCAGTGTCTTCCCTCCATGTAGCCCTCACATCTGAAACTAAAGTAAAAGACTGGTGAATAAACAACACATTTCCAAAAAAGAACACTTGCACTTTCATTTTGAACATATCAGGTCACAACTAGAACTATGAATTCCAAACAATTGTCCACACAGCATTTAAAACAAGACAAATTAACTGTAATCAATACAGAGATGCTGTTCACTTAGAAACTGCACGTAATTTACCTTTTCTATAAACTGTAGAAAATCAAAACACAAGGGTAAATCATTCAATTAGCTTTCGAAGATTAACTTAAGCTAGATTAATCTCTGCGGGCATCCAACTCATACCCATCTGGACAGGTGTCCTCTGCAGCTCCGACTTGATGGTGAATGGATTGCTGAGCATAGCAGTGGCTGGATCCTCCGCCCCCTCTAATGTAAAGCACGCACCCTCTCCGACCACCCCGAGTGTCACTGCTTCTGCAATCTAAAATTCAAACCAATACACAAGACAATTTTAGGTAAGATCTCAAAAGGCTACCACACAGAAACAAAGGGAGTGTCCACTTTGCTATGTCTGCCCCGTATCTGTACGTGCCAATTTCTCTCCATTTGGTTCGCTCATCAGAAGGCAGGTTTTATATAGGGAGGCAAAGTGACATCCAGGCACTGACTGGCCGACTGGACATGTATCATGCCTCCCAAAGTATTTTTACTTGATCAATTTTCACAGCTGGTTATCAACGATGTCAATTACTGTATTTTTCCGCATATAACCCGCGGGGTATGCCACTTTTTACAAAAACAAGACCCTGCAGGGTATATGGAGGTGCGGGCTATCCCAAAAATATTTTACACGTGTGACATGTCATAACTCGTTTAATTTTTTCATGGATAGGACTATCCACTATGCACACTTACCTTTGACTAAAGCACTGTTGAATAAACCACTAACACTAAAATTGCACATGTTAAATCACGTTTTAAATTATTCGAATTGTTTGTACAATGAAACGACTGTTTGATGTGGGTGCATTTTGTTTACCGGCGACGGGAGAGCTGTGCGAAGAGAGAGGTTGGGGGGCGAGGCAACGGCGTACCGTAGTGCCGCTAATTATCTGCACAATGCGCAATCTACAAGTGCTAAAATTGTACTTATCTACCAGTTGTGTTACTTATGTATTGGATATTTAATTTTGGTACTTATTTACCGTTTTAAGTTCACTCGTTTTCGGTTAGTTTGTTTTCTTTGTGCACGCTACGATTTTAAATGTTAACAATTGATAGTGGAATGTATTACAATATAAACTTCTTATTAATATGATGGAATTAAGCTGTGGGAACAACGTTAAATATATGAATGCATGCGGGGTATCTGAAATTTGGTTTACACAAAACGCTATTTTATGCGTCTGCAGGTTATATGCGTATGCGGGCAATATGCGGGAAAATACGCGGGAAAATACGGTAATGATTTACACCGATTCCCTCCCCCAGACAACCTTTTGGCAATCCCAGCAGACCAGACAACGTTCTATAATCTCATCTTTTAAGTATAACCATAATGACTAACAAATAAATATGTAACCACTAATTTGTCTATGGATCACAGATTGATACATATTTACTCATGTTCACTATCTGACCGGGTGACTCAGATGGTAGTGTGAGTGGCTCACAAATTGCAAGTTGTGAGTAAAAAAACGTTGGTTGGGGGCTGATTCAGGCCATCATCCCTCCAGGCTCAATAACTTCCCTACAGTGGTATTACTGTTAAGTCATTGTCCAACGGATAGAATCATTCTTGCCATATGAATGTGGAATTTCCACCACTGGCTCAGGGCTTTAAAACAGGAGATGATTAGTGTTTGCTGCTGGATGACAAGAATGTCAATGGATGATTTTCCACCAATATCCACACCTGCTCTGCCAGTTTGTCATGCGCCCGCTCCATAGCACTTTTTGCTTTGAGGTTAAAGTCCTTCGCTTGAGACTTCCATGCTGGCCTCCTCAACCTGGTCTCTCCCTTCAGAGTCCTCTGTATTCAAAAACACAGTTGTTATTCATAATAAAGGTTTTTGGGTTAGATTGCCGGGTTTGTAGCACAGCGCGCTAACCACTACACTACCGCTCCCCCCCACACACACGCACTTGCTGCAGACACACAACTTTGAGGGTCCGTACGGCAGTAAACGACTCAAATAATAAACCAATGCTGCGCGAAGAACGTCGCAGACCCACAACACATTTGTATTTCACGTTACCCGCGGAGGGTTGGGGGGGGGTGACATCAGCAGGCACACTCCATTACAATTCCGCATACGGGTCACATGACAGATGTGACATCACAGCTCACTTGCCGTGCAAAATATATGCATTATTGTGCCCCCCCCCCCACCAAAATACAAAAGTCTATTTTTATAATTTTTTCATGGTGTACAGTCTGGAAAGTAACCACATGGCAAAGTTCAAGTTTGTTGCATGTCGGGAAGTACGCTAAACATTCTGAACACACACACATTCACAAATTTCCCATATATATATAGACTAGCAGGAAGTACCTAGCATTGCCCAGGGGAAAAATATATTTCAAAACTTTCTTCTCTTAAAAACATAACATATACATACAAATGCTAAGCTATTGTGAAAGCCCGGCGTTCCGTTTGTCCATGAACAAAATTATAAGAGGCTTGCAGAAGTCCTGAATCAAAAAGTAATATAAAGTGGGGGGTAAATAGTTGATCTAAAGGGTTTCCAAAAATTGTCGACCCCCCTCAAAAAATATTTTTATTCCCCTGTAGGCATATATACTTACACACCCTACATGCAATAGCGAGTAGTACAAAGGACGTTATGATGAACAAGGGATTATAACCTTTAAATGAAATAAGTCTGTCACCGCGGCCTTACAAATTGCACACGAATTGATGCAATGAATATCATGCCGCGGTCTGCTTTTCATCTTCTTGGTTCTTTCGGTAAAGTCACGTAGAAGGGAAATAATAAAATAATAAAAATAACAAATAAATTACAATTCTCACGACGTTTCGGCCACAACGCAAGTAGCCGTCCTCAGGTGAAGAACAGGTCTGTCGGAAAGACAGCGTCCTGTTCTTCACCTGAAGACGGCTGCTTGCGTTGTGGCCGAAACGTCATGAGAATTGTATTTTATTATGTAATTTTTTGTTTATTTTATTATTTCCCTTCTACGTGACTTTACCAAAAGAACCAAGAAGATGAATCCCTGCAGTCACGAAAGCTTTCAATCGAAAAAGGTCTGCTTTTCGTTTGCAAGTTTCAGATTTACTGAAATACACCCGTCCTTGGACGGGAAAAAGGCGCGTTACTAATATTAATTCTGTCTGCCCCGTATCTGTACGTGCCAATTTCTCTCCATTCGGTTCGCTCATCAGAAGGCAGGTTTTATATAGGGAGGCAAAGTGACATCCAGGCACTGACTGGCTGACTGGACATGTATCATGCCTCCCAAAGTTTTGGTGTGGAGGATAACAAATAATTCTCAAAAACTGACCTTCTCTGCCGGTGCAGTCATTGTAGCATAAGGTTTATGACGTAGGCCACGTTGAGAAGCCCGTGAACCATCTCCTTCAGAACTCTCCGTTTGGTTGAGATGGCTTGGATAGTGAGCCCTAATAAGAAAAATTACAAAACTAAGGAATGCAAATACAGTCCAAGTCTAAAAAGAGATATTTATAAAAAAAATAATTTATTACAATAAATGCAGTCAGTGGGTTAAAATCTTGATTTGAAGCTTTCGTGACTGCAGGAATCCATATTCTTTGGTTCTTTCGGTAAATACCTACGTGACTTTACGGAAAGAACCAAAAGAGTAGTGGGTTAAAAGTTGGAACTACATAACGATATTACAACTATGTCAATTATTTAATATTCTTACCTGGGGGTTTTCAAGCCTGATGACATAGGTAAATCGACCTCTGCCTGAAGCGATCCAGCCTTGGCAGATACATCAATTGGTTTTTCTAGAAAACATGTGTCAATGTGTTAAGTACTTCAGTAGCAAGTTAACGTTGAAATCACAGAAAAGGTTTTAGGTTTATTAACAAAATGTCTTGATTTGTTCAATGGTTTTCATGCGAGATGCCTCATCTCTATACAACCAAATTCATTGAAAACAAACTTAACGGAGCTATGTAAATCAGTACAGTAAATTTTAGGCTGCTAACGATTGTCAAAAGGCAATCTTGAGCAAGACATTGAACAGGAGTGATAATGGAAGTTAACCCCCACCCCCTCTCACCCATCCGTGGGTACGGGAAGAGGGAAGGCACATTCTCATCAGAGTCTTCTTCCAGCACCTCAAGCGACAAAGGTGGAAATGTCGGAAGCGAAGTAAACGCCTGTGGAAAATCTAAGGTTAACAAGATATCTCTTGGGCAATATGAACAGGGCAGTATATGAGAAAACTATCTTTGCATTTTACCACGAACAAAATGGGAGTTACAGCCCTTGTATTATCGACAGTGGTCCCTACAAAAAACACGGCAGAATGTATTTCTCATCCGAAATGCTGTGGCAGCATTGGGAATTAAACAGATCTGATATTTTGCAATAGAATGGCAGCACAGTATTTATGTACGCATGTTGAACTTATTTCGCACCGTACATAGCCAATGAGCTAACATTGGAGTATTGATGACAGGGCAAAGTAGCTTGTGTCGAGTGAAAGGTGAGTTACAAGATTGTGTGCATGATCATTGCTTGTCATTATACAGATTGTATATGGTTTGCACAAATAGACTTTTAAAAAAATGTTTTAAATATTCAAATTTTTCAATTAGATGGTAATTTAAATAAACTGGCATTGAGGTTTTACCAACTGATCCTACCGGTTGTATGACGAGGGGGTTAAACCCTTTGTTTTTCTTTTCTTGCCAACGAGTGTCCAGTTCCGCCACGGCCTTATTCAAGTCTGGGAGAACCCCTCCTGCTATCGTAATTCTGTGTGAGCATGAGAACACCGTTCCTTCACAAGCATGCTATCAAACAGCCCTTTCATGATCCCAGCTCTGCGTGAACACAAACTCAAATCACATTAGCCCCATGCTCGTTCACTCACCGTAGTGTCTGCATCTCCGCCAGGCAAGTAGACAGGGAGGCGGCCTGGCTGTAAAGGTCACGGGCAGCAATTGTTAGGTCAGGAAGCCCCGTATTGTGCAGCTCGTCCATGTAGTGGCGTAGCGCCAGCTTGTGCAGCTGTAGGAAGCTCAGTATGTCGAGCCGCCCAGCCACAAACACGTTGTGCACACGCTGCTGCAGAAAGGAGCACCGCACCATGGCAAAGTCAGGCAGTCAACCAATATGGACAAAATATCTGTTATGCCAGTAGACCCAATGCACTGGCTATACTGGAGGTAGCATGCGCCTGTAAATCTGCTTTGGGAGGCAAAAGTTGGAGGATTACAGATTTGTTAAATTCCTAAATCAGCTGGACCATAAGGTGACCAAGCTGGCTATAGAGAGTGGATTTTTGAATACATCTGTGTAGACCTTGCTAGTTAATCCCTTAAAATGTGTTTTGTGCTCGGGTTTCATCCCTTAATGGAATTAGACAAACATCTCAATGTATGTCTTGAGACTCAGTGAGGCTTACTTTTATAAATCAAGGGCATTATACAGCTAACAGATTCAAAATGCTGCACTTGGATAAAGTGCATTGCGCACCTCAGCTTTTTCATGTTTTAAAGTCAACTTATGATTTCACTTTCCAATAACAAATCATAAATTTAAGCCATAAATAGAATAAGCAAACCACTATATCAATGACCGCCCAACAGACTAGACCGTATTTTTACATGGAAGTGTACTCCTGGCTAAGGAAACTGAACAGTCAACGTCACTGCCGCCGTCATACCCGCTTTATCTCCTTCTCACACAGTGTGAGCAGCATTCGTGGAATCTTCACGTCAACCGCGGCTCCGTCCAGCCGGTAGCGATCAGCCTCTCCACTCAACACAGCGCCCACTGCCTCCACACTGGGCTCAAGTGCCTTTAACGTCCCCTCCAATGTAGCCCACATGGCGCGTACCTACATTTCAGATTATGGGTGGTATACAATTATCAATGGTGCATCGTTATCAGTTAATATCAGCAGAAAATTGGTAACACACAAACTTATGCTGGTGAACAATTGCTTGTTTCCAACCTCTTTCAACATCATCTTGTTCTCTTCGGTTTTACGATCCAAGCACTCTTCCACTGCAGCATCCCTAACGAGAGCATGCAACAGTCAACGTTAAAAAAAGTTGCTTGTTTACAAGTCTGAAATTATTATACAAACCTCATCTATATAGCACCTTTGTGAACAGTAGAAACGCAACCTCTTTTTGTAAAGTAAAATATTGATTTGCAACACTACACCACAATATAAGTGTACTTTGTTTTGTTACCAAATACAATAAAATGTAATTTGAATATATGAGCATAAACCGACACATTTTTATACCACTCAACAATATGCATAGAGTCCTTCACAAATATAATCACTCCCAATCTGGCTACAGTCTTTACCAAGAAAAAAGGCTTGCTACGTGTCGGTATCACTTTGCAAAAGACTGCATTATACGGCTGCAGTGAATAAACAAAACACTTTAAATTGTAAATAGTGACATGAAATTTGCGCACCCTTCTTCATTCACCAATGCGTAGCCACAATCCTTCACCATACGGTCCATATTCTTCTCCTCCTTTTGTATTTGGACTGTGAGCTCCTTGTACTCTTTGTCCTGTGATCTGGAGAACATTCAAGGACAATATTAATCAGAGCTATTCTTTACACTCAATTATAAATCACTCATGAGGACAGTAGCCGTTCAACAATACAATTCTTTTTAAAGGCTTACGCTCAGATAATACAATTCTTTTTAAAAGCTTACGCTCAGACTAGTCACATAAATTGGTTCCTTCAATGAAAGTCCCAAACTAGAGACTATGAAGGTAATAAATTGTTCCAAAATGGTTCTGGGAGATGGCAACTGATTATATTTAACAATAGTCAGTGTTATTAGAGTGTACCTCACAATCATAAGTTTTGCATGTTCAAATATTTATGGGGGCCAACTCCTAACCATAATCCTCAGGTTTGCTATAACATGTGTGGGAAATCAAAGGTTATCCTACAGACTTCTGCTCACCATAGACATGGGGATTACTACTGATGGATTAGGGAATGGCAAGCACCACATATATATTTTAGCAGCTCTGTTATCCGGCATCCATGGAGAATGGAGGGTGCCAGTTAAAATCAAATATTCCGGTTATACTTGTGGTTCACCAAATTTTGCAAGTACAAACTTTTCAAGTAAGAAAAAGCCTACATTTTAATGATACAAGATAGAAGATACTCTTTTACAGAGATACTCGCCAGTCAGTTGTAGAGCATTCCAAGTTGATTGTAGAGAAGCAGTGGGGCCGTTTAGAGTACAGTATACAAAGTACAGTGCTGTATGTACAGACTATCGCAAGTGCCACCAATTGGTTGCGTCCTGAAGCTCCATAACGAACAGGTCTATTATACTGGTAGGAACCTCCTGGATACACCAGTCCACAGGGGATTATTGTGTCTGTCCGTCCGTCGTGCAGGGAGGGGCTGGGTGGGGAGGGTTGAGGGGCTGGTCACACCGTGGTGCCCTTATAAAACTCAACGTTAACCTACTCACGCCGGCTTGTGCCCGCCCTCACGGTCGGGCATATTTGCGGAATACACCACGCCGCCGTTGACTCTGGCCATTGACCGAGCAACCCAACGTTCCTACCAGCTCCCTCCGCAGGAATGTGTTAAGCACGCGGCATGATGCCAGATGGCTATCGGAATTTTTCCAGAACGTGTGAAGGAAGATTGTATTGCAGTTTGACAGACACCAGTTAGTGCATTCCGGAGAACAGAGTTTTTGCAAAACTTTGGCTTTTTTCCCTCCCTCAGTCAAGGCGACGAGACTCAAAGCCACTTAGAGGCAGCAGTGCTCACCTGCTATTGTTCCACGACTCCTCTATGTCCACCTGCATGTGGTGCACGCGCTGAAACGTCTTTTTCCGCAGCAGTGCCGTGTCGGCAATCAATCTCTCGGCCACCACATCCTCCATGCCATTCAGCCTGGGCTTTATTGACGCCGGTGGGACCATGCGCGACCGATACTCGCCCACTGCACGCCGCAAACATCAAGTACCATGCAACTGTTGGCATGTGCATTCTTCTTGCTATTCCTAATCGACAATTTTACAATTTTTGCTTAAGAATTTTTACTAAAAGAATTGCTAAGTTATGCAGATTTGTGAAACTCTAAAAAAAAAACTCACTGTGCTTTAAGGTGGCCAGGAAATAGCAGAACAGCAAGTGAGTTTGTGAGACCATCCATGGAGACCTTTTTAAGTGTTATGCCTTTTCTCCACATTGTGCATTTTTTTTAAACACTCAGGTCAAAAATTAATGTTTTACAAACTTTATCATGCTTACCATTTTTTGCTTTCAAAATCTGTTTCTCCAAGACGTAAATGCAGAAATGGTACATGACGTTTATAAACAGGTTTCCCCCAGGAGAAATAAACAAGGAGTGCTGAATCTGCGGAAATCCACAACTCTGCTTTTCTTCCTGTCGGAGAACAGACAAGCAAAACCACAAACACACTGTAAAACTTCGCTGGAAAAAATACAATTACAATCCGTTGTATTAAGAGTCATTTTAGTAATTAAACTATTACATAAAAGTAGACTCGTCATTCACTTAATGCAGCAAATGTTACTTCAGTGAAACTGGTAGACAGTAAAGACTTACCGATATATCTCGAAGCCATGAGCTGCATGTTTTGCGAAACATTTGCTCCATTTTTTTGTCGACAATAGGCATGCACAGTCTGAATGAAATATAGAAAAGGGAAATAAAAAATGAAAACGCAGACTAAAATAAAGGTTATCCATTTAAGTTAATTACAGCAGGCTAGGCACTGAGAAACAGGTATTTTACCTGCATCTAATATAACAATCATTAAATTAATTCATTGTTGAATTTAAAAACGCATACATTAACATTGTGGCCTTAAAATAAAACATAGGTGATGTGTCAGGCAATGGTTCTTCTTGATCGCACATAACTGTGATATACAATACGACGAGGATTTAAATTAAGCGTGGACACAGAAAAAAACGACCTCACCTGAATCGCTCCTTGGCGAGCACTGGATTCAGCTTACAAAATAGAAAATATGTAATGTTCTCAAAGGCACATTTGTTCGGCTTCACAAACATGTCCCTGGTTGAAGACAAAAGCATGCACAAGTGAGTAAACCTTGACAGCCTGATAAATGCTCACACTGTACTGTACATAGAGCCGTGTAAACCTACATCAATTACACATTACTGTACATTCTAGATTTGATGTGATTGAATTATTATTTTATACCTACGTGACTTTACCGAAAGAACCAAAGAGTACATTACTGTAGTGTTTTTTTTTACAAAACAAAAATTACTGATGTCTTTACAATAGGGTGGAAATAACACAACATGGAACGGAACACACCATCGACTTATAAAACATATTTTTTGTTATTATTTCCCTTCTACGTGACTTTACCGAAAGAACAAAGAATATAATTTTGAGTACTGTATAGAGTATATACGACGCTGGGCAATTGGCATTGTTCTTTAATAAATACGCATGAAATAAGTTCATGGCATATTCTTTTTAAACGCGAACCTAACTCAAATATCTTACCGCGGCATCTAAAGACGCCAATATTTGTGAACTCGTCAAGTACGATACTCTAACGTATTTAACGGTCACACTTCCCCGATAAACTCTCAACAACTCAAACAGAACGGCGATCATTTAGTCATGAAATAATTCACATTAATCAATAGCGCAACTTACAACAACAACAACAACAACAGTGATCATTATCATTGAAAAATAAAAGTAGCGGCCTCCACTCACGGCCCCATTGAGACGCGTAGGCCGGGCGGCGCCTTCCATCCCAGCAGCAACAGCATCGACCAAATGCGGGCGCCTTTGCCCTCCAGGTCGCACTCCGCCATCGCTAAGGTTCTCTCGTAACACTCGCACGAGGGGCTTGTCGCGAAACGTCGACGTCTTACGATGACTTCTACCGGCCCTCTCCTACTTCTTATTCTTGCCCCACGAGTTCAAGTTCCACAAAAAAAGGCGCCAACTGCGAGCGGGTGAAGCTTCTCAGCCAATCACGTCGCGCCTCACAGTAGCCACGCCCTTTTATGACGGGGGCGGGGGCGTTCCGGTTTGTAACGGCGTCTTCCATTGGACGAGCGTGGTGACGTCACCAGTCGAGGGCGTTGCCTCTCCCTCGCCGTGTTGCTTCCAGAAGTAGGGGGGGGGGGCAGATCTTCCGGAAGATAGCTACCGTCTGTTTTGTTGTCATCTTCCGGAATTGGTAGACAATTAAACAACACCAGGTGGGAAAGCATGACCTACTATTGATGCAGTTTGTTAAAACAAAATAAATGAAAGCAACTAAATTAAAACAGTCTGAGATGGGTGCACCAAGGTAGCTGGGTGGAGCTAGAGATGGTCCAACCACAGAGGCTGTGGGCCTTTGTATTGTGAGAGATTAGCCTCTCACCCACTACATTGACATTGTTGCTGCATTGGCATTGTTGACATTGCTGCTACATTGGCATTGCTGCTGCATTGGCATTGTTGCTTAATTGGCATTGCTGCTACATTGGCATTGCTGCATTGGCATTGCTGCTGCATTGGCATTGTTGCTGCATTGGCATTGCTGCTGCATTGGCCTTGCTGATACGTTGGCATTGTTGCTGCACTGGCATTGTTGCTGTATTGGCATTGCTGATACATTGGCATTGTTGCTACATTCGCATTGTTGCTGCACTGGCATTGTTGCTGTATTTGAATTGTTGCTGAATTGGCATTGTTGCTGCATTGGCATTGCTACTACATTGGCATTGTTGCTGCATTGGTATTGCTGCTGCACTGGCATTGTTGCTGCATTGGCATTGCTGCTGCATTGGCATTGTTGCTACATTGGCATTGCTGCTGCATTGGCATTGTTGCTACATTGGCATTGTTGCTGCATTGGCATTGCTGCTGCATTGGCATTGTTGCTGCATTGGCATTGCTGCTGCATTGGCATTGTTGCTACATTGGCATTGCTGCTGCATTGGCATTGTTGCTGCATTGGCATTGTTGCTGCATTAGCATTGTTGCTGCATTGGCATTGCTGCTGCATTGGCATTGTTGCTGCATTGGCATTGTTGCTACATTGGCATTGTTGCTACATTGGCATTGTTGCTGCATTGGCATTGTTGCTGCATTGGCATTGTTGCTACATTGGCATTGCTGCTGCATTGGCATTGTTGCTGCATTGGCATTGTTGCTGCATTGGTATTGCTGCTGCATTGTCATTGCTGCTGCATTAGCATTGCTGCTGCATTGGCATTGTTGCTACATTGGCATTGCTGCTGCATTGGCATTGTTGCTGCATTGGCATTGTTGCTGCATTAGCATTGTTGCTGCATTGGCATTGCTGCTGCATTGGCATTGTTGCTGCATTGGCATTGTTGCTACATTGGCATTGTTGCTACATTGGCATTGTTGCTGCATTGGCATTGTTGCTGCATTAGCATTGTTGCTGCATTGGCATTGCTGCTGCATTGGCATTGTTGCTGCATTGGCATTGCTGCTGCATTATCATTGCTGCTGCATTGGCATTGTTGCTGCATTGGCATTGCTGCTTCATTGGCATTGCTGATACATTGGCATTGCTGCTGCATTGGCATTGCTGATACATTGGCATTGCTGATACATTGGCATTGTTGCTGCATTGGCATTGTTGCTGCATTGGCATTGCTGATACATTGGCATTGCTGCTGCATTGGCATTGCTGATATATTGGCACTCCGCCCATGCTTCTGGTGTTATTGTTCCACTTGGGCTAGCTCCGTCTCCAAACCTTTAGAGGCTGACTCCTTTGCATGATGACGACCGCTTGTGTTAAGATCGAAACGTCGTGATTTGTTTTAATTGATTTCTAACTACGTGACTTTACCGAAAGAACCAACGAGATTACAACCTCGTGTTATTAAAATATTCCGGAAGATTCTACCATCTTCCAGAATACATCTACCGTCTGTCTCCCGGACGTCTTCCGAAATTGGTAGATGATCTTGTTGGTGAAAATCCACGCTTACGGAGTTCGGGAAGATGTGCCATCGTTTGTTTTGTGCTATTGTTGTCTTTAAGCAAATGGCTCAAGCCGCCCAGCTCGGTGACACGGGTTCGATCCCCGATACGGGCAACTATCAATGACTGTTCCTGTTATTGTTGCTTTTCAAAGCGTCTAAAGTGGGATTCTTAAATACCTACTTACGTCTGGAATAGACTACGACTCTGCGTCTGTATCAGAGCGAACACCCACTTTGTATCAATTATCCGAACTAAACGTGAGTAATATCCATGCACTGATGTTATAACACTGTATAATATAACGCATTGCATTGTGCATTGTAGAAGTGAAGGACAACTTTAAAACACGCAGAGTGGCAGTCGCTGGCCACGATGAGCCACTGCGGGCGGCTCGAGGTGCCGTGTGACGGTCAGGAGGGGGCCACCTCGGACGACGAGACGGAGTGGAGAGAAAACATCGCCAACGACTCACGTACGATGCCTTCCACGTTCCCATGACGAGCACCGGTCATCCATAGGAACCAAATTTTTTTGAAAAAAAAAACTTGGATTTTCTGTTTGCGCACAGTCACTTTCAGATGTTTTTGTTTTCTGTTTGTTGCGGTTGCACCCGATTCAAGAGCCGAATTGCTCACAGGGCTATACCTAATACATGAACTTGAACTACTGTTCCCACAAAGTAGTGCTCGTTTTATCGACCATGTAGATGCGATGGGTTGAGTCGAGCTGAATATAATTCAAATGCACTGCCGCCCTACTGGGTAAATAGAAATTGCAGTATAGTTTTGAGCGGCCTGGAGTACGGCTGTATGTATGTTGAACTTCTTTCGCACCGTACATAACCAACCATGCTGTCATTGCATGCGTTATATGTGGGCACATGAATAGGTTGCATATTAATCTCTCTCCATAGACTTCCTACCTACATACCTCCCTGCCTGCCTACCCACTTACCCAGCTTGTCTATGTTTTTGACACTGTCAATTCTTGCAGTGTCTTGTGATCACAATTTGTAAGCAGGTTACATAAATCACCTGCCGTGAGAAGTTGCCCTGCACTCCGAATTAGGTAGGTTATTTATGTCACCTTTACAATTGTTTGGCGATACTGCGTTAGAATTGGTGCGCAAGCATAACTAACAAAGTAAAACTCGACACATTTGTCAAGAACACTGCTTAACAAAAGAATATAATGGTTTGGCCAGTTGCTCTTCTGTAATTAGACATCAGAATCTTTATTTAGACTGGAGGTTTCCGAGGAGCTATGAAGCCCTTTTTCACCAGGAGGAGCGGGTCAGCAAGTTACAACACTAAACAATACAAAAAACGAGTGCAAAATAGAGAAAAGGTAAGCAAGTGACTAAAAATAGAAACATTTATAAAAATAAAGTCAATACAGTAAGTAAAATTGCATAAGTAAACATTATTTTATGATGAAGCGTTGGCAGTGGTTTTCAAGCACAATAACTGGGCTTAAAGGAAAACATGATGTGCATCGTTTATCGGGTAATGGCCCTTTATAGTACACATAACATCTTCTGCCATGTGTATACAGGCAGAGCGTTTGAATAGTTCAGAAGGTCCACTCTACTCGTGATCTTTATATGGCCAATAAATTGAGTACCGTTCTGTGAAAAGTCAACGGTATCACGTAAATGTGTGATGATGAATTCCAATTGCCCAAAGCGTTGCCTATTATATACTTTTCATCTTAAGGCAGTGAAATTGATAAATGTGTTTGATTTGCTTGCCTGTGTCATTCTCTGCTCACAGGTGCAAAGTCTCTCCCGAGATCCGTGGCCACCAACTTAGGAAGTAGAGTCATCATCCACGTGGACATGGATTGCTTCTATGCCCAAGTGGAAATGATCCGGAATCCAGAACTAAGAGACAAACCACTCGGTGGGTTTTTCACCTGTATAGAGAATAGGGATGAGTTTTGGATTAAACAGACGATTCAGATTTTCTGATCATTCAGGACAATTTGGGATCAATTCCGGATTTATTCTAAATCATTGAAATCACTAATGTAAGATGTTTACATGCTCATAATGGTGACGTCACCCCATGCCATGGGACATCACTTCGTGGTAAAAGTGTAATGGATTCAACTGAGTCGCAGACGTACTTCTTGGAGGCAACACATTTATTTACACCATCACATTAACACAAAGGGGTTACTGCCCCTTCACCAGATAACCTATGGTGGGGGACCACCAGGCTAACTACGCTAGTTACAGGGAGTAGCTACAACGGACAGGACCCTGGCTTGGTTCCTCGTCCACGTGTTGGTGACTTCTTCTCTTGGATGTAGATCGTAGATCTTCGGATGATGACAATAACGCAGCAAGCCCGGTCCCTGTGGGAACCCGGTTTATATGCTCCCAGGTCGTGGCTGGCCCCGCCCTTGACCACGACTACCTTCGAGAAACCTCTTGTCATTTCTCGACCCTTCCCGTAGGATCTCTCCCCCGACACGTGACCACCCCCTAGCCCCCGCTTGGGCCCCCTGTGTAGATCTTACTGGTCACGTGTCTTCCAGGGTCAACCAGAGAGCCGTGGCCCAGGGTAACCTCATCCCATGGCTGACACTCTCACACTCCCTCCTGTAGGAGTCAACACTGCACACCACGCGTAGTGTCACTGCTATCCCAGCGCTCACCGAGCCCCCTCTAGGGCTGGTACTACACCCACCTACGGGGTGTCCGTGATGACAATGCACCGCACGCCGTGCCTCGCTAGAGACGGCATTAATCGGTGACATTCACGATGTCGCTACACACGTGATGTCCGCGATGCGAGTACATCGCACGCCGTGCCCCTCTAGGGCCGGCACCATGCAGTGACATCTGGGATGTCACTGCACAAGCACATAAATTATGTAATATTACGCCTGATTTTTACATTTTCTGGATTAATCCAAAAATCGGTAGCACATCTCTATTGCGGAATGGAATTGCCAACAACTGTCCGACACACGTTACATCAGTCTGCTACACCATATACACGAGGAACTCAAGTTGTCTGCCATTGCTGCATCCAACATGTCAGCATGCTTAATGTAAGGTGCAGCCCAAAAGACATAGCTGTTGTCTTGTATGTCTTCAGGTGTCTGACATGAACAGTAAGTATTATTGATAAAAACAGATTTTTGAAAATGACGGTTATGCACATCATTACACACACAGTAACATCACTGTGTGTCTAATGACAGCACTGTGATTTCATGCCCTGCATTTAAAAAACGCTAATCGAGTGACATGACTACAGCACCCTGTGGCAGCACACCTGACTGATTTTAAAGTATTTTTTTCACATTTAAGGATCAATTAAACTCATAGTCATAATACCCCGGGATATACAGGCTAAGTTCATAAATACAACATCATAAATATCTTGTTCCTTGCTCATCAGGGATCCAGCAGAAGTACCTGCTGGTGACGTGTAACTACGTGGCACGGGCGATGGGTGTCTGCAAGATGATGAGCGTGAAGGCGGCACAGGTGAAGTGCCCCGGGCTGGTGCTGGTGAGCGGAGAGGACCTCACGCACTACCGCGAGATGTCCTACCAGGTGACGGGTGAGCGTCATCACCAGCAAGGAGATGCAGCACTGCCCTCCTCTGTGTATATTCTCTCCCTGTTGCTCATTACTCAGTGCAGAGTATATGTGACCTCAATGACGAAGCTACTCCATCATGAGTTCGGTCCACTGTCTTCCCCTCTCGCCGCAGTGGCGAGAGTCGCACTGCGCTAGTGAGATGTTAACTCCCTCGCCAAGTATACAGGAGGTCGTGGGTTAGATCCCGACCGTGATGCCTGGAAATTTGGAGTTTGCATGTTCTCGCCATGGTCGCGTGGATTTTTCTCCGGATTCTCCGGTTTTTCCCTCCACATTTAGAGACATGCATTTCTTTGGCTGCTATAAATTTCCACATGATAAGCCACTTGATTGGGCCATCATTTGTTGCCAGGTAGCTTTTGAAAAAGAGCTATATAGATCAGTGGGCCTTACCTGGTAAAATAACAATAGTTTCGTTTAAATTTTCAATGCTATTTGTCCACCTAAATGTGAGTGATGTGTTCCCGTTGTCAGGCGAGCTCCACAAACCCGCACTGACCAGCGTGGTGAAGTATAGTCACATCTAGTCCCCGAATAGTAATGCAGCCTGAAACTCATCCTCAGGCACTTAGAAGTCTGATTTCATCATCCATGATAGATGGAGTGATGAAATTAGCTCATGTGCAGGTGCTAGATGGATTATTATATTGCATGGTCATGAGAGATGGTGGCAGATTGGGGAGTCCTTCATCCATCAGTGGATTGACCATGGCTGATGCTAATTATCTATCCATATTAGTCCGCGTGTATTCGGTACTTTCATCTCTCCCAATCTTCAGGCACTTTGTAAACAGACCTTGGAATATCGAAGAGTTACTAACCATGTGACCATACCCGTCGGTCTCCCCAGAGCTGCTGGAGCGGTTCAGCCCGCTGGTGGAAAGGCTGGGATTCGATGAGAATTACGTGGACGTCACTGAGCTGGTGCACAGGCGGCTGGGACGAGGAGCGACCTGCCAGGAGCCCCCCCGAGTGGAGGGACACGTCTACGATGACTTGAGTGATGATGCCACTACTTTATTCAACCTAACTTGTAATGGATGAAAGCGAATCGTGACATTTGTTTACATAGCCATATCTTTCAAATGAAAAATTTTGAGTGATAACACAAGGCTAACTGATGCATTCTACAAAGTGAAAAGGGAATCTGGCTCACATATCAGATGCCAGATGGTCAATATTAACAATAGAACGGAAGCCAAATTGAAGGCAGGAGAAAGAGAGCTGTGCACTGGATATGGAATTAGAATCAGAATCTTTATTTACCATGGGCATATCCGATGAGTTAGGAAGCTCTTTTTCTCAGATGTCCAGTAGGGGCCGGTCAGAAAGTTACAACAACAAACAATACAAAACACGATAGGAGTGCAAAGTATCGGGACGGTAAGAAAATAACTATAAATAATTCTAGATTTGAAGCTTTCGTGACTGCAATGATTCATAGTCTTAGGTTTTTTCGGTAAAGTCACTTAGGTAAAATATTAAAATTAATAAAAGTTAAATAAAATAAAAATCACGACGTTTCGGAGGCAACACAAGCTTCCGTCTTCAGGTGGAACCGTCACAGCCATGACAGCTGTATCAAGTAAATGAGAGATTGCAGGAGCTACCACTCCGTTTATATAATGGTTGGAGAGGGGGGGAAGGGCCAAGTACAGCACACTTTTTATTCATATGGTAAGGTGAGGCTTAAGAGGGTGAGCCTTTGTTATGGAGAGGTACGGTTTGTGACTCAACCTGTGAAAAGGAGAAAACAACTAAACATGGTAAACTTGTAATAGTTGTCTGTCAAATAAGATTGGCCAAATAAGTGTAGTTAAATCTTTTTTGCATGGTTAATCACATCTTTCCAATGATTACTCAGTTTGTAACCATCACCACGGTTGAAATTATGTCTGTGTTTGTATATTTGTATGGCTTCGTGTACAAACCTTTGATGGTAGCCAGGAGGTTTGCAGAGAACCTTGGTCTCGGAAAAGACAATTTCATGAGAGCCCACCGTTGCCGATCATTGCTACAACTCGGTGGGCTCTCATGAAATTGTCTTTTCCGAGACCAAGGTTCTCTGCAAACCTCCTGGCTACCATCAAAGGTTTGTACACGAAGCCATACAAATATACAAACACAGACATAATTTCAACCGTGATGATGGTTACAAACTGAGTAATCATTGGAAAGATGTGATTAACCATGCAAAAAAGATTTAACTACACTTATTTGGCCAATCTTATTTGACAGACAACTATTACAGGTTTACCATGTTTTTTTTTCTCCTTTTCACAGGTTGAGTCACAAACCGTACCTCTCCATAACAAAGGCTCACCCTCTTAAGCCTCACCTTACCATATGAATAAAAAGTGTGCTGTACTTGGCCCTTCCCCCCCTCTCCAACCATTATATAAACGGAGTGGTAGCTCCTGCAATCTCATTTACTTGATACAGCTGTCGTGGCTGTGACGGTTCCACCTGAAGACGGAAGCTTGTGTTGCCTCCGAAACGTCGTGATTTTTATTTGATTTTACTTTTATTAATTTTAATGTTTTACCTACGTGACTTTACCGAAAAAACCTAAGAATATAAATATAAATACATAAAATAGATCAATTATATAAGTTAAAGTATATATAAAGTGGTGGTAAGGGAGGATGAAGAGTGGTCGGCATTGGGTGAGGCCTTTGTCGAGTAGTTGGATGGTAAAATATATATTTTTAGCTCTGATTTCCATTTGCTTCGATGCTGTTCATTATTTTATTTTGCTTTTTTTATTTTGGTGACCCAGATCACTCTTGCACATGAGACTGGCCTGGTGTCTTGCAGTCGCACCTGGTTAAACAATATTAAAACTTGACGTTGAACAGCTAAGACAGCAAGAAGTGAATGACTTTCTCTCTGGTTCGATTCCCTACTGACCCAGGCCTGGACGCGAGCATTCCCCACCACGTGCAGCTGGCCATGGGCTCAGTGCTGGCAGCCGAGATACGGGGTTGCCTCTTGTCCGGGCTGGGCCTGACGAGCTGTGCAGGGATCGCCCACAACAAGCTGGCGGCTAAGTTGGTAGGTTCGGCACACAAGCCGAACCAGCAGACCGTTCTGCTGCCCGAGGGCATGGCAAGCCTCCTCGGGCACCTCACCCACCCCAAGCAGCTGACAGGTTGGGGAACGCACCATCGGTCAAAAGAAGAGAGAGCCGGGTTTTCTTTGTGTAATGAAATAAATGCTTTGTTATCCTTTACATTGGTAACAAATTAGAGAGACACCGCCATCACAGTTTAAAGGGCTTTGGAATGACATGATAAAATGTGGCTTAGCTGGTTGATTATCGGACGTTGTGGTGAAGCTGTATTGCCCAATGTCCTGTACAGCATGGAAAGGACAAATTCCTACGTCACAAATATTTCGAACCGTTTAACCTTATAACTTTTTGGAACACCTGACATTGTTTTTACACCGACAGAATGCACACTTGAAAACTGAAAATAATCATATACCAGTGGATGTGAATGTGGACAAATGTTAAGAGAATGCACTGTGCCACGGTGTTTTGAATTTTATATCGCTTATCACTTCACAAGTATCTGACTCTTCTGCACTGATGGTGATAACGTGCCAGCTGCTATATGCACGCGACGTGTGCGGGATCCCCGACAGGCATTGGCTACAGGACCAGTCAGAGGCTGGAAGCTATGGGTGTCGGCAGCATGGAGGAGCTACGCTCTTGTTCCCTCGAGGTGCTGGAGAAAGCGCTGGGCTCCTCCACGGCCACCTTTGTGAAGAATCTCAGCTGTGGGGAGGACAACTCTCCCGTGCTGCCCTCTGGTCCCCCACAGGTTCACTATGAAATCATCAGCAGCATTCAGTGTCGTTGTTGAGTTTGTGACGATGCATATGGCTTGGCACTTTTTTACCATTAATGTAGCATGGGTGATATGGGTGCTGGTGCAAGGAATGCAACAGGGCATCTCTCTGCCTTCCCTTATTAGTAGTCCGAGCACATGGGCTTCAAACCCATGGGCTGAGGTGCAGTTGCTGCACTTGTACAATTGACAACTATGCCACTGGTGTTTCCAATATTTAAGTTGGCATTGTGCAGTCGGGCATTGCATATACCATTTCCCGCACCTTCGATTAGCACGGTTGGCAGCGTACATATGGTGCGAAAGAAGTTCAATATACGTACATAAACATTTTCGCCTTTATATTTGGGCCTCTAAATGAGTTTCACAACTAGAGCATCCACCATGAGCTTAGACATAAGTACTTAAACCTATCTGTCCTCTTGTTAGTGTTACATTTATTTTAATAACTGTTCATTCGTCACTGTCAACAACCTGTTGGTCATTGCCAATGTTCTTGCTTCGTTCCAGTCTTTGAGCGATGAGGACTCCTTCCAAAAGGCCTCAACAAAGGAGGAGGTTGTGGAAAAGATGAGAGAGCTTCTAGGCAACCTGCTCCCAAGGTCACTGTAAAAAAATTGTAAAATCGTAGAACATTTACAAATTGGTACATGGTGCCACTTGGCAAAAACTGATGGGCAGTTGTCTTTCCAGGCTGCGGAAGGACGGGCGCGTTCCTGGGACGGTCAGACTCAGCCTCCGCCGCTTCACACCGGGGATTGAGCGCTACTTCAGCCGAGAGAGCCGCCAGTGTCCCGTACCGGCCCACCTCTTCCTCCGCTTCCACGCAGGTGACAAACTGTTTCTGCTCATCGCTAAAACCCATTTGCATGAGTTCACTTGCTCACCCATGGGGTGCTGCTTCTTTAGCACACCTCAAATTATGAAATTGTCCAAAATAGAAAAAAGAATAAAAATGTTTCCCCGTATAGTTTGTACCCAGACCTTGCTTGCAAAAGGGATATCATATCTTCATGAGAGCTAACATGGTTCTTCATTCTGGAAAGTAAAAAGTAAAGTTTAAGAGAAACAAACACTAAAATGTGCAATGTTTTCCCTTGATGTTCTTCAATTAGGAGATGTCTTGGAAGTTATAGAGCCCCTTCTGGAAGTGGTGATTAAGCTTTTCCACAAGATTATTGATGTGGCAAAGCCATTCCACCTGACTCTCTTGAACATCTGCTTCTCCAAGCTGGGTGCGGCAGCAATTAAGTCCGCTTGTAGTAAATCCATCGGAGATTTCTTCACCTCAGGAGTAAACAGCCTCAGTCAGGCTGCATCTACTAGTGATGTAAAGCTCCGTGTTCCTGTGGTTAGTCTTGCACAAAAAGATGACGAACCTCGGGTGAAGAGAACTCATAATCGCGTGCCGAAAACCCCTGGTCACGGTCGACCCAACAAAAGGCAAAAGACTCTACGTGATATCTTTCAAGAGAGCTCTGCGAGTAGAGCGGCAGGAGCAGCTTGGACTTCTTCATCCACCACAACAAAGTTCAGCACTGCAGCGAACACCCAGGTCAGTGAGCCGGACCTCCCTCCCGAGATAGACGCAAGCGTCTTCCACGCCCTGCCGCCCAACATACGGAGAGAAGTCCTTGCCGACTTGCAGCGTTCTGTCTCAGAAAGCAGCACAAACGACGCACAAACAGCACAGCAGTTGGACGTGACTGCCAAAAGAGTAATTTTACCTAACATGGCAGCAAGCACAGCTGACATAAATTTCGAAACCGAGAATCTGGGCTCAGATGAAGACTTATCAATTGCAGAAACTACATTTGGAGTCGCGATGAGTACCCACAGTGTTTTGACAGTTTCATCCACTACCGATCAGCACACTGGGGCATCTCATGAACTGTCTGATAGTGAAGCACGCAGTCCGTCTGAGCGGTTGCATGCAGTGGAACTCCCGGAGTTGAGCTCCCTGCCTGCAGACGTGGACCCGCAGGTGTTCACCCAGCTGCCCGCCGAGCTGCAGGAGGAGCTGTTTGCATCATGGAGGGGTCCGGCTATTTCCACGCAACCCGGTTGTCAAAAGAGTGGTGAGACAGGAGCGGCGATAGTGGGCGGCTCGCAGAGCCCGCAGGGCATTTTGAAATATTTCAAAAGGGCATGAGTTGTCCGTGTTAAACCCGGCACGTGTTATGGCTAGGTCTGTGCATGCTTGGCTTGTAAATACTACACTGTGACTGTAGAGTTTATGTGTGCGTATCAAGTTAATCGCATTGTCGAGCACTGGAATGGATATCAAGATGTAGGCAACCATAGAGAAAACCTGAAGCCAGGTAATGGGATACTTTAAAAATGGACCATAAATGTTGGGGATATATTGTACAAAAGTTGAGGTATCTGGCAAAAGAGAGTAATTGCAAAATTTGGTGCTGTCAACAACACTGACTATGATGATCTCATGACACTGACCATTTAGCCACGTGCTCTTTACGTTTTGCAAATTCTGTGACGTCTCAGAGAAAATATTGCAAATATTGAAGGCTTAGTTTAAATTATGGCAAGAGTAACACACAAAAACTTTCCAGAGATGTCTTGCCAACCAAGGTAGTCGATACCAGGACTGATTACAGCCATAAAGTGGATTTCCAATGCCTACTTGAATGTGGCGTTAGCAGATGGCACCGCAGCAAAATCCATTATACTGTACTATGGTTCAACAGCCATGCTCCCGACATTTACTAACAACTGAAATCGCCATTCGCCACTAAGTGGCAGTGGCATCACCATGGCGCTTTTGCCAGGCGAGGTGCACCTTCATGCCACGTGATGTCGAAGGCTCGCTGGCAGGTCACGGGACAGCCCCAGGTTCCATGGGTTGGCAGATGCGCCACCCGCGCTGATCCAGCTGCCAGTAGCACCTTTCACGAGCCTCCTCCACAGACGGCGATCTTGTCACCTTTGCGTTTAGCTGCCTCAATTCAGCCAAACAAAAGCTGCTTGGGCATGCGGTGGCTGAGCATGCAGACAGACGACAGGATACAGCCATCGCACTAACCAGCGTGCTGAAGTCAGGTCAAATAACCCTCATGACACACATGGTGTGGGGAGGCCCTCATCCAGCAGTGGATTGACAAAAGGGCTGGACATGCACATGGGTTCTCTACTTCTAAAAGCGCTATATAAAGCTCATTAATCTTGATTTTAAGCTTTTGTGACTGCAGGAATCCATACTCTTTGGTTCTTTCGGTAAAATCACGGAGGTAGAAAAATAAAATATAACAAAAAAGAATATATCACGACGTTTCCAGCAGTGAAACTGCTGGATAATTTTTTCTGCCTGAGGACGACCGCTTGTGTTGCGATCGAAACATCGTGATATTTTTTTTCATTTTTCTACCTACGTGACTTTACCGAAAGAACCAAAGAGTAAAGCTCATTAAGATAAGAAACCCATTGACAGTGACTGAACAGTATGATCGTGCAGTTGTATGTACTTGTCACTGCTCTGTCTTGCCTGTAATTACCAGTTGCCATTAGTCGTTTGTAAAAATAATCAAGTTTAAGTGCCTTCAGTACTTTATATGTTATACTTAATACTGTCTTTTTGCTATTTGATGCCTTTGTCATGTTACTTGCTTTATAATAAATCTGACAATGCTTGCTGCACGTAACCAATATTAAGTGCAATCGTTCTTCATACAACTGCTCTTGTATAAGTGTAAATGTGATTATGTAATTGTGTTGATACAAGTGTAATGACACAGCGCCGACTGCTGTTCAGCAGCCACAACTGCGGTGGACAGTTTGCGCACACGCCGTTGAGCATATATACGGATGTGCCGGCCGGGCAGAGGAATTGGGGCAAGGGTCACGGAAGACCTCATAGGGAGGCCTCTGGAACGCTCTGGTGAGTTCGAGAAGGGAGGCGCGTCGAGTCAGAATAAAAGCAGCGGAGAGCGAGAGCTCCGGGCTGCCGGTTCTGGGAGTGGACTCTTCTCGTCGTCGCTGTCGTCGCTGCCACCGCCTTCACCCAATCATTGCGTGGCCACAGGAGTTGGCCGTCTCGGTTGACGCCGTCGGTGCAACGCGGACAGGGTCGTGTCAAGGCCGGGCTCTACGGCAGCGTGGTCGAGAGGCGGCCAGATTGGGGTGAACAAGATAATAAAGAGAGACGATGCCTCCCGCAACTACCTCGTCTCCGAGGTAGTTGCGGGATTGGGGTGTGCGACGCACACCAAAGATCCCCCATATAGCCTTAACAGACTGTAGGGGCAAGTGCTGTTAGCGAGCACCTATGAAGGCTGGAAGGGTACATCGGGTGGGTGGCCAGCACCACGCCCGACCGCCTTTGTCTCCCTAGTGGCGATGTTTACACACCGCACCAGGTACTCATTTGAGGCCAAGTCGACCGAGGGGAGGCCCAGGACCGGTTCAGATAATCGTCACTGGTGTTGGCCATGAGCTGGAATCGAACTCGGGTCGCCAGGTTCATAGCACAGCGCGCTATCGCTCCCCACATGCACACGCACACGCCAGAAGGACACTACACAAGTATAAATGCTGCCTGTCAGTCGAGTCACATTTGCTCTAATTTATTTTGACGGTGACCTAAGACAGGAGAAGAAAAATGCACTTCTTCAGGAAGTGATATTTTTTTCATAATGCAGAAGCTGTACCTGATAAACATATTTAATGTGTTGTTTGGCAAGCCTTGTGCCCAGCACACGCCATATGGCCAGATCTTTGGTATTGAATTCCAAGTATTAATTCCTCCATGCTTGTGCACAGTTGAGTTTTTATTCCATTCCCTTCATGAACAACCATGTTTTTGAACTTTACATCATCGTAAGATAGTACATGCCGATGAATAATTAATAGATGCTTGAAAACATCTATCCCCAACCATCTGCCTGTGTTTGGCCTAAAACCCAATCACCCAGAATACCCAAATTCACCATACTCTATGAATATAAGCAGGTTAGTGCTTGGATATCCATCGCAATCATCACCCCCAAATGTGAAGACGTCACGAGACTCACTGACTTTCCTTGAAATACTTGAGAAATACAAATCATAGCTGAATATTTTCATTTCCATGTGTATAAGCCTTTGTCTGAGATTTATTGTAAAATACATTTCCATGTACCGTATAAAACATTCAAATATCAGAAAATATTTAATGTATATTGAATTTCTTTCGCACCGCACATAGCCAACCATGCTAAACAAGATGTGATAAAAACAATCCAAGTCATGAGTTACATACAATATACAAATACAACTTTGGTTTATTGATAAAAAATTACGTAAAAGGTTCTGAAATTTTACAATACAGGTATAGTGCAATCTAAATAAGCAAATGTACTTTTACAGTGATTTCCCAAATGTTTATAACTACACAAATACTAGCATGTATGTTCCCAATAAAGTAGGCTCCTTCCAAAATGGCTAACACCACAATTGGTTTAGTTGTGCTCACAATATTGTTCACATATCCGTGCTCTTTCAAGTGACGTTTGAGTCTGTATAGCGTTGCTGTGCAAAATACTGCTGCAACCATTCACTAACTCCAACCCTGAACGAACTTCACATTTTTCCAATACTTAGTTGTGGCACTTCCATTAACAGGGCAATTACTGTGCCCCATGGGCCCCACAAGTTCACAAGTAATTGCGATTCACACCACAGCTACTGAGGTATCGTTGACGTTTAACAACCATGAATTAGCAGGAGGACCAAGCGAACGTATCCTGAGGACAAACCTCGACCACCGCCATAAAATTCTTTTGGGCTTTCTACATCACGGATAGTCAACCATCCTTGTTCTTCTTGATGGTGTCAACCAGCTCTTTCAGACGTGACAGGTGGTACAGGGCCCTGAGAAGAGACACGATTATTGAGAGAAAATTACTTAGTTCACCAGCCAGAATACATGTTTGCTGCTAAAATATGGGCTGGGTAGATCATAAGATGCACAGAGGATGTCTGACAAAAGGAAGTCTAGCAGTGGTGTTAGAATATTTGACAATAAATAAGACGAGAATGCAGTATACATTTTAAATAAGGAACCGACTTGCCAGTAAGATGCATTTTATCTGTGGAACAGATCATAACTCAACAAATGCAATCACAATAGCCAATATAGTATCTACTTTTCAATACTGATTTAAGAAAATTAAGCTGCAAGTCAAATGTTTGGCTTGAAGTGAAACATGAACACAATACCTTTGCAGAGACATTCCACCTGGTACCGACTCAAACTCAGGTAAGTCAACTTGAGATGCTGCCTCATCCATAATCTGGGAAAGTAAAACAGGAATGTAAAAAGGTTCAGAGCGATCTGCACAACACTCATCAGCATGGGCTACGTGTGCAATACATTACTTTCTGTCCCGTACTGTATTGTCATAGACCCACAACTAAGTCACCCAGAATTAGCCTGATCTTGTAAAATTTCGGAAGCTAAGCTCTGCTGGGTGACCACCATGCAAAGTAGGTAGTTATAGACTGCCACTGTGCTATGTGGTGCGCAGAAGAGGGCAGTGCAGAAAAATCTATTGTTTTACTGTACTTTGATACTCCGGCATCAATGCTCCTGCCTTGCCCAAGCCACATTGGCCAGCATGGTGAGGTGTGGTTAAATAACTTTCACAACCTGCACGGTGTGGGAAGGCCCTTATCCAACAATGATGACAAAAGGGCTGCCATGAGTTTACCGCAATATGAATAGGATAGATTTTGTGTGGTTGTGGGAGCTCTTCAATAGAGGGAGAACATTTGAACTCGCCAGGCTCATACACCTTCGACAGTGCGTCTTCTCTTACCTGCGTGCCAGCACTGCCAGTGTCCTCTGCAGGTGTCCCCAGCTGCACGCTCTGCAGCCTGAACAGCATTTGCTTCAATGCCTCCACAGGGCCCGGGTGGAGCCTTCCGGTCAGGCCAGTGGTTTCAACCTGTCTCGGCATGCATCAAAAGCAGTTTTCTTAAAGGCACAACCAAATAAACATCTCTTATTCTTTGGTTCTTTCGGTAAAGTCACGTATATTTAATTTATTATTTTATCTTTATACGTGACTTTACCGAAAGAACCAAAGAATAATTCCTGCAGTCACGAAAGCTCCAAAATTAAAATAAACACCTCGTTTATTGGGGGAGGTGGCTGGGTGGCTCCGAGATCAGAGCTCTGAACTGGCACTGCGGAGACCCTGGGTTCAAATCCAAACAGTCACCTCTGATTAGTGGGTTTTAAAGTGTAGTAAGTTGGCGGTACTTCCCGGTCACCAATAACTGCACAAAAAAGCCCATCAAATAAAATATGTTCAGCATATATTTGGATAAAACAGCAATATGTTTAGGAGCTAAATGCAAATATCGAGGTTTGTTAGCCATAAGTGGGATTCAAGAGAGTTTGTGTAGTTTTACTAAATGGATCTCGTTAATTCGAATCCAGATATGAATAATAGAGCTCTGCGACTGACAATATTAGTTTGACTATCTTGCAATGAAAATTACTCTGTGGCAGAGTGGATGACTAAAGGACTGCCATGAAAGTGCTACCCTCTAATGTGCGGACCAGGTAATTTGAAGGGTTATCCATTCACTCCTATGTGCCGTTCTCTAGCACGACAGGTTGCAATGCCCTTAAGCTATCTTAAAGGATACTTTATTTCAAGACAGGACGCCTACAGCACAACTGGGATAAAACTGTGAAAAAGTGAGAAATATAAAACCTCACTTTGTAGACCTGGCCTATTCAGGCACCCTTTGATACCAGAGCATAGAGTTCAGAGTGAAATATACATAAGTGTTGTCACTAGAACGCTACAATGGCATGAGGCACGCGATTGTTACTTGAACTTTTTTTCTGAATAATAAAGCTTCGGACGCACATCAGACAGCCCCAAGCACACCGCTTAGGTACGTAACTGCTAAATAAAACCCTCTTTCGTTTGTTTTCTTGATTAATTTCCTAAAATCACCAATAATTGCTGTTGTTCTCTACCTTCAGGCTCTTGGAGTCAAAGCTGGTAGCTGCCGATGCTAATCCCTCCTCGCCGGGGTCGTCAGCGTAATGGACGTGGACCGGTAATTTACTGCCGAGAGAACACACTGGCAAAGCATGAGCTCACGACACCATTCATTCTTCCATAGCCACTGTTCCACATCTGGCAATTCTCTTCAATAAAAAGCAACTTAGGTGAATACATATTATATGCATCGGACGAACGGTAAATAGGTAAACACATGCATAACACAATGGATCAATTAATTTAATAAAATCGATTATCATGTTCACGACAATTTTATCGAGTTGTGTAATGGATTATTTTGTATTCGTGTTATATATAGTAAAACCTTGGATTGCGAGTAACTTAGTCTGCGAGTGTTTTGCAAGACGAGCAAAATTTTGAAATAAATATTATTTTGATAAACGAGCGAGGTCTTGCAATACGAGTAGTACGTGTATACACTTTGTCTGCCGAGCGTCACGTGATCACAATTGATATACGAGTGCTTTGATATACGAGTGCTTTGGATTACAAACACATTTCCGGAACGAATTATGCTCGCAATCCAAGGTTTTACTGTATAACGGGTTCATATAACCCTTGCAGTGACTGCATTCACCACAAAGTAACACAAATCTTCTTATGGAATGAATCGCAACCTCGAATTGTGACAAATCAATGGGGCAGGTGGATTGATACGCATCTCGCAGCAGTCGGTGGCAGTTTGGGGATACTTGGCTTAAAGCATATCAAATGTTAATGTTTTGTTTATTCTGTGATTTAACAGTGTTGTAATTATTGTGTAATTGTATCTGTTACAGCCGCTTTCTCTGTCAAATGCTCCAAAATACCTGTGAAAACAAGATGTTTAATCTCACAGGAGTTTTTCCTGGTTGAACATTTTCCATGGATGAGTTTAATTAAAGTGGATCCCTGCTCGAATGAGCATAGGGTCTGGCCTCATCTCCAACGGCAGCCCTCAACTGAGGGTGGAAATTACTTATTAACATGGTGAAAGCCAGCAAAAATCTCACCAAAGCTCAGGAGGGTTTGGCAGTGATATTTTGCAAATTTCATCAGCGAGTGGTATGCGAGAGGAAACCGGAGAACCCGGTGAAAACAGAGGGAGTAAAATGCAAAACTCCGCAAATATTCCATTACTGTATTACTAAGTCCTGGTTACCTAGCAGCCAAAATCGATAATATATGGTATTCCCAAATAGTCTCCCATCCAAGTAATAACCAGGCTTACCTGCTTAGCTTATAACATTCAAAATCTGACATCATACTTAGAGGCGGTGCAGCCTCTATGCTGTGCGTGAGTGTGAATATAAAGAGAAATTCACAAGGGCGTGGGGGGGTTTTCCCAGGGACGATCAGCCCCGAGGAAGACGTCCGTGTTGAGGCTGCCCGGGGAGGGGGTCTCCAAGCCGGGGGAGTCCAACGCCATGCGCGCCCTGCTCAGCAGCTCCTCCAATGAGGCTGTGCATCAAGAATCACGCATCGCACGTCACAACCACATTGGTGGTCGCTCAGCCGCCTCTGTGAGAAAAGACTGAATGTGTACCTGAAAAGATATGAAATGTCATCTGCTATATACAGTACTATATAAAAACACACACATATGCATGCTTGGTTTCTACTTTGTTTAAAATGTATGTGTATTTCGGTGGAAGCAGTGGCAGGGTGATATATGCATTGTGCTAAGGACCTGGTAATCTGAGATTGATTTCAGGTCAGAGCCAATGTCAGTAGCGAGTGATAGGTGAACGGGTCCTGGGCTCACCTTCACCAACCCACGCTGACCAGCACGGTGAAACAACATAGCATAGGTAGGCCCTCATCCAGCAGTAGATTAACAAAGGGATGTAAATTGTAAATTTTTACCATTCATATTGATTACAAATGATCATTTTAAATGTTTGTAAAATAATGATAAGTTTATATGATAAAAATGTATTGTGCTAATGGTACAACACAGTAAATACCATTTTCCTTTGCGCTCACCCGTTTCCGTGAGTGGTTTAGTGTTTTGTGCCGAGTTGGCCTGGAACAGCTCCAGCAGCGCTGGGTTCTCCCTGACGCGCCGCACTGTGAGCTCTCCCTCATCATCGATGACAGTCGATGCGTCTTCCGCCAAACCAAATGCTTCCGCGACAGCGTCGCTCACGAGGGCCTTGATTTGTCGCTCGTGACTACGAGCCAGGGATCTAAGGTTCTCTGACACGGGCTCCTCGTTGGCTACACTCGTCAGGCCGGAAATGTCCAAATCCTTGAGCCACTCTGGGTACTTTGGTCTGCTTTGCGGGCTCTTAGCGGCACCTGCTCTCTTTGTTCTGGTATCCGTCTCGTGACTGCTGGTCTGGGAGTCTACGTCACAGTCACGCAGCCAGGCCGGGTACCTGAGCTCAGGGATGCTCGTGATCCCCGACACATCCAGCTCATCCTTTTGGCTTGTCAACCACCTAGGATAGGTACTTGTCGCACAGCCGCCGCCGCTAGGCAAGCGCTCACGCCTCGTTGCTTCACTGCTCCGTACGTATGACAAAACGTTCTTCTGGTTAGAAAATAAAGTCTTTTTGGGCGTCAGAGCCTTGTTGCTTCTCGCTGTTGAGGTCAACCGTTCAGTTGGCTTATTGCCCCTCACCAATGATGCGCCGAGGCTGTGCGCGGTGACCCCGAGAGATGACCGCTTGCTTCTGTGCGATACCGTGAGCCCTCGGTGGGCGCCAGGCGAGCGAAGCAAGGACATGGACGAACCGTCAGCTGGCGCCGCTAGGAGCTGGTCCGTGGTTAGACTCTGACCGTCGGGCTCTGAGCCACGCCCACTGCAGCGCAGCGTGGCAGTGAGGTTGCACGTGCCCGAAATGAGGTCCTCCACAAGCAGCGTGCCACCTGCAATGTAAGACCCACAGACATTTTACTGGTACAGAATGAATTTGCTCTCCCCTAGATTTCTTGACCCCTGAAAGGCAATCCTGCAATGTTGCCTTACTTTGCGCCATCAGTAGCTATTGATGTTATCCGTTTGTGGAGTTTGTGAAAAAAGTCAAGAATATAGGATAAATCAGTGCATGAGCTGTTACTGTTTAAACTTCAGATGTGTGCAGTCTAGGATCTGCAAATTTTTACACAAAGGTTGGAGGATCACTTAGATTTCACAAACTTTCAAGTTGCTGGAAGATGACAGGAGAAAAAAATGCATGCAAGGACATATCTGTTCAGACCTATGCTATCCTCTCATATGCGTGTGCTTACTGTGGATAGTTTTCTCTGACATAAAATTAACTCATTAATGGCATTTGCTAAGCATCCTAGTGTGGGACTCTCACGAAAATGTCTCTTTAGACCTCATTAAGGGTTCGTTTCTAGAGGAATTACATTACATTCATGATAGCATAGCATACTTGGCAAGCACCCAGTACAAGCAAAGAAATGACGCTCTCCTCTTCAATTATCCCCCTCTTCGTAGTTCGGTGCCTTAGCCCCTCCAGTCAACTAGCTTCGATACCATTGCACCGCCTGCACACTCGATAGCCACTCGAACGCAAGCACCACGGAGCGATTCCTCGCGTGGCGAGAGGCACAACCCACCCTCATCCACACTGCGCATCCTCCTGTCCTCCGCGCGTCTCCGCTCCGCCATGCTGCGTGGCGCTGTGCTCTGCACGTACAGCTTCCTAGGTGGTGGTGACGCACAGATTCCGCTCTGCTCAAAGTCCTCGATGTAGGCGTCCAGCGCATCGCTCGCCGACGAGTAGCAGTGCTCTCCGTACACCACTGGGCTGCGGTAGCCCCCGCTTCCGGTCCGGAGCAGCGAGCTGCCCAGGCTGCCGCGGGGGCTTGTGAAGAGGTCCGTCACCGTGCTGTCGGCCGAAGGGCTGCTTGTCTCACCACCGTTGCTGTACATTTTGTACGATTTGGGATGCCCGGACCGGATGGGGCCAGGGAGAGGAATGGCTGTGGCTACCAGGGCACCGCTGGTCCTGGTATGGGGGGCACCATGACGAGCTGCTGTGTGCGGAAAGTGGGTCCGACGTCACAACGCGATCGCATCGGTCAGTGTCGGCCACTTCGCGTTAGCAGCATCAGCGTTAGGTCTCTTAAGCTACTGTGGCTGTTGGCCTTTTTTCAATAAAAAATCCTGCCTTTCCCATGGTTTCCATCATCACACCTGCAAGCTCTATGTACAATTGAAATGTCACAAATGCACTACCTGCCTGCTACTACATTATGAATGATATACATTTAAGAATTAGCTGGAGACAACTCCATATTTAAAACACTATGTTTTCAAAAGAGAAGGCTTAACATTTAACATTGGTTAACGTTTGGCATGCACACTTGCATATCAACAAATTACCATACTACTAATACTACAATGAATAGTAGTATGACTACTTATATTAAAACCGTGCTAATCGCACCTCCGTAGAGCACGGTTGGCTTTGTACGGTGCGAAAGAAGTTCGACACACATACATAATACAATACTTTCCGAGCACATTATGCGTACCGAACCTCCAAGTTGCTTACCCTACCCTGAATAACAACGTATGTGTAGTACAGCTCCTTATTCAATCCATTGCTGGCTGAGAGCTGTCCCATGCAATGCAGCTCCCAGGGGGATGGGTCATTAACCATACTTCACCACGCTGGTCAGTGTGAGTTTGGTGATGGCAAAGGGCTATAGAAGTACATTACAACCACGAACTGAATATTGCTGCACTGATGACAGGGGGCAATAGAAGTACATTACAACCACGAACTGAATATTGCTGCACTGATGGCAGGGGGCTTTAGAAGTACATTACAACCACGAACTGAATATTGCTGCACTAATGGCAGGGGGCAATAGAAGTGCATTACAACCACGAACTGAATATTGCTGCACTGATGGCAAGGGGGCAATAGAAGTACATTACAACCACGTACTGAATATTGCTGCACTGATGGCAAGGGGGCAATAGAAGTACATTACAACCACGAACTGAATATTACTGCACTGATGGCAGGGGGCAATAGAAGTACATTACAACCACGTACTGAATATTGCTGCACTGATGGCAAGGGGGCAATAGAAGTACATTACAACCACGAACTGAATATTGCTGCACTGATGGCAAGGGGGCAATAGAAGTACATTACAACCACGTACTGAATATTGCTGCACTGATGGCAAGGGGGAAATAGAAGTACATTACAACCACGAACTGAATATTACTGCACTGATGGCAGGGGGTATAGAAGTACATTACAACCACGTACTGAATATTGCTGCACTGATGGCAGGGGTCAATAGAAGTACATTACAACCACGAACTGAATATTGCACTGATGGCAGGGGTCAATAGAAGTACATTACAACCACGAACTGAATATTGCTGCACTGATGCTCACCACGTTAGAGCCACACAGCATGACAATGCTATACTGTACAATATTGAAAGTAATGATTCACTTACAAACACTAAACATTATCGTCTAACAATCAATACTACTTTTAACATGAACAATAACTAATAATCGCCGTGCTAACCACCCTTAGCGTGCAATGTGAGCCGAACTTGTAATACTATTGAAAGTCGTACCCAGTCCAGTCCCGTGCCACACACTCCCATGAACAAACCGAGGACATTTACTGAATATCCTCCTTCTTCACACGGCACAACAAGACGACACTTTGCACGCAGAAGTGTCCAAGCCTTGTGTTGAGGCAAGCAAACCCCATTCACTCTGCGCTCAACAAGTTCAACCTGGCCCGCCCTTTAACCCGCAGCGTCCTCACGCCTGACCACGTCTCTCTCCGTCTCTCACCGCAGATTATTCCATTGGTCTTCTTCGCCTCGCCGTCCCGAGGATCCGTGTGGATTGTCAGTGAGGGGAGTTAAAGCTCGCCGTTAATCGGAGAAGTTTGTATTAATTTTGCCGCCACAAACGCCGCGTCGCTAACGGCCGCTGAAGACGATGTACGTGACGCACGGCCCGCGCATGCGCACTGAGGGTTTAGTGAAACCTGCGGGGAGGGGCAGCGGGGGGGCGGGGAAGCGGCCGCTATTGGCCACACCCACATTCAGGCCACGCCCATATTTGGCTTACGTCACGGTGACGTCAGGATCAAATTTCTATGACATCATTCTGGGACGGAGCTTATCGTTGGCTGGCTGTGCACGCGAGGAGCTCCTCCTGACTTCTGACTCTGAATTCGAGAAAAGATCAAAGATTCACGATGTCTGCCTTCGTCGAGATAGGTAAAGTTGAACGTTAGTGTTATGGACGTGTGTTTGTGTTAAATGTTGAGCCTATGGACAAAACTGCTGGGGATGTGCCAGATATCTCCCATCTAACGTTAAGCAGGTTTGAGCCTGGATCGTGCGTGCCAGGTGTTACAGGCTACATGATGGGAAGCAGAAGGAATTCTAGTAAAATACGTTTTTGTTTGTACGTTAATGCTCCTTCTTTTCCTTTACCAACCCATGCTCACCGGCATGGTGAATTAGTATGTGTAAATAACCAACACGATTCGTGCGATCGTCAAGAGGCTCTCCAGCAGTGGATTGGCAAAAGGCCGCACAGGAGCAGTTTTGTTAAAAATCATTTATCCTTCCATAATGTACATTTGTGATTTTTTTTTTGTGTTTTTGTTGCTGTGGGTAGCCTCGGAGAGGGGGAAGCAAGGTCGGGGGGAGCGGGGGGAGGGGACGCTTTTGACCACGCCCATATTTAGGTGACGTCACACCCGTTTGCTGTGACGTCACTATCCCGAGTTCTAACTCACAAAACCTGAGATTCGACCAAAGATTCATGATGTCTAAATTTGAAGCTTTCGTGGCTGCAAGGATTAATATTCTTAGGTTTTTTCGGTAAAGTCACGTAGATAAAAAATTAAAATTAATAAAAGTAAAATAAAAAAATAAAATAAAAATCACGACGTTTCGGAGGCAACACAAGCTTCCGTCTTCAGGTGGAACCGTCACAGCACGATTGCTGTATCACTTGATGCAGCTGAAGACGGGAGCTTGTGTTGCCTCCGAAACGTCGTGATTTTTATTTTATTTTTATTTTACTTTTATTAATTTAAAATTTTTACCTACGTGACTTTATCGAAAAAAACCTAAGAATATTCATGATATCCACCTTTGTCGAGATAGGTCAAGTGTAATGTTCGTGCTATGACGGGGCTTTGGGCCAGTTTTAAATATTGAAATCTCGTCAGTGTTTTAATCGGACGCTCAGCAGGGTTTGAACCAGGATAGGGGGTCTTATAGTGTGGTGTCGGGCTACATGGTGGGCAGCAAAGGGCAGTCCATCAAAATTGGTTGTACTATACATACTATACGTCTTCACCAAGCCACATTAACCAGAGTGGTGAAATGTGGACAAATAACCACCATGATCTGCGTGGTCACGGGGAAGCTCTCGCAGTGGATTGACAAAGAGCTGTATTCGATTTGAAGCTTTCGTGACTGCAGGGATTCATCTTCTCGGTTCTTTCGGTAAAGTCACGTAGAATGGAAATAATAAAATAATAAAAATAAAACATAATAAAATATTTAATTGTGAAATTTTTATTGTTTTATTATTTCCATTGTACGTGACTTTACCGAAAGAACATAATAAAATATAATAAAATAATGTATTATGTTTTATGTTTGTTATTTTATTATTTCCATTCTACGTGACTTTACCGAAAGAACCAAGAAGATGAATCCCTGCAGTCACGAAAGCTTTAAATCAAAATTTAAACCTAGTATACTTAGAAATATAATGCAATACAACACAGAGAGTCGGCTAACATAACAGTCAACACCCTACCTGGTTGATTACGTTCTTCCAGAGAATGCTAAATTTGAGAGAGAGATAAAACATAAAGCCGGAGACATATAGACAGACATACTGTATAAGCAGAGAGAGATAACACAGAGATACATAGAGAGAGACACATATATAGGCACACAGAGAAACCACGCCTCTGTGTCGAGGCCTTAAATAGAGAGAGAGGGGGGGGGTAGAGAAATTAGCATGTCAATTAGTGGCACGGAGCCTGCGCAAAAAACGACTGCTGCAATTTCTAAGTATACTAGGTTTTGATTTAAAGCTTTCGTGACTGCAGGGATTCATATTCTTGGTTCTTTCGGTAAAGTCAGGTAGAAGGAAATAATATTTTTTATATTTATATAATTGTATTATTTCCCTTCTACGTGACTTTACCGAAAGAACCAAGAATATATATACTAGGTTTGTTTTCTATTTCATTTATACCTGATGATGATTGCTTGTGTTGCAATCGAAACGTCGTATGCTATTATTTAATTTATTATTTTCTATTTATACGTGACTTTACCGAAAGAACCAAAGAGTGGATGGGAATCCAACTCGCGTTGCAGGCTTTTGTTGCAGCCTATAGCAACCTGTTTTATGTATATGTAGCCTTAAAAATAAACATATCACAGGCGGCATTTTGGGCAATGACCCTACTTCACAAAACTTAGACATACCCATCCTGTAATGTGCATTGGCCAAACATCTCAATGCTGATAAATTACTTAAATTATTCAATTAGCAACGTCACCCCCGACTGATAAAAGTTGGCAAGAACGTCCTGAATAAGTTGGGTTATTTGCTGAAAGGTACACCGAAGGTATTTTCAGACTGAAATTAAATGAGGCATTATGTATCACGCTCCAATGTGCTGAATTTGGAAGTATTTAATTAGCAGAATGGAAGCTGACAAGCTGTCAGGGCAAAAATGACTTTGCATATTCCAACTAATATTTTTTGCCCTGGTTTGTGTCTGACCATGCTGGGTACGGCTTTGCTTAAAGTGTACGATATTCAATGGGATAAAAGTCGCCTAATAGTAACACGTCTTTATACCACAGGTGTACTCATACTGGATCAGCGTCTACATTTATGAGAAAGCGTTTTGCATGAGTACCATGTGCGGTTCTTTACCGACATTCCCATCCCTGCACCTCCCTCTCCCCTGTCCCCAATACAACGAACCCTCTACCCCCACATTACCTATGCAGAGCTCGTGGAGAGAATGAATGAGAGAGCGGAGAGGCAGCAGGCTCAACCTTCAACAGTGCCGCAAGACTTTTCGACATCATCATCTCAATATACCCTGGCCCAGGTACGATGCAGCACAGTGTGGATTTGCACAGCCTATAAATTAGCTTGGCTAATGTCAAAGATGGGAGATTCCTGGTATTTACAGATTGAGTTGTTTGCATTCGCCAACTAGTGGGCCCCAAAGTGTAGACATGGCTGCTCATTTATAGATGTCCAGCCTTTGCAGCAGTGTGCTTTGGTGACTATACTGTGCTGATGAGTCCGAATGAGGATGACACCGGTCCACAGTTGCATATCACTGCATCACTGCTGCTGTTAGTCTGTCACATTTGCTCAACTTTATTTTGATGGTGGTTTAAGATAACATTACCACAATGCACTTAAGAAAATACTGATGGTTTTTGAATAATGCACAGGGGCTGGATGCTTTGTGTACACATTTCTCCAGGTCTCTGGTTTCCTCCCATAGCTAAATGACACAGTGTAACTGGTATTGGCCAAACATACCAATGCTGAAAAAATACATGCAAATTATTCAATTGGAATTAAACTGAGCAACTTCGTTCTCGACTGCAAAACAAGTAATATTCTAAACAACTTTTTTTTAAACACGCTTTTATGAAATGTACTAGTAATGGAAGAACACCATGACTCCAGGAAGTGGCCCCGAAGCTTGCCATAACGTAAGGGACCGTGGCCAATTAAAGCCAACGTCAGTTGACCGTGGACAATTAGACCCAAGTCGAAACATAACATATAAAAAAGAATGTTAAAAATATTTTTTTATTTTTTTATGATCCAATATAGTATTGTCATCAGTATGACATAAGTATACCAAGTTTGCAGTCGATACCATATTTGTAAGTGGGTTAAAATCGAGTTACAAGATTTGAGGATACAACAACAGACAGTGAGTTAAATGAGAGCGTGTAATAAAAACAGAACTTGGTAGGACCCTCCTTGAAAATAGAAATGTAAACTCATTGAGGTTTTCCTGGGTAAACAAGCACATCATCATAGCAATAAACAACTTGCATACAAATAGCAGATTAACTTATGTCCTGATACATGTATCATTAGCTTATGAATAAATATACATTTCATGCGTAAGCTATTACATCTCATATTCATGTGTGTGCTTGCGTTTGCGTGCAGGACACTGCCTCCTTTTGCGATGGAGTCCGTCGGATCGATTTCATCCTCGCGTTCGATGAGGAGGTCAATTCTCAGGACGCCATCAACAATCAGGTGAGAACGAGGAACCTACAAATAATGTTCCACCTTCCTGCACCCAGCATTATCACCCCCTCCCCACGTGCAACACCACACACCTCTAAACCCAGGTTTGACGCAGTGGTGCCAGCTCAGCTCTCTGACCGCTGAGTCACCCTGCCACCTCCATACTCGTCTTTAAATCCAGTATACATCCTTTATCAAATTGTATCGTCAACTACAGACCACGCTATTCAATGAACGCTAGACTCCCATCACTCAACTCGCACATCCACACCCTGAACCATACGCCTCACTGCTTTGGCGAACAACAACCAATTATCTTTACGTATCACACTCCATCCCCAACTCCTCAATAAATACACCACTTTAATATTGCACACACCGACACCCAGACAGATAACTTACAGGATATATGTAATATCCACATTCTAACTGCCAAATGGAAAACTATTATAACAGTGCTAATTATTTAATCAGGATAAAAATCAAAGAGCCTCAAGATTCTCTTATAGAAGGGCCCTGTATTGAGATATTTGACCAATACCATGAATGGGAGTTTGGCACGCTGTGGGAGGATGCCGGAATAAGGGTGATGTCCAGCACTACCATCTCCCAGCCACACCTGACATCACAATGCCTTGTAAGGTCTGGTTGCCACCCATCCAATTGTA